TGTAGTTCTTTGAGATAAATGTTTTAGAACGTCAGGTGTTATATTTCCATCAGCCATGTTCATTTCATACTGGTCCAAAATATCTGCATGTTTCATATCTTTCAATGGCATTAAAGCCGCGCTGAAAATACCAGCTATATCTGGTTCACCATTCACTTCCATTGCGTCTACAACTTCTTGGAATTGTGGTTGTAAGTTTATGAACCACCTATCCGGATTAGCTTTATGACCCCATCTCATTGTAGTTCCATAGTCTGCAGAAACAAAAGTAGGTTTGTTTCCATATTGGTTAGGTTCTGAATGAACTTTAAACAATGTTTCATTTCTATATGTTTTGTTGAAATTTAACCTTTTATTTTCACCGAGTTCAGCCAAAGATTGAACGTTATATGGTCGTAAGTAAAAAGGATTGTTGTATTTGCGTACACTTTCTTTCAGTTCTTCCATTCTATGCTGAATATTTTCATCTGATGTTGGAGTCTTTTGTATGTCGGCGAACATTTTTCGATATTCTTCTACTATGTCAGCCGAATTTTTCTTAGACTCTTGGAAAGATTCCATATTCCCCGCATACACTTGTTGAGGTCAAGATTTTTCGGCTGTTCCAAATCTTCATCTAGTTCTGTGAAGTTAGTTTCCAAAGGAGGGACTTGTTTGTTTCCTTCAGGCTCTTCTAGCTGTTGTTGCTGAACTATTTCTTCCATGTCTGGTTGTATCTGAACTTCTTCCTGTGGAGTTTCTTGTACCTCATCTGCTGGCATTTCATATATTCCGAGACCGTTTTTAAAAAGTTCCCTATCTAAGTCATCGGACTCATAAACCTTTCTTCTTTCGTTCCGTCTCTATTTTTTACGCGTTTCATGAAGAGAGTTGAATTATCATTTAGCTCTGACACCAAATATCTCGGAGTAAATTCATCCATGTCATTTGGATGATATGCTATTAAATCATATCCCTTAGCGAGCTTGTATTTTCCAGGTTTGAAATTATATCCCATTTGGTGCTGAACCATAAAGCTAAATAGGTTCGGGTCAGTATTTCCTTCCTTGAACTTTCTAATAGCTTCTTTATATCTGTCACTAAAGTCAAGAGTATCTGGGTAACCATAGTCTTCCTTAAGCATTTTTAAGAATTCTTGGTTTCCTTGTTCTCTACTTCTTTTATGTCCTTGCTCTGTTTGTGGTTGTTGTTGTGCAGGGTTTTGAACTGTTGGTTGCTGTGCAGGGTTTTGAACTGTTGGTTGCTGTGAAGTGTTTTGAACTGTTGGTTGTGGTGCTGGTTGTGGTTGTTGCTGTGCAGTGTTTTGAACTGTTGGTTTTGGTGCATGCCTGTGTCTGTGTCCATGTGACGATGTAAATGTTTTAGGTAGTCCTGGTGCAGGTGCTTCTCTTGGAGGGTTTGGTGGTATATAAGTTCCACTAGCTAGTATATAAGTTCCACCAGCTGGTATATAAGTTCCACCAGCTGGCACATATGTTCCATCTGCAGCATAATGTCCTACCTGACTTTTCGTTTTTAAGAAAGCATTTACTAGGTCTGTTTTGGTCTGTTGTAACTCTTTTTCTTGACTTTCCACAACAGTTGCTCTAACGGCGTCATAGGCACTTTGAACTGCCTGTCTCGTTGCTGCATCTGTTATTTTCGTCATATTTTGTGCTACTTCTCTTAACTCTTTGTCGAAACCTTCAGACTTCAGTTTCTTTCCAGATGAGAAATCGTTCACTTGTTTCACCTTACTATGAAGAGCTTCGAAGGCATTCTTAAAGTCAGCATTCATTAAAGCTTCATTTGAACTGTCTTCATCCGCTTGTATTTTTGTCCTTATTGACCCTATAAGTTGGGCTGCTTTGGCGTTGGCTTGGGCATCTAACCAGTCATTATTAGCTTTTATATATTCTGCGCTTTTCATTGCCTTTTGCATGGCTGCGTCGTTATTTTTACTTTCTTGTGCTAAGTTTTCATACTGTACGGTTTGGTTTTGCAACTGTAAAAGTTTTTCTGCCTTTACATTTGCTTCAACTTCTTTTTTATACTCATCGCTATCCATATATGTCTTCAGGGCTTTTTGTTTTATTTCTTCATCTTTCAGTACTTTATATTGAGTAGTATGGTTTTTCAAATTTATAACATCTTGTTCCATTTTTGCTACTTCTGCTGCTTTTTCTGACACTTTTTTCGCATATTCCTCTGTACTTAGTTCTTTCAGTTGTTCTTCTTTCTTCTTTTTCTCTACGTTTAACTCATTGAGTTTCTTTGTGTGTCTGTCATATTCTAGTTTCTTTTCGTTTTCACTTATTTGTTTCTGTATGTCTATGTTTGACTTTTTGACATCTGTTATTTGATTTTTGAGTGAACTCAAATTCATTTGACTTTGAGGGTTATAAGCTGTTCCGTCTGCAGCTCCACCATAGCCTGCCATTTTCGCTAAAAGTGCCGCTCTTAAACCTCCACTCTGTGCACCAATAACTCGGTTTAAAAGCATAGGGTTGCTTGACATTTGTTGCAACATAGTGGGGTCATTCATAATTTGTTGTTGCAACTGTTGTTGTGGTGTCAGTTTTACTATTGGATGTTTCAATGCTCTCTTCCTCTTACGTATATTCTTACGTAGCTTACGTGGCATTTTAAGTGAAGTAAAAAACGGTTTTTGACAGATGTTTATATGACACTTTTTGTTCAGCACAAAAAACTACTCGGTCAAAGTGTTGTCAGTTTTGTAAAATAACCGTCCTATCTCATTCTATAAGGGGGAAAGGCTTCTCAAAGTATACTTCCTTGGAACGCCTGTAACTTTTCCTGTAGCGACGATAGACCCTTACTTGTCCGGACAAAGTTATACTAAACATCTTCAGGGCTAGAGGGCACGAAGTGCCTGGAGGCCCCACTACCCTTTTTTTTTTTTTTTTATAATATATCTATTTATTATATACTAATGCTATTTTCAACTCGAAGTGAGGTACGGTAATCTTACGGATTCCCGTAACTCAATTTTACGGAAAAAGTGCAGTAAACTACTCAATTTACGGAAAAAGTGTCGTAAACTATTGATGTGGCGGTAAAATCACGGTAATTCACGGAAAGCTATATGCGAAAATTTGAAATTATACAAAATCGAGCGAAACACTTTTAAATAGGTTGTTCTCGTATTTAAAATACTATTCCCAGATTTATTGTCGTCAGAATATTTCCAAATTTTTGCCGATTTACAAAAAATGATTTACAAAGCATATTTTTTAATCTAAAAAATTCCTAAAAAAAGGAACCGGTGTGCGGAAACCTCGGTAAATTACCGCTAGGGTTGTTAGATTCCCGACGATAGGTGTCTTGGAAGATTTGCCTGGTGTCATCATAGTGTCTTTAAATCAAAAATTTTATTTTGGAGTTAGTTTTATTGATTTTTCAATAAAAAACATTTCTAAAACAAGAAAATAAAACGATAAAATATTTATATTTTATATAAGGATCTTATATATTTAAAATAAATATCATTTTATTTTTTTCATTGGTGTCTGTCAAACCATAATACACTATTCAAAAATTCAATGTGTCTTGCGGTTTCAAAAGACACCTTCAAATTGAAAGATAGCACAGACACTATTGAATTTTACCCATTTTATTTAGTTTTTACCCTTTTTATTTTTAAGAATTAATGACTGAAACAGCCGTTTTGCTATGACCTCAATCACTTTTATTTATTATTTTAAATATTATTTAATTTTATTATTTGAATAGGCCAACTTATATTTGAGAAGCTCAATTTGAGACCACTTAATACATTGAAATGTCATAAATATTGAAATATTAAAAAGTGTATTTCAAAATATTGAAATTATAAAAATTTATAATACTGAAATTGAGACAAATTAATAAATTCAATGTGTTTTTTTTGAAATAACTCTCAAATATTATTTTTTTGTTTATTTAATGATGAATAAATATGATTGCTTTAGTCAATCATAAAAACTAATTTAAGTTTAAAATAATGAAAGGATAATTTGATCGTTTTTTAAAATACAATTATTTTTGATGATTTGCAAGAATCTTTGAAAAGAATATAATATAGGTTCTATTTTTCTAAAATTTATCCAAATCATGTATTACATAAATTACGATTAAAACGATGAAAGAACCAAAAAGTGTGTTTTGTGTTTTGTTGTTGCGTGTTGGATGCGGGATCCTGTTATTTCCGAAATCGACAAAAATTTGGAAATTTAATTTCCGAAATCGAAATTATATTAATGTTTTTAATATTCTTATATCAAAAGGATTAAAGTTCATTAAGAGAAAAACAATTCTTCTTCTTCAATCTATTGGCGCATTTATTTCTACACGCCAATAAGGAAGGGAAAATTATAAGACACCATGGTGTCTTCAAAACGCTAATTTTTGATATTTTTAACAACCCTAATTACCGCGGTTCCCGTTGGGACTGCCATAAATAAAAAAGTAATAATATAGCTCAATATGCCATTTAAATAACTTGCATGCTGATAACTACTCAATAATTACTTTAAAAGGTACTAAGTGCATTAAGAAAAATAAATGATCAAAGCACTTTTAATTAAACGGTTTTGTAAAATATTATAAATTTTTAGAATGCAAATATCTTGATATTTTTCTTCTTCTTTCTATTAATGACATTTGGAATTGACTTTCGATATGAAGATGCACAAAATACTGTATTAATCTATATTCCACCTTCAGAAACTGTTGAAATTCCTTCGAATGTTGTTCGCATCAAAGATTCAGAAATTCTCGATCACAATACTATCAAATATCAACCATTAATAGATTTAAAACCAACTTTGAAATATTTATCATTCCATGAAAATTCAAAATTAGAATCTCTTGGAATTTCAACTTTTTATAATTTTACAAATTTAATATCCGTTGACCTTTCAAATTGTAACCAACTTACATCATTAGAAGTAGGAGTTTTCTGTAAAACTTCTTTAACAAATTTTAAATTTCCAACAAACTCCAAAATTTCAATCATAAAAATGGCAGCATTTCAAAGCACTAAGTTAACAAGTATTGATATTCCAAAAAGCTTACTATATGTTGACAATTTGGATGATTCTACATTTTGGGGTGGAGTTTTCCAATATAATATAAATTTAATGTCGATTAATATTCCGTATGATAGTTCATTAAAAAGTATTGGCTATTATGTTGCTTCAGGAGCTCCATTTACCCGAATTTTTATTCCAAAGTTTTGCTACATAACTAAGCAACCATTTATGTGGAATGGAAATCTCCAGACAATTGAATTACATCCAGAAAATCCTTATCATAAACTATATAAAGGGTGCCTCTATTCATATGATTACTCATCTCTTTGTTGCGTTCCTGCAGATCTTCAAGAAAATTTTGAATTTCATCCATTTTGTTATAAATTAAATTTTGCTTGCTTTCATGCTTTTCATATTAAAATTGATCTCGTTATTCCCCCTCAAATTAATGAAAGTGAGACGCTTCCTTTTTATGAATGTTACCCTCGCTCAATAATATTTGAAAATAATTTTGATTGTTTTGACAGAGAATACTTTCGAGGATCAAATTCCAGATTAGTTTTACCAAAGATTCTGAAGATTGTTAATGCAAAAAGTTTTAATTATATTTTGAGTAGTTATATAGAGTTCTATTCTGAAATGGAGTTGATCAAATCAAATGCATTTAATAACTGTCCTTATTTGGAGTTTGTTAAGTTTAACAAATTAAAAAATCCATTGATGATAGAGACAAATGCATTTGTTAATTGTCTAAAGCTGAAAGAAATTATTTTTCCATTTGAAAGTGCTGATTTTACAACATTTAATTCTTCTGCTCTTTCAATGTGTAATTCATTTAAAGGAATTAAATACTATCTAACATTAACTAAAAACATCAGGCAACAAGCATTTAAATCAAACGATTTTATCGATATCGAAGTTTATTATTCAGATACTGAAATAAACAAAAGTTGTGGACATGTAACAATTAAACATCCATTTGATCAACATTGTTCAATAAACATTAATTCATGTAATATAAATGTTTACAGATCAATTTTTGAATTAGAGTATACATGCACATATATATTTGTAATCGAATAAATATTAACGTTTATAAAAAAATATTTATTGGTTCCGGATTTTTCCAACTAAAGTTTCATTTTTACTTCAATTTTATGATAATTAATTCATGTAATCCGTTATGATTGGAGACAAATTAATTTGTATGACTACTATTTGATAAAAATACATTTAATATATCATTATGGCCATCAGATACTGTAAAATGAGCAGAAAGATTTCCAAATAAAAGCAAAAATTGAAACTTGCATAACATTATAGGGTTTTACATGGGGTGCAAAAAATGCGCAAAAACGATTATTTAAAATTGAATCTGCGCAAATTTTGCGCATTTGAAAAAGTTTGGATACAGATTTGTAATACCAAGCGATATTTACTATAAAATACTATTCTAGTTTATACATAACACAGAACATATTTAAACAAAATTTTATAAAAAAACAAAAATATAAACAAATTAATTTTGAATTTCAAACAAAAATATTGATTGAGACTTATTTCTCATAGAGTTATTCTTTCTTGCAGTTCTTCTAAGAACCTCTTGTTCCTTCAAATCCCTCGACTTCTGCAATTCCTGTTGCACCTTTCTCTTCATTTCATCCTTGTAAAATTCCTCATCTTTTTCTCTTGCTGCATCAGCAGTTTTTGCTCTTTCTGACTGTCTAGAAACAGTTCTTCTTCTTCTCTTCATCAACTCACTCTTTCTCTTCTCGATATCTCTACTGATTTGTGCTTCTCTGAGAACTTTTTCTCCAATAATTCTCTTAGTTTTGCTAAGTTTTCTTTCTTCGATTTCTCTTTCTTTTTCTCTTCTTCTTTTGATTTCTTGTTCGATATCAACTTCTTCTTCGAAGGCATGTCTCGATAAAGGGCGTGCATTCTCAACAGGTTTAAGAGCCTTAGGAGGTCCGAAATGTCTCATTCCGACTTCTCCATTCATTACTTGTCTCTCTATCTTGAAAACTCTTCTGGCTTCTTTGAGACATTTCTTTTTATATTGACTCCATTGCATGGCACGTTGTTTTTCAATCCAAACATCAATCAATGCGGAATCGGAAGGCTGTTCATATACTGCTTTCTTTATTAATTCAACATTTCGCTCTGTAACTGCAGATAATAAATTTGATAATTTAAGGTTATGAAGCAAAGCTGGTTCTTCTACACGTAATCTGAACTGGTGGCTAATCCATCCACCTTGAAGACGTGGATCTGGGAAGATTTCGCCGGGTCCAAGTTCTTTTGCTTGGATGAAATATTTTCCTCGAGGTAATTTGACTCTGAAAACGTCATCTTGTACTTTGTCTTCTGTTTTAGGAATGTATTCTGTGAAATCTACCATTCTGTGAAGAGAAAATTTTCCTTCAGCAATTAAATAAAAGCCTTGGGATTTGGAGAACTGGTCAATTTCGTTTGCATGTATTTCTTCTTCTGTTTTACCGTTAGGATTGAAGTTGTTTGGCTGTGTAATTGCTTGAGCATTATTCAAATCGATAATTGTACCGGCAGGGACGTTAAATTCGACTGTATTTTGTGCAAGTGTCTTGAATGTTTCTGCTTCATCGATTGTTGGATCATAATCACTATGTAAACATCGTAATTCTTTAACTTGAAGAAGTAACTGAATTCGTTTTTCTCTTTGTGCTTCGGCAAAGTATCTAGCTGTTGTTCTGTATATTTCATTATCTACACGTGCGAGAATAGTCTTTTGCGAAACGTAAATAGTTGCGTTTCTTAAGCAATCATCAATAAGAGCAACGGCTCCAAAGTCGCATTTTGGACCAGCTGTAAAAACGCATTTGAAATATTGATCTTGACCAAGTGCTTTTCTCAAATTTTGTATCATTACTGGTGGAATATCTGCCATGAATGAATCATCCTTAGTTAAAACAACAACCAAACATTGACCACTTATAACAATATACCAGCCATTTGCTACATCACCTTGTTTAAAAAGAACGGAATTTGCGTCCACTTCTTCGTAAACAATTTGACGACAAACTTCTCTTCTCATTGGTTGAGAATGAATATTTCGTGTAAAACAATCCCAACTTCCTATTGTTGATAAAAGTGTATCAACATGATGGTTAGTTCTCTCATTAGGGGAAGTTTTCAGTGCTTGAATAACTTGATCAATTGTTTTTTCGTTAGATTTTACCTCTCTCTTTTTCATAGGTGTAAGTATTATGCGTGGTTTATGCTTCAATGTTACTTTCAGCTCTTCATTCATGATTTACAAAATTTCTGACAAAATTTGAAGATTTTTGTCATAAACGTATTATTTATTTGTCAATTATCAATTTTTCAATGTAGCTGATATCAATTTTAACATATTCTCATTAATGCCTAAGGTAAGTTTCAAGAATGAAAGACTTTTACTGATGTATTTTTCGATTAATGTAATATTATTGTTTTTTCTTTGATAATGCCTGTACATTCGGTCATATCAGTAGTTTTTTAAAGTTTTTAACGTCTGTATTGCACGCACTTCATTTGATCAAATTTTGATTTTTGTAACAACAAGAGAAAAGGATAGTCTAATCATAATGTACTCTTAAATGATTATGTTATCAAACAGTAGTAATGTTAACATAAAATGAAAAAAAATTGGTGGTAAATTATAGTTGAATACAAATTAAAATAAATCATTAATGGACAATTATAAGTTTGTTATTAATTCACAGTATTGTCATAACTCATCTTTAGCGAAAGATGGTATATGATTTTCCTTTATTATCAATGGAAATGAATTTACGACAACTCAATTTCATGCATCTGTTATTAGTAACACTGTTAGAGACATTATAATGACAGATCAAAGTGTCTCATATATCAATATTACTATTCCAACTAATGACGGGCTCGGAAAAGCTCTAAACATTTTTTCTTCTTTACTGAAACAAGGTTTTGTAGAAGAAGATCTTATATACGAAAAAAAGAGATCTGACATTGTGTCAGATCTCAGTAAAAGTGACATTTACATGTCAAAAAAATAGAATGAGTTTAAGTAATTAAAATTGAGGGTGAGAGTAGTATTGTATGAAATAATATCTCTCACCCTCCAATTCATCCTATGGCGCCGAAAAAATTTTGGTGAAATGCGACCACATTTCACCAAAATTTCTCGGCGCCATATAGAGAACTAGAGCCTGTGAGGTACTGATACTATCCATGTACCTCGCAGGCTCTAGTTCCAAGCCAAAATGGCTAAAAATTGCCCGCAATTGTTCACATTGCGGGCAATTTTAGCCATTTTTGGCTGGGAATTGAGGGTGAGAGTAGTATTGTATGAAATAATATCTCTCACCCTCCAATTCATCCTATGGCGCCGAAAAATTTTGGTGAAATGCGACCACATTTCACCAAAATTTCTCGGCGCCATATAGAGAGAGCCTGTGAGGTACTGATACTATCCATGTACCTCGCAGGCTCTAGTTCCAAGCCAAAATGGCTAAAAATTGCCCGCAATTGTTCACATTGCGGGCAATTTTTAGCCATTTTGGCTGGGAATTGGAGGGTGAGAGTAGTATTGTATGAAATAATATCTCTCACCCTCCAATTCATCCTATGGCGCCGAAAAAATTTTGGTGAAATGCGACCACATTTCACCAAAATTTCTCGGCGCCATATAGAGAACTAGAGCCTGTGAGGTACTGATACTATCCATGTACCTCGCAGGCTCTAGTTCCAAGCCAAAATGGCTAAAAATTGCCCGCAATTGTTCACATTGCGGGCAATTTTTAGCCATTTTGGCTGGGAATTGGAGGGTGAGAGTAGTATTGTATGAAATAATATCTCTCACCCTCCAATTCATCCTATGGCGCCGAAAAAATTTTGGTGAAATGCGACCACATTTCACCAAAATTTCTCGGCGCCATATAGAGAACTAGAGCCTGTGAGGTACTGATACTATCCATGTACCTCGCAGGCTCTAGTTCCAAGCCAAAATGGCTAAAAATTGCCCGCAATTGTTCACATTCCCATCTTTTGTTGGTAAGACGAAGAATATGAAATAAATTATGAAGAAGATAATGATGAATAAAATATCACTTTTTATATTTTTGACACGTAAAGTTGTCACTTTTCTGTCAAGCTGTTTTTATCGTTTTCGTATATAACAAAACATTTGTCAACATGTATTATTACAAAAGAAAACTTAAATATCATTTATCAAATATAGTCTGAAGAGTTCAGATTTCAGTATAGCTTCTTCATATATTTCTTCTCACTTCTCATTCATCGGATATTCAAATTTATTATCAATGATTACTTCAGAATTAGATTTGCTTCCAGATCAAATTTTAGGAAGGAACAAAAATGATATTGCTATGGATTTTGTTGTTTCTATTTTAAGGATACCCTTACATTGCGTAGTTAGAAAGAGAATATGATATTGTCATGATTGCTAAAGTTTTAGGCTCCAGAAATGAATATACATCAAACTGAAACAATTGATAAATTGAATGAACTTTTGAGAGGTTCTCAAATAAAAAAAATTATCTAATTTTTTACAATATTACTATTATTTTATCCACATATGTATATATAGTAATTTGAGAAAACTTTTAGGAAAAAATAAGTTTAATAAAAATCTGAATTTTACTTGTTGTGGGATTGTTATTAATTGACACTCCAGACGTATTACTAATAGTTATGCGTATGCAATTAAAGTATTTCTGATGGACAAAATGTGAGATTTATATCAGATAATTCATTTCTACTATTAAGTTATTCATTTATGAGTTTGCACTTATTCGCACTAAATAAATAACTATTAAAAATTGTTTTAATTAATTGACACCATATAATAGAGTGAATTTTGTTTGATCAAACAACAATAGATGATAGATATAAAGCCAAGAAACTTGCTATTAATATGCTCTACTTGCTATTTCAATGTAAGTATGATATTTTCTAAATGTTTCGTTCAGATAACTTAGATATATTAGTCAAAATTTGAAATTTTAATAGCACATATATTAAAAATAATTATTATTCATAAAAGATTAATGAAATAGTAAAAAAATCAATCAAATTATAAAAATACAACATTTAGAAGAATTCTTATTATCCTTCAAAAAGTCAGTATTTCTGCTGTAATTTTCTACAACATTGTAGTTATTGCACTTTGTCTATGGATTTGTATATATGTTATATATAAATTATATATTTAAACTGCCCATAAGTGCAATTTTTATATAAATTGTTTATTTCTTTAACAATTTCATATGAAATATGCTTTTTTAAGCGTATCAAAGCTGTGTTCTTAATGTGCATGGATATATCAAGAAAAATGTCGAAAAAAAATGTGAATTCACAAATTCACTGAATTTTCACCGTTTTTTGAATTTTGCTACAGCACTAATATTAAATAATACTAAAATCTTCTGTCTTTGTAAAAGAATCTATTCTGACAAAAAGTGCTCGTTTAAATTTAATGATCATCTGTATGACTAAGTGGTAAAAAGTGTTTATGACCAAAAAAGGGTTACATGCTTAGTCTATTTTTCTGACAGGATACTCTAGATTTACATGATCTCTATTTCATATCTCCGTTTTTAGATTCTTCGACAGATTTTATGATAGAAAACCAAGATTAACAAATTTCCGGCATGTTAATGAAGAAATCTGCAGCTACCCTCAATATTATTTCAATAATCAGTATCGTTTCTCTTACAATTTATTTTTTTCTCAATAATTTAACAAGAAATAACAATACACACTTGGTTTTACGTATAAAAGCTAAGTGTCGAACTTAATCAACTTTACTTACTTAGCAAATGAATATTTTTGTGGTTGCGAGTTCTGAATGCTGAAGTTTTAGATTTCTCTATAAATGATATCATTGCACTTACAATGTTGTTCCAGCCTATCGCATAAATCATAGAAAATCCAAAAAAAAATTATAAAGAAAATTCATGTCATGAAGTTCAAAAAATACCGTGTAACATTAAAATTTGTTATGCATAATACATTTTAGCTATTATTGATTTTTTTAATTTTCGAGAAATTGAATGGTGAGTCCGATAGAGAAATTTTTAAAAAATCCTAGTGCCTCATAGAAGTAATTTCCCTCGTCTCCCATACTTCCAAATGTATGCATATGACATAAACTTTTATGCATTACACAAGTGGCCAATAATATCTATAGAGTAAAAAATTAGAAATTTAATTTTTTTATATGATAGTTATATTTCAGATTTGCGAGCGTAACTTTTTTCTCCATGGCATACTTGTTTTAAGAGCAAATGATCAAAATCGTCCTTCAATTATTGAAGGAGCTGATATCTTTTGAAAATTGAATTGAAAGGGTATTCAATTTTCAAATTTCCTCTCAATTTTGGAAACATATCAACTCTATGAATTAACAATTATGTGCCTTTACAGTTTATCAGTCATATAAGGTGCTTATAAAGAAAAAAGTTACGCTCGCAAAATATGTTTTTATATAGATTTCACATAAAATAATTATGTAATTTCTAAAAAGAATATTTTTGTTCTTGAATATTAAAGTGTATTGTAGTTTAAAAAGTTTTAAATATGTTGCTAAAATTTCAGGTTTATAGCTCATGTCTAGCATGACTTCTTTGTATGCGCAAAAAATCTGACACGTAAGGGTATCCTTAAGTAACAATTCTCTGCTTTTGAAAAGAGAAGATGATATGTGTAATTTTGTAATTTCATATTGCAAAACATTATCTGAATTAGAAAAGCTTTTGCCAATGATCCAATTCGAATATTGTACAAACAAAACTGTTTCTGATTTCATAAACAAATATTCTTCTTTCATGCATCCAAATTCAGAGTGTGAAATTCCAGAACACGCTGAATCAAATGAATATCAAGATGAAAGCCAATTCTTCTCACAAATATTTACAAAAATGTTAGGAGGTAATAATACAATACCTTGTGATTATAATACAACAACAGAATCTAACATCAAATTATTTGAAAAGCTTAATCCAAAAACCCATTTTGATGCAATTTATAAAACTTTTGATAAATGTAGCAAAGAAGGAGATCTTTATTCAATACAGTATGGGATTGAACTGAATTTTCAAAACTGTCGAGATATAAATGGTCGTTGTATTATCCATCAAGCAGCTTATCAAAACAATTTATCACTTGTCAAAGATCTCATTAAATGCGGAGTAGATATTAATAGTAGAACTCATAATAATAACACACCATTGATCTATGCTTGTATTACAGGTTCAAAGTCTGTTGTAAATTATCTTGTATCATTAGATAAAATCGATATTAATGCTCAAAATGGAGACGGTAATACTGCTCTTCATTATGCATGCATGTACAACATGCTTGATATCGTCAACACTCTTCTACAGACAAAAAGAACGGATGTGATAATAAGGAATAAAGAAGGTCAATATGCCTATGAATTAACTAGTAATGATTATATACTAAAAGCAATTTGTACAATTGCCTACATATTTCATGAATGATAACTATTATTTCAGAATGTGAAATGTGTATTTATTTGACACTCTAGCTTTACATTTCAATTTTCTTGGAAATCACAATACAATGTTTTATATACTGTTATCCTTTTTTTGCTCTTACAGTAAAGATATTGATTTTATGAGTACATTCATGAGGGAGGAAAAAAAGCAAATTTTGAAAAACTTAAAGAAAAATCCGATTTTACCATTTTTGGCGCATAGCGTGATCCGGTGGCGCCGAGGATGGCTGAACCCTCTGCGGGCCATTCCAGTCTTTGTCACCGTTATCGTTGTATCTTCTTCCGTGTCCACCTCTCTTTCCTCCGAAGCTCTTTCTCTTTGGCGGCGAAGCAGGTTGTTGTAGAGGGGATTCGAAGGCTATCGGTGGCTGTGGAGATGAAGGAACCTCAAATCTCGGGTGCGGGGCCGATGAACCTCCAGGGGGGAAGTTCCTCGGTTTTCTGTTTCTTTGTTTTGACTGTGAGTGTGACTGGTTTTTGTCTGAGCCCGACTTGAATGACTCAAATGTCGGATATTTCTCAAGAACGTCATTCATTTCTTGAGAAACTGGGATAGTAATTCCGAGTTTCTGAAATTCGAGAAATGCTTTCATTTTCTCGATACCGTAAGTGGATCCTTTTGCGTAATCTTCGAGGGCCTCGCGCTCTAGATCTTTGAATATCTTCTCGTTCCAGTTCTTTTCAAGGCCGTATGAACAAAGTCGGAAATAACATTCGATGCCATAATGTGATCCATGTGCGACATCGGCTTTGGCAAGAGTAAGGAACTCTTTGTACATCTCGTCGTTGAAGTGATCACGAAGATAGTAGCACCAGAAATAATATAAAGAATTCATCTCAGAACTACGGCCTGGACCGGCAGTGTTTCTCTCGCTGAGTGCAATGGAGCGGAATTTGTCGTATTTTGATTGTACGAAGTGGTCTTCTTGAAGTAGATCGTGTGAAATATGATCGAAATACCTGTGAGAGCCTGCTTCGCTTGGAATCGAAACGATGTTACGCTTGTCTCGAGATTTGTTCATTGATGCACGGCGTGCTCGTTGATTCTTAGGAGCTTTTGCAACGATATCGGGCCCGCCTGACATTGGTGGAACATCAACCTTATCCTGACCGTCAACCATCATCTGCTCTCTCAAAGCATGAGGTGTGTATGAATGGAAGCCATCCGCTAATAACGATGGATCAGGTGCAGGACCTCCAAATAGTGGGTCAATTTCGTTGCCAAAGTCTCCTGGACCCCTCTTCTTCGGTCCTGTACGGCTTCCGTGGTGGGAATGGTTCGCGTCATCCTGAATCTTATTTGACGGACCCAGGGATCCGCTTAAAACAGAATCTGTGAAATCGTCGGAGATTATATCTTCCTCCTCGATCTCATTTTCATATGTTGGCTGATTTTGAACCAACCCAATCACGTCCCAGTCCGACATTTTTCAAAAGGACGATGTTTTCCCATTTTACATTTACTTGTCAAAATTTTCGGGTCAATTCGAAATGACCATCACAATGCATTTCTTATTTATAACAAGAAAACTCAAAATTTTGTTCAAAAGGAGGATTATTATATTGAAATCGCCAATATCGAATGAAAATATGTGTTATCCATATGCATAAATGACTGATTTATATTTTTATACTATACTACGATCGTCTGACTGAGTATGGGTTTGAAAAACCAACTTCTAAACAAAATAATTGCGAAATTCGAAAAATTTATGTGTATAGGTATCTTTTAGAAGAAACAATTCATTTTGCATTAAACTAATATTAAATTTTATAAGACATGATAAGCGATTGAGAGTTGGGTCAGGAAGTGAAATGAGCACTCAAGAGAGATTTCCTTTTTTAAGCATTAATCTTTCTAAAAACAGATAGTGTGTTATATATATCATATATTTTTCGGTTATTGTACACTTTTTTATCTGTTCGAAATTTTATCTGCAAAATTTAATCAAATTTCTATCAAATACTACTGTTGCACTAGAAAGACAATGCATTCATTCTTCATTCCAAGAATAATTCAGTTAATTTACAAATGATATTAAGCTTTTCAATGAGAATTGTATAAAACTGTAAGATATCATTTTGGCCATTGCTTATATTCTCTAATTGCATCTATTAGATGTTCGTCTGGATCTATTTTTGAATCAAGCCAAATTGCTTGAATTACTTCAATTGCAAGTGTTGTTGGATCAAATCCACCTTGGAAATACTTACCGAATCCTATAGAATTGTCAAAAGTTACCGCTATATATGGACATTTTTGAGGAAATTCTCCCTTATGTATATGTGTTTTTAAGATTCTAAACCCGTTATTATCAAAATCTGATCCATCATCTTCAAATGCAGCTTTCCATTGTGCTTTTAATGTCCCATCATTGACATTTGAAGGTATTGGAAAAATATCAACGATTAAAGGGAAGGAACCTGTAGAATATTCAAAGAATACAAGACCAAAATCTTGTTGTAAAGCAATGAGCGTCAATGATCGAAACCATGTATTAAGTTCGAGTGTTTGCGCATTATTTAAGTAAGAAGTTGCTGTTGCAGCAGGAACTACTACTTGTAAATGATATGGTATTGTACTTGTTTCAATATATTGAAGAAATGAATTTTCGAATTTAAATAAAACTGTTGGTTTGGGTTGATTTGATGATTCTGGAAGCTCTTTTCCTTCTAAAACTACATTATCATTCATATGTTGAAAAATTTCAATTTGTTTTGATTCATTATATTTATCCGCTTCTTTATATAGCTTTTCGAGTTCTTCTGTAGGCAAATTTGTCGAAAATATATCTCTGGTTTCGTTTAATCTTTCTAATACTCGTATTCTCCAATTTTGCCTTTGTTGCGTTTTATTTGACATAAAAAATAATGATTCATTGGCCAAAATCGGAGTAAACTAGAATAATAGATTCTAAACATTGCTAGAGTGTGTGCAATTTCACATCAATCATATTCAAATAAAAAAAAAATCAAATATTATTATCAAATAAATTTAGATTTTTGTATTTTAAAAAAACTGGATATTATCTTTAGTCATTGATGAAATCCTTTAGATGTAGATAGAGTTAAGCATTGTAACAACTTTTTGCTTTGAAGTTTCGACAATCTGACCATCAACAATGATTTCATTAAGAGCTGTATAGGCTTGAGGAAGATTATAAAGAATATGGAATTCTGTAATATCGCCGAAGTATTCTCTGAGTGTTTGGAAGAAGAAATCGAAGAATGAAACGACAGCAATTTCGTTTGAATCTTCTTCGACAGCAGCAATGCAATAAATAGCAAGATAACGCTTGTAGACAATCTTTAAATCGCCATGGTGAAATGTGAATGACATTTGTTCATTTCTAGAAACGCATTGACGAATAATTTCACTTTCAAGCTTTTGGCGTTCCTCTATTGATGGACGCTCGCCATAGTATTGAGCAAGACGTGTCTGGCCATAACGATTCACAATGAGGAAAAACTTAATCATCGTCAAATACAAACGTGACATAGTTTACATTAGCCACAAATTTCGATCTAGATCCGATGGAAAGATTTTATATCATGAAAAGAATACTCTCGGTTAAAAATGAAATAACTCGCTGCAAAAATAAGTAAATCTTAAAATATTGTTAGAGATTTCAATATCATTTGTTTATGCAAGAAAAATTATATGGATACATAGGTTTATTTACGCCAAAAATAAATGGAGAGGAACTGCTCTTCATTATCGAACTTCTTAATGAAAAAGGAATGGCTAAACTTTTACTTTCATACGGAGCAAAAACTAATGTTCCTGCCTAATATATTTTTATATTTAAAATTATATATGAGGTGATTTTAAAAGTGCGCTTAGTATATTTCCATCTCTAGTCAATTCGGAGGCAATTTTGCCTGCTTTATTTCTAATTTTCACATCCGTTCTTTTTGTCTGTAGAAGAGCATTGACAATATCAAGCATGTTGCATATGCATGCATAATGAAGAGCAGTATTACATTTTTCGTTTTGAGCATTAATATCAATTTCATTTAATGATACAAGATAATTTACAACAGACTTTGAACTTGTCATACAAGCATAGATCAGTGGTGTGTTATTATTATGAGTTCTACTATTAATATCTACTCCGCATTTAATGAGATCTTTGACAAGTGATAAATTGTTTTGATAAGCTGCTTGATGGATAATACAACGACCATTTATATCTCGACAGTTTTGAAAATTCAGTTCAATCCCATACTGTATTGAATAAAGATCTCCTTCTTTGCTACATTTATCAAAAGTTTTATAAATTGCATCAAAATGGGTTTTTGGATTAAGCTTTTCAAATAATTTGATGTTAGAATCAGTTGTTGTATTATAATCACAAGGTATTGTATTATTACCACTTAACATTTTTCCTAAATGTTAGTCACCGTTACGGTTTTTTCTTTGGGGGTGAGCTTGCGAGCCCCCAAAAAAAGAAAAAACCGTAACGGTGAGCTCACATTTCGGCATAGTTTAAGTCTAGGTTTTGCATTTTAAAATGTTTGTTACCTTATCTTCTTTCAAAAAGTGGCAAAAATTTGTTTGAAATTTGAAAAAGATATTTTTATTTGCATAAATGACATTCAACTACGCTGTAGCATGATTCTTTTGCATGCTCTAGTTTTTTTCTCAGTTCAATCTCCTTCCATACTCTTGCTTGTACCAGTAAGATCGCACCAAAATTCTCAAAAATTAAGATCTCCAAATTTTATGTCCAACTCCAATTATCAAACGCCCTCATTAACGCCACTCATAGCCATCTTTCATGCATGAGAAATCGTTATTAGAAGATTTTTTACGGCTAATTATCTGATTCAATTCAGATCAATACTCAAAGCCCCATTATTTATTTATAAATCCTTGTTTGTCGCCTATGCGAATAAAAATTCTTTTTATATTTTAAACAATTTTTTTTCACTTTGGAAGGAGAAAGGTGACTAACATTTTAAAAATGCAAAAACCGACTAAACTATTTGTAAATATTTGTGAGAAGAATTGGCTTTCATCTTGATATTCATTTGATTCAGCGTGTTCTGGAATTTCACACTCTGAATTTGGATGCATTAGAGAAGAATATTTGTTTATGAAATCAGAAACAGTTTTGTTTGTACAATATTCGAATTGGATCATTGGCAAAAGCTTTTCTAATTCAGATAATGTTTTGCAATATGAAATTACAAAATTACACATATCATCTTCTCTTTTCAAAAGCAGAGAATTGCTACTTAAAATAGAAACAATAAAATCCATAGCAATATCATTTTTGTTCCTTCCTAAAATTTGATCTGGAAGCAAATCTAATTCTGAAGTAATCATTGATAATAAATTTAAATATCCGATGAATGAGAAGTGAGAAGAAATATATGAAGAAGCTATACTGAAATCTGAACTCTTCAGACTATATTTGATAAATGATATTTAAGTTTTCTTTTGTAATAATACATGTTGACAAATGTTTTTTATATTGTTCAATGAAATCAGCGTTATTGAGAATAATACCTAGTTCATAAAGGCATTCACTCACATTAATATCAATATCTTCTTCTACAAAACCTTGTTTCAGTAAAGAAGAAAAAATGTTTAGAGCTTTTCCGAGCCCGTCATTAGTTGGAATAGTAATATTGATATATGAGACACTTTGATCTGTCATTATAATGTCTCTAACAGTGTTACTAATAACAGATGCATGAAATTGAGTTGTCGTAAATTCATTTCCATTGATAATAAAGGAAAATCCTATACCATCTTTCGCTAAAGATGAGTTATGACAATACTGTGAATTAATAACAAACTTATAATTGTCCATTAATGATTTATTTTAATTTGTATTCAACTATAATTTACCACCAATTTTTTTTTCATTTTATGTTAACATTACTACTGTTTGATAACATAATCATTTAAGAGTACATTATGATTAGACTATTCTTTTCTCTTGTTGTTACAAAAATCAAAATTTGATCAAATGAAGTGCGTGCAATACAGACGTTAAAAACTTTAAAAACTATTGACATGACCGATTGTGCAGATATTATTAAAGGAAAAAACAATAATATTATCGATATTTTTGAAATCAAACAATTACCTCAGATATTATTGTTTGACTTAAGGGTTTCGTTTTGCGAAAAAAACGTACAATACGCAATTTCGCTAAAAAACATTTAGCTAGCAATTTCGACCTTTGACTCCACTCAAGACGTCACTTTTTTAATTTTGCGGTATCATATTTTTGGAAAATCTTTATGAATATTATATAAAAAGTCTCTTTAATATCTATATTTCATATTTTTATCGATTTTTAAAGTTTTTGCGAAAAGTATTCAATTATTTTTGCTATTTGGTCGGGTAAATGTCAGATTTGCGACATTTTCTGATATGATATTCAGATTCTACGTTGATAATAATGCTTATAGAACCCTCTTGCTATTGTATCAAAATTGCGAAACCGATAGCAAAAATATCTCGCAATATCAAAATTGAGATATTGAGTGAATTATGCATTATAGAGATTAAAAATCTGATTTGTGAAAACATCTCATCAGTTTCTAGCTAATTCAAAAATCTTTACTATCTTATTCGATTAAAATGAAAAGGGAATAGTTTCATTATGCTTTAAATGACAGCCTTATAATATAATCATAGTTTTCGCTCAATATGCAGCATTTTTTTTTCGAAATCTATGGTCAATATCCTAAATACTGATTGCTTTGCATTCATATCTCTTACATTTTCTATACCCACATCACTATTCATTGCTATTCCTATCTTTTTCATTTTTGTTTGTTTCTCATAATTTCTCAAAAAACATGATAACTTGATATTTGTAAATATCATACTTTATAACGTAAATAAGAACTTGACCTATTAAGAAAAGCAGTAATGAAAAGAAAATCTGAAATTCATAAAAATTACAAGTTTCTGATGACAATTAGCTTAATTAAACCAGGTACAAGATTATATAATTGTATTTTCTATCCAATTATCCATATAATATCTTATCCAGAAAAAATAACTTGATCAATACCAAATGATTTTTTAACTAGTAAATAAAGTATTTTCTTTACACACACATTGTATATCATAGTTTTTTTTTGGTTTCGCAAAACATCCAAAAACAAATATGCTATAAAAGTGACAATTTTAGCAAAACGAAACCCTTATTTGACTTTTTTTTCTTTAATACCTATGGTGAATTTCAAGAAGTGAAATATTTTCTGAGTTTTCGATTCTTGAAATTCACCTTAGGTATTAATGACAATATGCTATAATTGATATCAAATTCATGGAAAAATCGAACATGACATCAAATTATAGAAATTGAAATAAATGAATCAAAAAAAATGAGTTTTTTTTCCACAATGAAATATGTTTCAATTGAATGTTGTAAGTCTATTCATGCAATATAGTTCCATGGAAAAAAGTAGACTTATGTTTACAATAAAAAATAATAACAAACGATATCTTTATAATATAAAAACAACAAAAAAATTACTGATGTGTTGGATGTATAGCCAAAAACCTCACTTTGTTCTTATCTGCGACAGGTTTTGGATAAATGATAGTTTGAGCTGCCTGATGTACAGTAGTTATTCTCTGTTTTGGTCCAAAAACATTGAGAGAACGTTGTTGGACAGCTCTGAAGATTGGAGTCAAAGGATTTCCGCATTCTCCAGGAAATACTTTTTCCCAACCGTTTTCTGGACCATTTTCGACCTCTAGAGGTGATCCATCAACAGTAACTATCTTCATTGCATCGCAAATAAGGTCGTGTTTGAGTCCTTTTTCACATGCAAATGTTACTTTTAGAGATGGACGGTCGTTTAGCTCCAAAACAATGGGGTTAGCATTTTCATCAAGTAGAATATCAATTCCACATATGTGAAAATACTTTTTCATTGGAGTAATTTGGCAATGAGGAGATTTTGGATCTTTTTTAGCGGCAGGAATCTGACTAACGATCTGTGGATACAAGGATAGCATTGTAAGAAGGGCTACTCTCTTAATACGGTCCCAAACATCGCTGGCTTTTGGATCTGCTGCTCGAACATCATTTAATACGTCACTAAGTAGTCTTGTGAAGTTATTTGTAGCTTCAGTATTCTCCACATTGATAGCAGTATTGGTGATATGCTCAAACTTGTCATTAATATTGTCTTTTGTCGGAGGATGATATTTTTTAGTACAAAATCTGGCAAGACCTTCTCTATATACGTACATTGTGAATGGTTCGAGCGTAGAGATAAGGATATATACACGAAAATCAAATTTGTACCCATCAAGTAAAAATGGAGAAATATAACGTTGAATAATCGCTGGAGAAGTATCATTAACAATAGCATATGGATTTTGTATCAATTTAATACCATTGCCACAGCAACCCGCACGTGGCTTCCATATCCATGTTAATCCTCTTCCGAGTTTTCCTGTCAAATGTGTATGTTCTTTCTGAAAATCGGAAAACTGATGTGGTAGTAAGAATGTTTCTGGAAAGAAATTATAATATTGAGGGAATAAAGTTTGCATCTGATTTAAAGCTTGGAAAAGTGTTGATTTGTAGCATAAAACATCCATCTGCGGAATCTTGTTAATTCTTTGATTTGGTTTAACAGTGCAAAACTCTTCAGGAGGGATGTATCCGTCCCACCAAATCAGAGGGGCAAGTGAATTTCCAGAAGAAACTTCATATCCCATATCCTTAAGAGCATCTACGATGATGTGGCATTTCAAACGCCTTACATCAACGAGAGTTCCTTTTTCGTACATCATTGTTGAGTTTGAAGGGAAAAAACCGCAAATTTTGGCACGTTAATTATTTCAACAAATTTGACGATGGAAATATTTACAGTAACTTTTTATTCATGAATTTAGAGTCATATCTGTAATACGCGCTATATTTATCATTGAATAAAGTTACCATCGATGAATTACTTTGATTTTCATTGTTTGGCCAAATAAATACTATCGTTAATTCTCAGAAAAATACTGACATTTTCAGATTTGGCTTTTGGCTTCTGAAATTAATTTAGTCCTTATATTTTATCAAATTTTCAATGATACACCTTAATAAAGTTAATATAAAGGTACATTCACTATTTTTGACAAAATTTTAAATTTTCATGGGGTTGTAAATCTTATAATAACTAGATGAATAAGGAATGAATCCCAGTATAATGTGCATCATTATATTAAACACTATATGTAAGGCTAATGATTCTATTAACACTTATGAAGATCTATAGTATTTGAGCAGATAAATTTGATAATTTCCAAAACTCTTATATTTCAAAATTAAAGTGTGCGAATGCATTTAAATGAGAGCAAAAAGAGATTGATGCTGTTAAAACTAGGTGTTAATTTGCAATTATTTCGCATCACAAGAACTACCCAGTAAATTCGGCTATCTTTCTTTGCAATTATTCTCCATTATACATATAATATAATGGTTAGGGTTTGAAGAAAAGTTACTAGAGAATTATTGACTTTTGAAATAATGCAGAATTTTACTTGAAGAAATCATTAATTTATGAGTTCCAAATTGCTAAGCATGACAAAGGATCATTAAATTTGCTACAATTAAATACACTTATTGCAGAATTAAGATTTTTGAAATTAAAAGTTTGAAATATTGCCTTTTTGAATAAAAATTTAAATTTTATTATATAATCATGATAATATCTTATAGAAATTAAAAGAAAATATTTTAAACCATTCAAATATTTTGAATGTCTTATCAATTTAAAATATAAAAAGATAGCTTGATTTTATCATCATTAGTTGTTATCAAAGTTTTCTTCTTTTGATGAACAACAGTAAATGATTTGTTAATTACTTGTCTTCCTTTTTCGCAGCAAAATCGACAGTTATGATGATAATCTTGCTGTCAATTTTGAAACTCTCTGATTTACAAGTAAGCATTCCTTTGGAAAAGCAGTCCTATTCTGTTTTCAAGATATTTTAAAGCCTCCATTTCATACAATGCGCAGATCTATTCGAAATTGCAAGAACTCTCAAGAAAAATGCAGCAGCAAAGAAGATTCCATAGTTTCTAGCATCAAAAATTTACAACCTTAATACAACAGTTAAAGAGAAGCTCGAAAAGAAAATATTTAACCATAAAGCTGGAAACCATTCGATATCTACTATTGGATCTAATAAAAAGTTAATTATAACATATTTAACATGCTATTTGTTGACTTTGTTCCATTATATTACCATATATATCTTTTTGAAATCTAAAATATTTTTACGATTTTAACCATGTGTTGTTGAAACCATATATCAATCTTAGCTAAAGTATAGTTTATGAGTCTGTCACCATCTAACGTATGAATTTTCAAAAATGTCAAATATGTTCATTTTTTCTGTAGATTCAGCCATAATTTCACGTTGTTATACTATTCAACTATTATTTAATATTTTTATCGATTTAAATATATGATGAGATGCTTAGTTCTCCTGGAAATCGATTTTTAATCGCAATTTTAACTTTCCAAAAAAATTCAAAAATAAAAATCCCTCTCAATTTTCTAGGTTTTATAACTCGCCAAATCTCTAGCCAAATTTTTTGGCCCGTATAAATATTGTTAGGCACTATATAGGGATGCTATTTATCCTATTTTCATCCCATTTTACTGTTATCGCCTAGTGAATGTACCTTTGTTAATATTTGATATTGATATTTTTATTTATTCATCAATCGATGGTGTGTATTCATAAGATAGTATTTCATTGCATCTATATGTCAATCTGACCAACAAAATCTCTGATAAATGATAAATAATTGATGAATTATCAAAATTATCTTTTGTTTTCGATGATTATCAAGTCAAATGGTTAAAATTATCTGGGTTATTCCATGTTCTTAGTGATAATGATCAATTAAAAGGAAATTTGTCTTAGATATCTAAAAAATAATTATTTATAACAAATAAAAAAGAAAGTTTTAGATTTTTCTCTGTTTTTAAAACAATATAAAAAATTAAGGGTGAAATAATAAAAAATTAGAAGTATCTCTTCTTACTTAAATAATCAGCCATTACGCCACCAAATAAAGTACTTGCTGGACCTTCTACAGGCTTTGGAGGCTCTTCTTTCTTTGTTTCAAACAAAGGTTTGGAAGAAGCAGCTGTTTCTTGCATCTTCTTTTGGTTATTGAAGAAGAAATTGATGGCACCAGAATTTTTAGAAGGTTTAGTTTGATCTTTGAAACTTCCCATTGTCTGTTGTTTTGTCCACGGTGGCTGGTTGTCCTGTGGTTTATTTTGTGGAGAAGAGAAGAATGACATCTTCTTTGGCTCTTCTTTACTTGGAGACTTGAAGATGTTATTGAATTTAACTTCTTCTTTCTTTTGAGGATTCAAAACATTTTTAATTAATTCTTCTTTCTTCTTGTCTTCTTCGCGCCTTGAAGCTCCAAAGATGTTGTTGAATGCACCTTGGTTATAAGAAGCATTTGGTTTAACACCTGACTTAGGTGTTGATGGCTGTGGTTTGTCTGCATCAATCTTGGAAGTTGTCAATCTCATTGCTGATTTAGATTCCATGACTTTTTGCGAATCTCCTAATTTAGTTTGTTGTTCTGTTTTTGCAGGAATATTTAACTTAACTTCCTTCTTCGCCTCTTCTTCTACTTTGGCTTTTTCTTCTTTAGCTTGATCCTTAATTGATTCAGCAATATTTAATCCGGATTTTTCTGCTTCTTTAACTTCTTCTTTGACTTCATCTTTTGGCTTTTCTTCTTCTTTCTTTGGTTCTTCTGTGTCATCCTTTCCATTGGCTGTTAATGCATTTGATAATGCTCCACCAATAGATAATGGCTTAGCTTCTTCCTTTGGTTTGTCTTCTTCGACTTTAGGTTTTTCTTCCTCTTCTTTCTTCTGAGTTTCCTCTGGTTTAACTTCATTTTCTTTGGCTTCTTCCTTTGGTTTTTCTTCTTCCTTCTTTGGTTCTTCTGTATCATCTTTTCCATTGGCTGTTAATGCATTAGAGAGAGCTCCACCGATGGATAATGGTTTAGCTTCTTCCTTTGGTTTGTCTTCTTCGACTTTTTGTTGTTCAACTTCTTTAGGTTTTTCTTCTTCTTTCTTTTCATCTTGAAGTGTTTCATTTATTGCATTACCAATGGAAAGTGATCTCTCTTCTGGTTTGTCACTTTTTACTTCCTCTTTTGTGTCACTTTTTGGTTCACTTTCTTGTATTTTTTCTTCTTCCTTTGGTTTCTCTTCTTCTTTCTTTGGTTCTTCTTCTGTATCATCTTTTCCATTTGCTGTGAGTGCGTGAGATAAAGCACCACCAATTGATAATGGTTTAGCTTCTTCTTTAGGTTGTTCCTTTGGTTTGTCGTCATCATCCATTGGATCATCTCCAAATGGATTTTCAAGATTTCCGAGATCGAATTCTTCATCATCTTTCTTTTCTTCTTCCTTCTTCGGTTCTTCTTTTTGTTCTTCCTTTGGTTTGTCAGATGATGCTGTCAAAACGTTTGCAATTTCACCAAATAATCCTTTACTTTCTTCTTTCAGTTTTTCTTCTGATTTGTCACTTTTTACTTCCTCTTTTGTGTCACTTTTTGTTTCTTCATCTTTCGCTTCTTCTTTCTTAGGAGATTCTGATTCTGGTTTGATTGTGTTTGATATTGCACCAGAAATATCTAAACCATGTTCCTCCTTCTTCGGAGATTTTTCATCTAAATCAGGAATTTGGTCAAATGGATCTTCATTTAGATCTAATTCATCTTCTTTCTTTTCTGTCAATGCTTCAGCGACTTCTGCTTTGATACTTAATGCTGGTTTTTGTTCTTCTTGTTTTGGTTTTTCTTCTTCTGTATTTTCTTCTTTTGGTTTGGCCAAAACATTTGAAATAGCATCTGTTAAATCTAAATCTTTCTTTTCTTCAGGTTTTTCTTTGTCATCATTGTCAAATGCATCTGCCAAAGCATTCTTAAGATCTTCTTCATCTTTGTCTTTCTTGTCTTCTTGTTTATCATCCATTGGCTCTACAGCATTTGCAATTGCTTGTTTGATGTCGTTTTTCTCTTCTTTTTCTTCCGATTTCTTGTCTTCTAATTCATATGCCAAAGCATCTAATAAATCTTTCTCTTCTTCTTTCTTTGGTTCTTCTTCTTTAGGTTTTTCAAATCCATTTAATAATGTATTCTTAAGATCAACGTTTTCGATCTTCTTCTCTTCTTCTTTAGTATCCAAACCATCTAAGACAGATTCTTTGATATCAAGTTCGTCTTCTTTTTCTTCTTCTTTTGGTTTTTCTTCTTCTTTGCCACCTAAATCATCTAAGACTGCACCTTTGATATCAAGTTCGTCTTCCTTTGTTTTTTCTTCCTCTTTTGGCTTATCTTCGTCTTTGTTTTCTTTATCGTCGTCGAAATCGAAATCATCATCTTTCTTTTCATCCTCTTTAGGCTTCTCTTCTTCTTTGTTGTCATCATCGAAGCCATCTTTGAGTGCATCTTTGAGATCAACTTCGTCTTTCTTTGGTTCTTCATCTTTCTTATCATTATCATCATTAAAACCATCAAGAAAAGCATCTTTGAGGTCGACATCGTCTTTCTTTTCTTCCTCTTTAGGTTTCTCTTCTTCGTTTGGCTTATTTTCTTCGAAATCGTCTTCATCATCTTTCTTTTCTTTTTCAAGGGCTTCTGAAACTTCTGCTTTGATGCTGAGAGATGGCTGCGGTTCTTCCTTTGGCTTCTCTTCTTCCTTTGGTTCAATTTCAGGTTCATCAAGTTCGAAATCGTTGTTTTCTTCCTTCTTTTCTTCCTCTTTCTTGTTGTCTTCAAGAGCTTCAGCAACTTCGGCCTTGAGACTAAGAGAAACTTCCTTTTCTTTAGGCTCATCTTCGAAATCATTGTTTTCTTCTTCCTTTGGCTTCTCTTCGTCCTTGTTATCTTCAAGGGCTTCAGCAACCTCGGCTTTGAGGCTAAGCTCTGGCTTCTTTTCCTCATTATCGTTATCATCAAGAGTGAAATCATCGTTTTCATCGTTCTTTGGCTCTTCCTTGGCCTCTTCTGCTGGTGGCTGAGGATTTTCTTTCTTCTTTTCCTCTGGTTGTTCATCGTCGATATTAAATTCGTCATTTTCTTTGTTTTCTTCCGGATTGAGTTTCTCCTGAACTGCTTCCTTGAACCTGATTTTCTCTGGTTCAGGATTTGTAACTTGTTCAGATTCTTTTGGTTTTTCGGATTCATTTTCTGGTTCTTCGAGATTTTCATTTTCAGGTTCCTTCTTTGGTGGTTCTTGTTCGAAAATTTCTTCTTCGTGGTGTTCTTCTTCGACTGGTTTTTGATCTTTCTTATCGTTGTGTAATTTCGGAAGCTTTGATCCTCCTTCGGTATTAGTAGGTCTATTCTTTTGAGAAGCAGTCTTAATTGGTCTTTTAAGAACAGCAGACATTGGTTTCTTTGGTTGATTACTATTTGCGGATTTCTTTGAAGGAGCTTTATATCCTTCTGTGTCTGTAACTGTCAAGCCATCATCATTATACAATGTGCTTTGTTTATGAGGTTGAATCATTGAAGATTGTGTTGCTGGACGCAAATAATTTACTGGTGTTAGCTTTGTATCTTGATCCTTTAATTCTTTCAACCAGTCCGTATTTCTCTGTTCCTTGTGTGTTGAATTTGAAATTTGAACATCACCATAATATTGTCTGAGCATTTCCATTCGCTCTTCATTAGTCTTTTTAATTCTTTCTATATTCGATTGACGTCTCTGAATCATGTTAAGAACGCGTGGTGCAACATTTGGTTTTGTTTGTTGTAAAGTTGGGCGCATTTCTTTGAGAGTCTTCAAATGCAACTTGTAAATTCGCTTCTTATCAAGTACATCAAGGTACTCAGAAGCGACTGGCGGCATTCGGCAACTCATTTTCGATTAAAATTAAATTTTTAAACACTAAAAGTTCGTTTTTTGTTTCTATCTCAATTTCAAAAATTATTAGAAAATGAATTAATAATTGGTAATATTGCTGTTTATCAAGAACCCGATAGCATTCAATTTAGATATCTGAAAGTTGTAGATGAAATTATCTAGGCGATAAGTTGAAAATTAACGATAATACATCCTCCATTGAGCAATTTTTTTCCTTAGTTCAAATAATAAGTTTCATCACGTAAATATGAATTAGTTTGTATGCAGATTACGCATTTTCATGACAATGTTAAGGATTATCCCTTGAAAAATTTGGAAATTTATTTGATTCAAGGCTAAAGGTCACAACTCTGAAATTTAAAGTGATCATTACTGTTTATAACGAGAGTCTAAGTTTAGAAGCTTTAATAATGAATATTGCTTCATTTGAAAATGAGAAGTGGATGAAAAACGCATATTAATATGGAGATATTATATATAGATGCGATTTGTAATATATTTAAATTATTTAAAATCCATTCCAAACCACACGTTTTCTCATTTTTTGACAAAAAAAGATGGGCTGCTGCTTAAGCGCTGAAAACCAATTAGATTTCCAATCAATTTCAGCTGTGGAATCAGTACTTGATAACTTAAGTGCGAACAAAAGCCAGTACAGGGAAGAGGAAGCAGGACCAATTCAAGGTCCAAATCCTCTAACATTTCAGAATGTTGCCCTTTCAGACACTTCGTCGGATATTGACGAGGAACTTATTGCAGAAATGACAAAGTCAGATGAAGACGAGCACCCTAAGAAACATAAAGGAAAGGGAAAGCACTAAATCGCGAGAACAAAACTATTCGAAATTGATTTTACAATAAATTCTGTATGTTTTAGTTGTAGATGCATGTTACTAATTGATATAAAATTTCTATTAGCTTGATATTCTTACATTTTTTAACTATTTTCCATTGATTTATTTAAATCATACGAAATCAGAGCTATTATTTGATTCAAAAAAGAATGTTTCAATATAATTAAGCTATTGTAATATCAAATTAGATTATTGAAATATTACTTCTGACAAAATCTAAAGTAATAGCTTGGCACTCATAGAATTGTTTATGCACATTATAGACATTTTTAATATAAACTTCTTTCTACAAGAGTCATTTATAAAAATAAATATCTGAAATCATAATATACCTTTTATCTGAATAACTAAATATATAGAAAAACTAAAACTCTATGTTTGTAGTTGTGACATTATCTAAAATCATAGGGTAAGAAAAAAAATTATAAAATTAAATTAAAGTTATGAGGATACTATAACGTATGATTATATTTTTATTTACTCGTATTGTTTGAGGAGGCCAGTCTTCTCGTTGAAAGCAACGATTAACTTGTCGTACTCGATGGCAGCGTTCATCTGAGCATCCCAATAGCAGTCGCAGTACCACTGAGCGTTGAGTTCCTCGAGTGTCTTACCCTGTTGTTCGATCCATGTGTAGTACTTGAGGTTGTGGATTCTCTTGCGTGTAGCGTATGTGAGCTCTTCGACGTGGTCTGTTGAAGCGCCGAGTATGTATCTGAACCAGTCAGCGTAAGCCTGGCATTCTGTGTACTTGCCGTGCTTCTCCTCGAGTTCCTTGAGTCTGGACTGGTACATGACAGCAGAGTCTGTAGCGACTGTGAACATCATGTCCTTCTCTGTGAATTCGAAGTACTTGGCCATCTTGATGCAACCAAGGATGTTAGCAATGCCAGAGATACCAAGGTTGGCGAGGTCTTCGATGAGTTCATCGGTAACGCCGTGTTCCTTGAGAACCTTCTTGCCTTCTGGTGTGTTGAAGACTCTGAGCATCTGCATGCAAGCCTCATCATCGATGCCGAGAACAACATCCTGATCCTTGGCGTTCAAGACCCATGGAACGTGCTTGTCACCAATGCCTTCGATTCTGTGGTCACCGAAACCGTTGACAAGAAGTGTTGGGCACTGAAGAGCTTCTGAGCAGCCTAACTTCATGTGTGGATACTTCTTGTGGAGGTACATGCCGGAAGCAAGTGTGCCAGCAGAGCCCTGGTTGAGGCAAACACCAGCAAGGCGGGAGCCTTCCTTCTTGTGGTCGTTGAAGACTTCCTCCATGGCTGGGCCTGTAACGTGGTAGTGGAAGATTGGGTTAGCGAACTCTTCGAACTGGTTGAGGTTGACAACCTTGCCAGCGCCTTCCTTTGTGAGGGCACCAGCCTTGTCGAAGATCTCCTTGACGTTGGATTCGCAGCCTGGTGTGGCGTAAACTTCAGCGCCGATCTCCTTGAGCCAGTTGAATCTCTCCTGGGACATTTGTTCTGGGAGGACAGCGATGGCTGTGCAGCCAAGAAGGCGGGAGTTGAAAGCACCGCCACGGCAATAGTTGCCTGTTGATGGCCAGAGAGCCTTTTGAGCTGTTGGGTCGAAATCACCACGGATAAGGCGGGAAACGAGTGGGCCGTATGTAGCGCCGACCTTGTGGCAGCCTGTTGGGAAGCGCTTGCCGATAAGGACGTAGATTGGGGCCTTGACGCCAGAAAGGACTGTTGGGATTTCGATTGCGTTGACCTTGCCGTAGCCGCCTGTCTTGATATCGTTATGCCATGAGATGCGGAAGAGGTTGAGTGGATCAACATCCCAAAGGCCGATTGTCTTCAGCTTCTCAACGATCTTTGGTGGAACTTTCTCTGGATGAGCGAGCTGGTCGAATGTTGGGAGGATGATGTTGCGTTGCTTGCAAAGCTCGATTGTCTTGTCGAGGACCTCCTGGTTGACGATTTGTGTGTTGACGTACTTCGACATCAATAAAAGTGAATTGAACTGAATTGTTCTCAAACCTCACAAATGAAAACGATGAAGAATTACAATTTTTGTGAAGGGTTTAACGGTTTTATCCATTTCAATCACAATGATTGTTAGCAATGTTTCATTCATCTTTATTATTCAAAATTGCTACTTTTTACAACTGATTTACATGTCAAAAAATATTTGTATTGTTTTTATAATTTCTCCAAGTTTTCGAATAGATTTTGATATTTCGCATAGGACACACATTTCAAATTATGCATAATTATCATCAGTGATGAAATGAACTCGATTTATGTCATTATTTCATAGTTTTTCATGACCGAAATCTGATTTTTTTGAAAAACGTTTTCAACTTTCAGAATATTGAAAACCTCATCTAAGATTGATCATTTTTCGGTTATGTTGAATAGTATTTTGAAATAAATACAAAAATTCTTAAATAATTTTTTATAAACAAATCACAAATAGTATAATTTGTTATTTAAGGGCAATATTTTACAGCATCATCATTACTTAATGTTGGATCTGAGTTATCAGCCGAAACTTCACTTAATTCGACCTCAAACATATCATTCTTCGCAGTAGAGAAGACAAAATAAGAAATCAAGAAGCCAACAAAAAATCCTGCAAGAACATCATCAGCATGATGACGATAGTCTACAATTCTTGTTGCTCCAATATATAATGGAATTACAAGAACGCAAAAGGCGATGAAAAATGCAATAGATGTTGATCCATATATTTCCTTCTTCAAGAATAATGCAATGAAAGCATATCCTGCCATAGCACTTGATGAATGTCCAGATGGCCATGATCTATATTCGTCATAGAACTGACTCTTAGTGATGTTTTTGCTGCAGGTTGAAATGTCTTTTCCAACAGACTTGCCACAGACATTATATATATCTGGGCGTGGGCGGCCAACAACATTTTTGATGACGTTCACAGCTAATGTGCAACTTGCAAGAGCAATTGCAAAGTTCCAAAGTGCTGACCAGAAATGGAAAGGTTTAAATACTTTACTGAAAAATCTTGAAAGGATCTTCATTAAAACCAAAACTACAATGCCTGATGCAGCTAAGATACCAACAAGGACAAATACTTTGATTGTATCTTTTCCGTTTCCTGGATAATTTGATTGAGAATCATTTTCTGGTATCGCCATTGGATGCGGAGGTTGGAGCATTGAAACTCCTACGAGAGCAAAGAGCACAATGGCAAGAATAAGGTGTGGAAGATCTAGATAAGCCAAACAGCTTTTAGACATTGAACAAATATGATCTGAAAAGCTATGTGAAGATTTTGAGAGAATTTATTTTTTGTGAAGAAATAAAATAAGTTTGTTGAGAAACCATTCAATTAAAGAAAGGTACCACGAATAAGTTGTTATTAAGGTTAACTCCAATGCTTGCTGAATTCCAAAAGCTTAATAACCAGCTAACCTTCACAACAATTCAAATTTGAAAGGTGACAAAACACACGGTGAAAAATTTATGACTGATAAATTTGGATATGATTAATGAGGACATTATAAAAATCATAAAGACGATTTGCGCTTGCAAATTATTCATTTTTACAAAAATAAATGAGATTTAGATTCTTTTATTAATTTTTTCATGAAAATTTTGCATCATCAATTCGATATACTAGCAATGATGAAATGAAACCGAGGTCATTAAATTTTAGTGAAGAATCCATGAATGTTGAACATAATTTCCACCAAAGCGAATACCGAATAAAAAAAATTGAAAAGCTTCTAATATTTAATTTTGCAATTGATGCGTTAATCTCAATTAGCAAATCTAGGAGGAATCGTTATTGTTCTCAAATTGATTTTGTGATGGTTCCGCTTTCGATAATTTGTAATTGAATGTGAAATAATCGTATGTATCAACTACCATTCATGAATAATCTTATATCATTTTTTGATCTTCTCAAATTACCTCAGGTTATTTTTTGATAAATGAAATCCCGGTGATTTTTTGTGAGAAACCTACTCTCACAAGGATCAAAAATCTGTCTCTATTTCAATAATAGAATACTTATCAATAAATTCTTTATTTTATTGAATTGATTTTTTGATAAGTCAATAATTGAAAGCGATGCACGTTTGACTTCAGAAAAAAGAAAATGCATTCAATTTTTCTGACACTGTGATACATTTTTATAATGGAAGGAAATTCGCACCCTGATTGCACGTCACAGAGAAGAAGGTTTACATCAACTGAAGATCAGAAGATAATTCATTTAGTTGAAGATTTGAAGATTCATTCGTGGGAAGCCGTTGCAAAGCATATTCCATTCAGAACAGCAAGCCAATGTAGAGATAGGTATAATCACTACTTGTCTGTGAAGGTTGTAAATAAGCCATGGTCTCTTGAAGAAGACGAGATAATTTATAATAAGTTCAAAGAAATCGGCCCATTATGGAGTGTAATTGCAAAAGATCTTCCTATAAGAAATGGTTCATGTATAGGGTGGCAGGAAACCCCCGTAGCATCTAGGGATCAAAAGGAGATAGCTACATTCTAGTTTCATATTCATAAACCTTTGTTAAATTAGGTAACTTATAGTTGTGTATCTTTGATCAAAAGATTTGAATGAGATCGAAAAGATGGAATTTGTATCTTCAGGAACGAAAAAAAATAATTTTTTCAAAAAAATTGAATCTGAAAACCATATTATAATCTCAGTTTGTTGTTGGGATATTCTTCTGGATATTTAATAAGTATGATATAAAATATGATTGATAATATAACTAATTCTGTATTAGATTTTGTTCTATCTCATCTATTCAGATATTTTTTAGCATCCAAGTTTATTCGGGTAATTTTGACAAAAAAGTTCACTTCGAATTACGATTAGCTCATCGCCATAACCAATGGTTGTAACAACCAAACAAGTTAAAACATAATAATAAAAAGTTATGTATTTTATAATTCTTTGATAGGTTTTTTATTAATAATTACTAGTAATTCTGAAAACTTTATTTTATCAATTATCCCCGCACTCAAAAAATGACATTTTATGACGTTTTAAACAAAATAGTTTACATCAAGCACAAGAAATTACAATGTGTTTGCTATATAATATATTAAATAAACTCGTATATTTTCTTTTTTATCATACAAAGTTGGATTGATTATAATCACATAAAGCACAGCTAGATTCCAAATCATCATAAGAAAAGGTGATACTTTTTCTTCATAATATATGGCGAAATGAACTTTAATAACTCGCTCAAATCAAGGATTGGAGACTCATGATTAAAAATATAATAGGCTATTATTGACGTATTTTCTAAATATAGTATCAAATTCGAGATAACCCAATTAGGTATTGAGATGCTATGGGGGTTTCCTGCCACCCTATATTAAGAATAGATTCTATTCTAAGAATTTCAAAGAAAGAATGGAAATCATCATCTCAATGAACGATATTTTCAATAATGAAAGCCCAGAAGAAAATATTTTTGATGATTTTGTAGAACTCGATGCACTCTGATCAATGATTCTCAATATCATATATTATAAATAAACACGGAGAATTATCTATCTATTAAAATACTATATCATTTTAAATTTAAAATTAGGACTGTAAGATTAAATTTTGGTTGTTTTTCATTGGCTATTTACATATTCAGCTTGGAATATGTATGCTAAATAGAAATAAAATAATATCGAAATTAAGTAATATCGAGATAAATTAGATCGAATATGATTGTAAATTTATTAATTTTATAATTCATTGACTATCGTAGCCTACCGGCATATGCAACTGATTAAAATTCATTCACATTGATAAATTCCATAATGGAAATAATGGAAATTTATTTTCCATAAAGGAAATAATGTTTTATATAAGACTATTCACTAGATTATTTGGCTAAAGCATATTATCCAATAATCTTGATCCTTTCAAAACGGAGGATAATTGAAGATGTGTATCGTTATCAATTTTTGAGAGTATAATTGTTAGATAATTTTCCTTGAGGAATATTAGAATTTTGAAACCTTTATCGATAAGTTTAGATTTTATTTTAAGCTTATCAGATTTGTTTCAGTTCTCAAAGAATAATTTCTTTGAAAATTGATAAGTTTGTAAAATTTTTCACCGTAAAATGAAGAAACAATTGATTGAAGATGTATAGTTCATTTTTCTAGAATTAATTCAGAATGATGATGTTCTTATCATTGATAAAAGCTAGCAGTGCAATTACAACTAATGCAAATTGCACAAAACTTGAATATGGAAGTGGTACAATTAGAGCAATAAATGAAACATTATGCTACACATTAAGCAAAGATACATTTGTTGTATTCAGTACAATTCATGGAGAAGAAGCAGATGTTAACATCACTGCATCATCTGCTGCAAATCCAAAGAATATCGAAAGATTTTTAGGTTTAAAGATGAAGAATGCTGTATTCTTTGAAGCGAATGGAATCATTAATATCACAGCGGTTGAATCCAAAACAGTTTATTATACTGCTTATAATGCATCAACAATTGTTTCTTTAAAGGCGAATAAGATCGGATTCATATCAGGTAAAACTTCATTCTTTGCTTCATCTAATAAAGACGATGAGAACTCTGTAAGTATGAAACTAAAGGATGGTGTAAATGCCATATTTGTTGAAAGAAATCCTGAACATGCTACCATCAACAATATATTGGCAACTGGAAATGTGACACTTATGTATTTCGATGTTAATGGGATTTCAATCAATGAATCTAATATTATTAATGCAAGTAACTTTGTTGTTGTTGCCAATCTTACAGGAAAGAAGTCTAATGGTACTATTTCAATTTCCATAGCTCCATCTCAAGAAAATGAAGAGATTTACTATAAGTATACAATTTCAACAAGCACTTCTTCAAAGATTGTCAAAATCGATCATGGAGATGAAGAACATGATGATCATAATGACCATAAAAAAGCATGATAAAAAGCAGGGCAAAAAGCATGACAAAAAGCATGACAAAAGCTTTTTAGATCTTGACGTTGATGACCTTGAAATAGTTGGTATTGTTTCTACATCGGTTGCTTTTGCCCTCTTCATATGCATAATTGCCCTTGTATGTATACTCATTGGATGCTGTGCTAAATGTTGCAAATGTGCAAAGAAGGATGCAACTTATTCTTCAATTGAAAATAAGGAAGATAATTCCCAGCCAGTGATTTACAATAATCTTTAATTTGGTTTGATGATTTCCAGTAAAATTTTGATATTCAAGAACAATTAATTCTTTTTTCTTATATTCACAAGCCTCAGATTTCGATGCCTGTTGATTATTGCTAATCAAAAATTGTAATTAGACATGGTATGTATGTTTTCTATAACTTATAGTGGGAAAAGAAGTGTAAATTTATAAATAAATTTAAAATATTAAATATTTAATATGAAATTACAAAAGAATTTAATAATTTGGGATTCTCCTTCTCATTATCTTTGTCCTTGGAATTCTCTTAACATTCTCACTTGGATTTTCTTCTTCAACTAGAACATTTTCGTCATTTTCAACTTTTTCAAACGAAATTTGTTGAACATGCCATGCAGAAACTCTGATAATTTCATGGTCTTGAAGTAGTGGATTGGCATCTTCGTCATCTTTGATTACTTCGGCATATTCAAAGTTGCATTCACCAGAAGCGAACAAAATTGGTTCTGTTTCTGGATCGAACTTTGAAAATTCCATTTCTTCTGAGTTTTTCTCGGAAACAATTGTTCCAGGGTTAATAAAAGTAAATGAGCTCATCTTCATTGTTGTGTCTTCATCATCGTAGCATGGAGCGATTGGAGGATCTTCGTATTTCACCCTCTTGATTGTGTTGGATTCGCAAAGGTAAAAGTTGTAAATGTAATTATCGCCTCTTGAACTACCTTTTGCTTTAATCCAGACACAAACAAAGGAACTGTACAAACTTGAAGCGAAATATATGTTTTCGTATGGTTCCTTATATATTATATTGGTTTCTATCTCTCTTTGGCCGGTAATTGAAATTGTTCTCATGAAAATCAAATTTTCTATCTTGAAAACGACCAAAAGGATATCTCCTCTAATGATAGAGAAGTATAACAATGAGGATTGTGATGGTAATATATGGAATTTCGTGTTTCCGTTGTAAATCTTTCCTTCTGTGCTTACAAAGATCGGTTTTCCTTCTTTTGTCAATGCAAAATCATAAACCTTGATTTTAGCATACTTCTTAAGGCGAATATCTGAGATAGAATAAAGGAATGAGTTAATTAATAAATAAATTTCGGGAATTGATGGCATAGATAGGACTTTTTCAATGTCAGAACCTTCTTCTGGGAGTTTTAACTCAATATTCGTGTCATTTTTAACGTCCAAGAGGCGCAAATGAGTATTATTTGCCAAACATGCGAAAGTTCCTCTCTTTGATGGGGCAATATGAGCACTCTGGAGATCTTTAATATTCTTAGAATCAAGTAAGTTGACAATAAGCTTCTTTCCTGGGGGCATCTCATCTGGTTTCAAGATAAGCTCTTCATCGAAGACTTGTCTGTACTCTAATGCGTATATTCCTGCATATTCTCCAATTTTTATGATGAAATATGGAGAAAACTGGGAAATAGAAATTTCAATATTTTCCGAATTCTTCGAAACTTTGGATTTCGGAAGGAATACGTAGCTGCTTCCCAAAATATCTGGGTTTCCGAGGGTTTCTTTGTCAATTGTCTGTTGTAATGGGTTTGGATTTTCTGGAACTTTGTCAATTTCTGATTCAACTACTTCCTCTGTCTCGTGTTGGTGGGAATTCTTAGTTTTATTAACAGCATTGACAATTCCAGCCTTGAATTCGCTGATAAATGAATTAACTTTGTCATTTGTGGCCTTGATTTCTGAGAGTGCATCGTTAAGTGATTTTTCTACTATTGGTTTCAACTCGTTGCTAACTTTGGAAACGATATCTGGAATAACGACAACTTCTCTAAGGTAGTTAGCGAATTCTGGGCGTAAATGCTGCATAATTATGTTGGAGAAGTTCTCGTAATCGAATGCAACTGGTACTTGGACTTGATTTTGTTGGACTTGTACAGGATTTGCAACTTGTGGAGCAGGCTGAGGTTCAGGAACAACTTCTGGTGGTTGTGTCTCCTTTTGAGCAGGTTGTGGTGCGATTTCTTTGACTGGTTCAGCTTTAACTGGTGATTCTTCTTTTTGTGGAGGTTCTTGCTGACAATTCGTATCAGGAGCTGGAACTTGTTCATATGTAGGGGTAGAGTAATCAATTTCGGCCTGAACAACCTTTGGTAAAATTCGAATTTGTTTTTGTTCAGTTTTGAGTGGATAAGGGCTTGGAATTGTGTTTTCATTATGGCCAATTTGGAATATAGTGTATTCCTTTTTGTTTGTTCCTTCTTTCTTTTTGATTAAAACAAATTTTTCTGACAAAATTTCAATTTTTTCAAAAGTTGTAAGCGGAATCAGAGAAAGTACTTCGATTTCGCTAAATTTGAATAGTTCTGGACTTTCAAAGAATTTCAAGAAATTAATTTCTGTAGAATAAACACAGGAAAGGCTGGAGTTTGGTAGCGATACCGTATTGATTTCTCCTTTAAGTGGCTGTTTCAGAGTTGATTTAATAGAAATTGATGCTTGGTATTTGCCTATTTCATTAAATTCAAAAATTTGGCTTGTAATTTCGTTAAGTTTTATTTTGTCTTGTGATATAACGCAAGCCTGTGTTTTGTTGAGTGAATAGAGCTTGATAATATTGCGGGAATTTGGAATATCGATACTTACACTTGAAACTTCATTGTTTTTAATGTTCTTGATATGGAGCGTTCTTTCTTCTCTATAAAGATAGTTATTATTAATAAAAACGCAGATATCATCGATTTTTTGGTTATCTGGTGAAATTTTATTGATTTTGTCATTCTCTAGCAAGAAAACCGAGTTAGATGCTAAAATAAGTATTGTAATGTTGTTAATGTTCGGGAAAATTGCAACATCTTGGATAATAAATTGAAATGGTTTTTCAAATATCATTGTTAGATCGTTTTTATACAATCTCACTGTCTGAGAATCAAATGTAAATAAGTAATTTGATGTAGAATTGCGTGATGATTTGATGAATAAATTTCCATTTGATAATTCTTTGCGTGGAGATTCTTTTATCTTGTGGTAATATTTGTCGTAAAGTTCTACTGTATTTTCTTTAAATTGAAAAATATTTTCATCAGAAAAACAGACATTTCCTTCCAATTCCATGACTTTTGGACGCTTGAGTGATATCCTATCAAGTACATTAGAAAAGGGTTGGCTTCCTGAAGATGGAGAAGCAGCTGCTGTCATTTGTTTTTATTTTGGATCCTTTTTAAAAATGTTACCCCCTTCTATAATAATTCTTGGATTTCAAAGTTGTAAAAAAAGACAGAGTTCTTAATAAAGATTATTTTATGAATAGTACATGCCTTCCAATGCAAAGATAGAATCACATCTTCAATATCAATTCGAAAATTTAAGCAAACAATGTGAATGAATATATCAGCAAGCTTCTTTTGATGTTATATATTTTAGTACTATATGTTGGTGTGACTCAAACAGTTTATACAACTGGAATTCATCAAATTACCACATTAATATCGAATTTCAAGCTATCCTCTTAGTGTAAAATGTTTTGTTAGATGAAAATATATCTACGATATAATTTAAAAGCTAATAACAAATTCTTTTGAACGGTTTGGTCATATGTAAAAAAAATTTACAAAAATTTGAAAAAAAAATTTTTATTAAATGTCTCTTAAGGCAAAGAGGAATATTTATGAGTGTCCGCATTGCCACACATTCTCCATGATTGTTAACGACAAAACCGGTCTTCTTGTATGCAATAAATGCGGTGTTTGTGCAGATACTCCACTTTATGATGAAACATCCGAGTACAGAAACTTTGCAATTGAACACGGTGTTAAAGATAAATCCCGTACAGGTTATTCTGGCGATGCAAATGCGGCGGATCTTGGTACAGCTATTCAATTAACCGGATCAAAGAACAGCAAATTACTGAGTGACTTAAATAAGAAAATTGTTCAAGATAGTAAACTCATTAAACTTAAGAAAGCTATGAGAAGAATTTCCCAACTTGTTGAAGATATGAATTTAGGAAAACCAATTGCATCAAAAGCCCAAGAAATATACAAAAATGCTTTGGATAACGGTCTTCTTCACAACCAAAAGTTAGTTGCTGTTGATGCTGTTTGTGTTTATTATGCTTGTATACATCGTAAACAAGCTATTGATATTGCAGATGTTCTTAAATATCGTGATGAAATCACATTAAAAGATTTCCATAATGTTGAAAAAAGTCTTGATTCTTTGCCAGACCTTAAAGTTACAACATCATTTGCAGAAGTTGCTGCAGGATTTGCTGAGACGAAACTTCATCTTAGACCTTTCGTTTGCGATGCAATTTTGGCTCTCGGAAGAGTATTTGAAGCAAACTCTTCTTTCGCTGGTGCTGATCCAACAACAATCGCTGGCGCTCTCGTTTTGCACATCAATGACTATCTGCTACCAGGTTTCAAAACTACTGTTGAAAATGTGTTGACTGTCGTAGGAAAATCAGAAAAAACTGTCTTGAAATATAAGAAAGAAATCGATGGTTTGAGAGAACAGACTAAAAACATTCCTGCTGTAGCTGAATTGATCAAGATTATGAAAGATGAAGAAATGAAGAGATAAAATTCAAATCTTACTATAATGTATGATATATTTCCATTAAAAAAAATATTAATAAAAAAGTTTTTTTTTGAGTTTTAGTTTTGTTTTTAATTATGCAATTAAGCTTCGGCATATATGTCATGGTCTTCAAAGTTGAATTTCAAAGGCGATTGGCGATAGGTATCTGAATTAGTGTACCCTTAATTGATACTGTATTAGTTTACTGCATATAATCTCGATTTATTGATACTTAAGATCATTTATGATACTATGATTTGGAAAAGCTTGTTTTTAAATATATTTTAGTAAGTTTTATAAGTGAAAAAAATAATTAAAAGCATGACAATAATGCATATAACTTACATTTTCATATAGCCATATATATTTCCATAACCATATATTTGCTTTTGATCATAATCATGATTAACATCTAATTGATTGCAGATTTAACTAAATAAATAATATACATGTTTAATAACAAAGAAAAATAATCACAGGTCTGGAGCTTCTTAGCATTCTGGTGAATTATTTGATTCGCTGCATTCTTCAGCAGAAACTTTAGCTGCTTTTGTCTGTGTATAAATAGAATAAATGGCAACACCAACAACAATAAGGAATATTGCGAAGATTGTCCAGCCGGAAATAGCTCCTGCCATGTATTTACCTTCGAATTCATAGATTTCATCGTTCTGAATGCTGTATGGAAGTTCGATTTCGTTGTTTTGGTTTTTAGTATTTACAGTCAAAATGAAATCTTGTTCGTCGATGTCTTCTGGTGGATTGATGACAGAGACAAAAAATGAATTGATTGAAAGATTTGAATCTTCCATTGATTGCTTGATTGGTGTTCCATCTGGTGTGAACGTTTCAACGATGTTGATTTTATTAGATTTAATTTCTGATCTAGAATACAAAGAATTGAATGATTTGAAGATGCATGTTTTGTTATCTTTAGAGATCACATACTTGCATCTCATGGTTCTACTTCTGTATTTGCTGCACAAAGTGATATCTTCTGATCCACCGGAGATAATCATTTCATTGCATTTATCTTGAAGATAGTCGAGTTTGTATATGTTCATAGGAATCCTGCTGATTGTGTCTTTCTTGATGATTTTGACACTGATCTCCGTTTCTTTCTTTGTCACAATTGCATGTTTCTTCATCTCTGTCAAATTGATCTTGACTTTATTAGATAACGCTGCAATGGAATAATCTTCTCCGATTGATGGATCAAATATAACTAGTGAATTTGGACTGATCTTGACAGTGCTCATATCATTCACTATCGAAATTCTTGGATGAAATATTTCTGGTCGTAATGAAACATGCGGTGAAACTGATGTTGAACTTGTGAAAAAATGTTGAAATGCAGAAACATGGAAATTACCGCTTACATGAGACTTATCAATTTGTTTTTGTGCAATTATAGATGATATTCCTATGAATGAGTTCTTATAAATATCATTAGAAACAATTCTAAAAACTGCAAATGTGACGTTATGTAATAATTTTGTCTCTCTAATTACGTCTAGTTTATCGTCCATTGTGTATGAAAAATAGATATCAATTTTGAATTTGTCATTATTAGATATTGGAAATGAAAGATATGATATTACATCACAATCTTCTGATCCAATGAAAACAACTAAGTGATTTGAGATGAAATATTTGTATCCAACATCAATAAGATACTGTTTCTTGTCTTGGTTGATGATGAAATCTAATGTTGAATCCTCTTTTTCAAGAGCAAAGATAACGAATTCGAGAATTCCATTGCTATGAATTCCTTTAACTTTGAAAGATCCTGTTGGCATAATAATCACCCTGATATCACTCATTCCTGGAAAACTGAATTTATTATGGTTTAAGAAAGCTACAAATCCATTTTTACCAGATGAGACTGGAGTAATAACTGTTGTTACTTCATATTTGGAAACTCTTGCTTTATTTCTTCCAAATTTCGCTGAAATTATAACATCATAATCCCTTGTTTTAACATTTGTCTCAGTTTCCTGGGACTTTGAACCTGTACCACCTGTATTTGTATTGGTTTTATCATCAGTGTTTGTTTCATTTGTATTTGTGCTTATTCCTCCTGGATTTGTATTCGTTTTATCATCAGTGTTTGTGTTTGTTTGACTTGTATTTGTGCTAGTTCCTCCTGGATTTGTATTGGTATAATTATCAGTATATGTTTCGTTTGAATTTGTATTAGTTCCATCATGAGAATCTGTGCCTGAGCCATCTGGGTTTGGGTCGATTTCATCATTATTTGTATCAGTTTCATCATTATTTGTGTCGATTTCATCATTGTCGGCATCATTATCATCATCATCTTTATTTGTATCAGGATCATCATCAGTATTTGATCCTGTTTCGTCGGTAATTGTATCAATATCATCTGGATAGTCAAATTTATCATAAAAATATAATGGAGTTGAGTGTGAAATACCAACATAGCCATATGGATTGCTTTCGCCAACTTTGTATTCAATAATGAATGATTTCTTGTATTTGAGTGTTGTGAATTCATCTTTGATAATAACTGGAGTTGATTCCATAGAAAATGAATCATAATATGAAAATTTATTCAAATCAGAAGTTTTTGTGTCTTTAAATAAAACTGTTGTCATTTCACCTGTTCCTAAATGGATGACACAATACTTACTATTTTCTTTTGTATAAGCGTTAGTGAAAAATAAATCATGAAAATAATTCACATTGTATTTAATATTACAATCTTTAGCTAATTGATAAACTGTGAACTCAATGTTGTATTTACCACTAAAAACTGATATGAAATCTGGATTCATGATAGAACTTGAAATTGCTCTTTTTGATGATTCATTTATGTATTGTCTTGAATGGAAAACAACAAATGTGTTGAATTTATCTGATTTTGGAAATTTGATTGTGGTGACTTGAAAATTTTGAGGACTAAATGAATTGTGTCCTAATTGTGCAACAAAAAACTGTCTAACAAGAGATTTTCCTTTGAATAAATGATTGAAACCACGAACATGAAGTATTTTTGATTTTGTTGAACCGGATTTTCTTGCAAATATAATTCCACAATATGGGAAAATACAATCATTCTTTGTAATTATCTTTATCATTGAATATAATTTGTATTTATATTTTGTTTCACTGATTTCAAACGATTCTTCCATGTTGAATGTATCTGAGAAAAACATGCTGTAACTTGAATCTGAATAATCGTACTTCTTTAACGTGATTTCTGTTTTCTCGTTTGTTAATGTTGCAATGCAATACTTCTTATTCGGTTTGTAGTGGAGAGGATCAACTGTGAAATGATTACCGTATTGATTGAAAAGTAAATCAATTGTGTCACAGTCTTTGTCCATTTTAAGATGATAGATTGTATCACTGTAATAATCTGAAACTGATTTGATGACAAATGTTTTATCCGAATGAATCATTTTCGAAATTGGAGAATGATCACATTTCATGAGATTCTTTTCATCATTGAAGTAAAGGAAATGATTGAAATTATCATCACGTTCATATGTGATCACAAGTGTCTTAAATTGTGAATCTATGTATGAATTAGGACCATATATCAAATCTGTGAATAATGATACTTTGACTGGATCGATGAATCCATCAAATTTATGATTTTCATCATGTGATAAAATTTTGTCATAAGATCTATAATTTGGTGAGATGAAACCAATATCATATATACCAACAATACCAGATCTCTTTGTTGATGATGAAATATATTCAATTATAAGACAATCTGTTCTCAATGTTTTCATTGTATTACTTATCTCTGTTTTGTTGAAACCGAATATGTATGATTCATATACATTAAATGTTTCATCTTGAGGAAATTCTGGAGTTCGGATAACTTGTTTATCATTATAATTGAGATCTCCAAACAAAACTAAGATGTGTTTCTTATTTGACTCAACTGTTGATGTGTTCCAGTAAACTTGACTGTATTTAGGTTTGAAACTGAAATCATATGAATAATCACCATCAGGAAGAACTAAAAGATAGAATTTGATTGATGAATCTTGTGTTTCGACATCGAGAGTTTCATCCAATTCTGAAATAATACCAGTCTTGTTGCTCTTGATGAAATGAACATCTGACTCTGTGTCAAATGCAACAAAAACTTTGAAACCGTTTTCTTTTGGATAGATAATACTCGTCTTAGACAAAGAGACATTGTTATATCCTGGATGTGCAATATAATAATTTCCATTGATTTCATGAAGTCGTTTACCTTCTGAGTATATATTATCTTGGTTTGATATATATTCGTTTCCAATGATAGTTGTCTCTTTGACCATGATATATGTCTCATTATTTGATATGAAATCAATGTATTTAAATGTCTGTTTTTCATATTCTCTGATTGTATCAACTTTTGTAACTTGATCTTCTGTGTAAAATATCATATCCGTTTCGTTTGTCGAAATCATTGCTATGCAGTGTCTTTTGTTTGGTTCTGCAATCATGAAGTATTGTTGATTAATTTTGTCATTCACCATATTGAATGAGTAGCAATCATTGTCAAATTTTGAAAAGTAATAGATAATTGTACAATATGCATCGCTTGTTTGAATGTAAACTGATTTTCTGTTTCTTAACTTTTGTTCTAAATTGATGTTAATTTCTCGAAGTGAATTCGTTGATTTGAGATAAAGAATCATGTTTTGATAATATTCACAGTTTGATGATAGAATAACAAGTTCATCTTTCTGAATATCAATTTCGTTAAAGCCTTCTCTTGATTCATGTATTGTTGTTTTTGGATATGTTGAGATTTCAAATTGTTTGTTGAAGATTCCTTTTGAAAATTTTTCTGGATGCGATTCTATCGCTTCAATGCTTGCAACACCTGCAATTGAGTTGATTCGTTGAGTGTTGTTGATTCGAAGTGTGACACCTCGTTCAATCGAATATGAATTATCGATCATGTAGTTGTTTCCGTATCTGATCAAATCAACATCTTCTGGATCGAAAACAGTGATACGAGAATCAGAATATGAAACGAAGTGCATGCAAATTAAACCATCTGTCTGTTGGAGATTGACAAAATATGATGTACCATTACCATTGATGATGTATGAATTCTTGCAACCATATTCAACGAGGATCAATTTGAAATACAAGATGTGATATCCTGATGAAGATCGAACAAACAATGGTCGTTGAATATCATAAACTTCGTTTTGACCGATAAAGTATTGTTTGTTGAATATGATGATTGTAGATTTGAATCCTTCCTTACTGTGGAAGTCAATGATTGTATCTTCAGTGTTAGAAATGTTCAAAGTGTGTTTATCAAAGTTTGCAATGTAGAGATTCTTCATTTGGATATTAGGTGAAATTGAGTGTTCGATGTTACCGAAGAACAATCCTGTCATCAGTCCTTCTGTTGAAACTGAAGATGATGAAAATTTGCAAGTATAGATGCCGAACTTGCCTGTGTTGTCGATATTGTTTAGAACAACCAATGAAAAATTTGTTTTCGAAATATTATGTATTCTGTGTTCATGAAGATTGTGTTCTATTGAATTTTGATTTATATCTCTGATGTAGACAACATTATTTCGATTCATGTCTGAACTGTAGTATAATGTGTAGTCCATATCGTATTTCGATGCTAGAATGAGACAATGTTTCCTGTTGATTCCGAGGTTTGAAGAATCGAAAACCGCTTGTTTGTCTGCACCATTGATCATCGCATCAACCGTCTCACACTCGTTGTTTGTTTCTGTAACATAAAACTCGAGTTGAACCGGATTCTTCGGTTTCAAGCCAATGTATGTATTGTTGTTGATTGTGAGGACTTCATTCAGTTTCTGACCATTGTCAAAGAAGATATCTTGAGTGTTGATGAAGGTTGCAAATACTTGGTTTCCATCTGGGAACAGGATGTATGTGAATGTCTCGTTATCAAGTTCTATTGAGTTGTAACCAAACTTAGCGTTATATTCGAATGGGATCTTTTTGACTTCGATAACTCTTTCTGATGTTCTCCAGAAGTTACTGTAGACTGTCTCGTTGCTTGTCTTGTTGAAACTTTGAACACCGACAACGGAGTGTGTATCGGATTCATTCTTCTCATAGAAAAGGAAAATATTGTTCCAGTCATCAATTGTCATATTATTCTCTGTAACTTCGACTGTTGAATTCGGAATATTAAGGTTTTCGACAAATAACTTTCCAGGTGATAACTTGCTCTTGTATAATGTGAAGCTATGGTTAGAATTAGAACCAAAGAACATACAATGACGTTTATTGCTTTCAACTCTCAATGGATCAAAAATATATGAACTTTCGGAATTTCCATTTATCTGAATATAATCGTAAGAATCACAGTTGTTTGGAACCTGTGCAACCATCCATCTTAACACGCCTCCACCAGAATTAGCAGTAATACTTCCTTGATTAACGAGTATCTTTGGAATAGCACCGTAGTAATATTCAGTATAGTGCTTGCAATTATATTTTTTCCAGAAAATTTTCTTGCAGCTTTTGATTCTTTCACTCCCTGTTACCATATTAAATCCGTCGAGATTATAAAATATGACAGCATTATGATGGTCACTTGACGCACCATCAAAACCAATTCAGGTATGCCCTTGTACCCATCTAGAAAACTCAGGATAAAAAGCAATTGTCAGGAGGAAAGAGAGCATTTAAAAAAATTTTCTTATTGTCTGGATTTTTAATTCAAAAATATAAAAAAAAAGAATCAATCAGCTAGCATATCAACATCAACATAAATATTTATTGGTAAAATTTTTAATTTGTAAATTGAGGCGAAGTCGTGATTCTATTCTTAATTACAAAATCAAAACTGGAATTTTGTTTCACTTATGTATATAACTCACACCAATTAGAATATTAATTGGCTAATTAGGCAAAAAAGAGTGCGACTCGAAAAAAAAGAAAATATAGGGGGGAACACTTTTTTCAATTCTGAACATACATTTTTAGAGTTACTGCTTCAAAATCATTGACGCTTGTTGTTATTGTTGATGATTCTAATATACCTATACTTTGTTTGTAAGTAAAATTCATATGAAAATTTTCTCAATTATTTAATTTGTCAAAATTCATATTGTAAACCATCCAACTAAACCAACGATTAAAAATTTGCCTAAAATTAAATTTCAATAGTGTTTTGCTTAGAACTCCAGAAATCATAATCATCATGAGTTGTGAACTTCTTAACACCAACAATTGGTTTGTTATCTTTCTCATCTGGTTCATAATAAAGATAAAGATTATTCCAACCATTAATTGTATACGTTTCTTCTGTAACTTTTGTAGCAGTGTTTGGAATGTTCATGTTCTCAACGAGGAGATTGCCAAATGATTCATTGCTCTTGTAGACAACAAAGTTGTGCTTTGTTTGTGATCCAAAGAACATACAATGACGCTTCCCTTTCTCTAACTTTGAAGGATCAAAGATGTATGAATCTTTAGAGTTTCCTTTGATCATGTAATAATCGAAAGTTTGGCATGACTCTGGAACATTGAATTCCATCCACTTTAGCATTTTATTATCAGCCTTTGCGATAATATGATCCTTGTTCTCTAAAACCTTAGGGATTGCATCGTATTCGTATTTAGTTGAGCGTTTGCAGTTGTATCTTTTCCAAAGTATTCTTTTGCATGATTTCTGTATAAAGCTTCCTGTAACCATTTTGAAACCTTCATTATTATAAAAGATGACAACTTTTTTATGTCCTTCAGTAGTATTTCCGAATTGAACATCTGTTCTGCCATCAATGTACTTAGATTTATAGCCAATAAATTCTGAACTTACTAAGCATAACATACAATGAAACATCATTTGAAAATGTTGAATGGGGAAAAAATTGAGTATAAAGTCACATTATTTGTTTAAAAAGTCGTAAGTGAATATTTATAAGAAAATATGTTTAAAGGAACTTATCTTTCATTATTAAAATAATATTTATGATTAAAAATACAATTGTTTACAAATTTAAATATTTTGTGAAAAAATAAACATGTTAAGGATACCCTTACGTGTCAGATTTTTTGCGCATACGAAGAAGTCATGCTAGACATGAGCTATAAACCTGAAATTTTAGCAACATATTTAAAACTTTTTAAACTACAATACACTTTAATATTCAAGAACAAAAATATTCTTTTTAGAAATTACATAATTATTTTATGTGAAATCTATATAAAAACATATTTTGCGAGCGTAACTTTTTTCTTTATAAGCACCTTATATGACTGATAAACTGTGAAGGCACATAATTGTTAATTCATAGAGTTGATATGTTTCCAAAATTGAGAGGAAATTTGAAAATTGAATACCCTTTCAATTCAATTTTCAAAAGATATCAGCTCCTTCAATAATTGAAGGACGATTTTGATCATTTGCTCTTAAAACAAGTATGCCATGGAGAAAAAAGTTACGCTCGCAAATCTGAAATATAACTATCATATAAAAAAATTAAATTTCTAATTTTTTACTCTATAGATATTATTGGCCACTTGTGTAATGCATAAAAGTTTATGTCATATGCATACATTTGGAAGTATGGGAGACGAGGGAAATTACTTCTATGAGGCACTAGGATTTTTAAAAATTTCTCTATCGGACTCACCATTCAATTTCTCGAAAATTAAAAAAAATCAATAATAGCTAAAATGTATTATGCATAACAAATTTTAATGTTACACGGTATTTTTTGAACTTCATGACATGAATTTTCTTTATATTATTTTTTTTTGGATTTTCTATGATTTATGCGATAGGCTGGAACAACATTGTAAGTGCAATGATATCATTTATAGAGAAATCTAAAACTTCAGCATTCAGAACTCGCAACCACAAAAATATTCATTTGCTAAGTAAGTAAAGTTGATTAAGTTCGACACTTAGCTTTTATACGTAAAACCAAGTGTGTATTGTTATTTCTTGTTAAATTATTGAGAAAAAAATAAATTGTAAGAGAAACGATACTGATTATTGAAATAATATTGAGGGTAGCTGCAGATTTCTTCATTAATATGCCGGAAATTTGTTAATCTTGGTTTTCTATCATAAAATCTGTCGAAGAATCTAAAAACGGAGATATGAAATAGAGATCATGTAAATCTAGAGTATCCTGTCAGAAAAATAGACTAAGCATGTAACCCTTTTTTGGTCATAAACACTTTTTACCACTTAGTCATACAGATGATCATGAAATTTAAACGAGCACTTTTTGTCAGAATTTATTCTTTTACAAAGACAGAAGATTTTAGTATTATTTAATATTAGTGTTGTAGCAAAATTCAAAAAACGGTGAAAATTCAGTGAATTTGTGAATTCACATTTTTTTTCGACATTTTTCTTGATATATCCATGCACATTAAGAACACAGCTTTGATACGCTTAAAAAAGCATATTTCATATGAAATTGTTAAAGAAATAAACAATTTATATAAAAATTGCACTTATGGGCAGTTTAGATATATAATTTATATATAACATATATACAAATCCATAGACAAAGTGCAATAACTACAATGTTGTAGAAAATTACAGCAGAAATACTGACTTTTTGAAGGATAATAAGAATTCTTCTAAATGTTGTATTTTTATAATTTGATTGATTTTTTTTACTATTTCATTAATCTTTTATGAATAATAATTATTTTTAATATATGTGCTATTAAAATTTCAAATTTTGACTAATATATCTAAGTTATCTGAACGAAACATTTAGAAAATATCATACTTACATTGAAATAGCAAGTAGAGCATATTAATAGCAAGTTTCTTGGCTTTATATCTATCATCTATTGTTGTTTGATCAAACAAAATTCACTCTATTATATGGTGTCAATTAATTAAAACAATTTTTAATAGTTATTTATTTAGTGCGAATAAGTGCAAACTCATAAATGAATAACTTAATAGTAGAAATGAATTATCTGATATAAATCTCACATTTTGTCCATCAGAAATACTTTAATTGCATACGCATAACTATTAGTAATACGTCTGGAGTGTCAATTAATAACAATCCCACAACAAGTAAAATTCAGATTTTTATTAAACTTATTTTTTCCTAAAAGTTTTCTCAAATTACTATATATACATATGTGGATAAAATAATAGTAATATTGTAAAAAATTAGATAATTTTTTTTATTTGAGAACCTCTCAAAAGTTCATTCAATTTATCAATTGTTTCAGTTTGATGTATATTCATTTCTGGAGCCTAAAACTTTAGCAATCATGACAATATCATATTCTCTTTCTAACTACGCAATGTAAGGGTATACTTAAAGAATAAATAAAAATAATCACATATCTGAGTAATCTCTTGATTCACTGAAATCATAGCTAACAACATGAACTTTCTTAGTCTGTATATAGATAACAATAATTGTAATAATAACAACAATAACAAATATTGAGAAGATTGTCCAGCCAGCAATAACACCAGTATTCGATTTGCCTTCGAATTCGTAGATTTCATCATTCTGAATGCTGAATGGAGTTTCTTTTTCATTGTTTTTGTTTATCATGTTTGCATAAAAGTAGAAATCTTGTTCGTCGATGTCTTCTGGTGGATTGATGACAGAAACGAAATATGAACTGATTGAGAGATTTGAATCTGCCATAGATTGCTTGATTGGTGTTCCATCTGGTGTAAACATTTCGACGATGTTGATTTTATTTGATTTAATTTCTGATCTAGAATACTTAGAACTGAATGATTTGAAGATGCATGTTTTGTTATCTTTAGAGATAACATGTGTGCATTTCATTGATTTGCTCATGTTTTTACTGCACAATGTGATGTCTTCTGATCCACCGGAGATAATCATTCTGTTGCATTTCTCTTGAAGATAGTCGAGTTTGTATATGTTCATAGGAATCCTGTTGATTGTGTCTTTCTTGATGATTTTGACACTGATCTCTGTTTCTTTCTTTGTGACAATTGCTTGTGTCTTCTTCTCTGTCAAATTGATTTTGACGCCGTTGGAAACTGCTGTGATGAAATAATCTTCTCCGATTGATGGATCGAATATGATCAATGAATTTCGACTGATCTTGACTGTACTCATCTCACTCACTATCGAAACTCTTGGATTGAAAATCTCTGGTCGTAATGAAACGTGTGAAGAAAGTGATGTTGAATTTGTGAAAATATGAGGATATGCAGAAACATGGAAATTACCGCTTATATGAGATTTATCAATTTGCTTTTGTGTTGTGATAGATGATATTCCAATGAATGAGTTCTTATAAACATCATTAGAAATAATCCTAAAAATTGCAAATCCGATGTTATGTAACGATTTTGATCCTTTAATTATGTCTGGATTATCATCCATCGTGTATGACAAGTATATCTCTGTCTGGAAGTTTTCGTTGTTTGAGATTTGATATGAAATATATGATGTAACGTCATATTCATCTGATCCAATGAAAACAACTAAATGATCTGAGATGAAGTATTTGTATCCAGTGTCAATAAGATATTGTTTCTTGTCTTGGTTGATGATGAAATCTAATGTTGATTCACCTTTTTCAAGAGCAAAGACAACGAATTCGAGAATTCCGCTATCTTTGTTGCTTTTCACTTTGAATGATCCCTTTGGCATAATAACCTCTCTGATGTCATCCATTCCTGGGAAAGTGAATTCATTATAGTTCAAGAAAGCAACAAACACATTTTTACCAGATGATACTGGAGTAATAACATTTGTCACATCATATTTTGAAATTTTTGCAGTATTTCTTCCAAATTTCGCTGAAATAAAGATAATACGATTCGATGTTTCATCAGTATTTGTATTTGTCTTATTTTGCTTTGATTCTGTATCCTTGATTTTTTCCGGATAATCCAATATATCATAAACATATCTTGGTGTTGTATATGAGACGCCAGCATGGCCATATGGATTTCCTTCACCAACTTTGTATTCGAGAATAAATGATTTCTTGTCTTCAATTGTTGTGAATTCATCATTGATAATAACTGGTGTTGATTCCATAGAAAATGAATCATAATATGAAAACGAATTCAAATCAGATGTTTTTGAATCTTTGAACAATATTGTTGTCATTTCGTCGATTCCTAAATGGATGACGCAGTATTTACTGTTTTGCATTGTTTCTGAATTTGAGAAATAAAAATCTTCAAAATAGTTAATGTCATAACTAACAATACAATCTTTAGCTAATTGATAAACTGTGAACTCAATGTTTTGCTTACCACTAAAAACTGATATGAAATCTGGATTCATGACGCAACTTGAAATAATTCTTCTTGATGATTCATTTATGTATTGTATTGAGTGAAAAACAACAAATGTGTTGAGTTTATCTGATTTGGAAACTTTGATTGTTGTTGCTTCATAATTCTGAAGACTAAATGAGTTATATCCTAACTGTGAAACAAAAATCTGGCGAACAAGAGACTTTTCTTCAAATAAATAATTGAATCGATCAATGTGATATATATTTGATTTTGTTGAACTGGATTTTCTTGCAAATATAATTCCACAATATGGGAAAATACAATTATTCTTTGTAATTATCTTTATCATTGAATATAATTTGTATTTATATTTTGTTTCACTGATTTCAAACGATTCTTCCATGTTGAATGTATCTGAGAAAAACATGCTGTAACTTGAATCTGAATAATCGTACTTCTTTAACGTGATTTCTGTTTTCTCGTTTGTTAATGTTGCAATGCAATACTTCTTATTCGGTTTGTAGTGGAGAGGATCAACTGTGAAATGATTACCGTATTGATTGAAAAGTAAATCAATTGTGTCACAGTCTTTGTCCATTTTAAGATGATAGATTGTATCACTGTAATAATCTGAAACTGATTTGATGACAAATGTTTTATCCGAATGAATCATTTTCGAAATTGGAGAATGATCACATTTCATGAGATTCTTTTCATCATTGAAGTAAAGGAAATGATTGAAATTATCATCACGTTCATATGTGATCACAAGTGTCTTAAATTGTGAGTCTATGTATGAATTAGGACCATATATCAAATCTGTGAATAATGATACTTTGACTGGATCGATGAATCCATCAAATTTATGATTTTCATCATATGAGAGAATTTTGTCATAAGATCGACAATTTGGTGAGATGAAACCAATATCATAAATACCAACAATACCAGATCTCTTTGTTGATGATGAAATATATTCAATTATAAGACAGTCTGTTCTCAATGTTTTCATTGTATTACTTATCTCTGTTTTGTTGAAACCGAATATGTATGATTCATATACATTAAATGTTTCATCTTGAGGAAATTCTGGAGTTCGGATAACTTGTTTATCATTATAATTGAGATCTCCAAACAAAACTAAGATGTGTTTCTTATTTGACTCAACTGTTGATGTGTTCCAGTAAACTTGACTGTATTTAGGTTTGAAACTGAAATTATATGAATAATCACCATCCGGAAGAACTAAAAGATAGAATTTGATTGATGAATCTTGTGTTTCGACATCGAGAGTTTCATCCAATTCTGAAATAATATCAGTCTTGTTGCTCTTGATGAAATGAACATCTGACTCTGTGTCAAATACAACAAAAACTTTGAAACCTGTTTCTTTTGGATAGATAATACTCGTCTTTGACAAAGAGACATTGTTATATCCTGGATGTGCAATATAATAATCTCCACTGATTTCATGAAGTTGTTTGACTTCTGAATATATATTGTCAGAGTTTGATACATATTCATTTCCGATGATAGATGTTTCTTTGATCATGATATATGTTTCATTATTTGAAGTGAATTCAATGTATTTAAATGTTTGTTTTTCATATTCTCTGATTGTATCAACTTTGTAACTTGATCTTCTGTGTAAAATATCATATCCGTTTCGTTTGTCGAAATCATTGCTATGCAGTGTCTTTTGTTTGGTTCTGCAATCATGAAGTATTGTTGATTAATTTTATCACTTACCATGTTGAATGAGTAGCAATCATTGTCAAATTTTGAAAAGTAATAGATAATTGTGCAATTTGCATCGGTTGTTTGAATGTAGACTGATTTTCTGTTTCTAATCTTTTGTTCTAAATTGATATTAATTTCTCGAAGTGAATTTGTTGATTTGAGATAAAGAATTATGTTTTGATAATATTCACAGTTTGATGATAAAATAACAAGTTCATCTTTTGAATGTCAATTTCGTTAAAACCTTCTCTTGATTCATGTATTGTTGTTTTTGGATATGTTGAGATATCAAATTGTTTGTTAAAGATTCCTATTGAAAATTCTTCTGGATTCGATTCTATCGCTTCGATGCTTGCAACACCTGCAATTGAGTTGATTCGTTGAGTATTGTTGATTCGAAGTGTGACACCTCGTTCAATTGAATATGAATTATCGATCATGTAGTTGTTTCCGTATCTGATCAAATCAACATCTTCTGGATCGAAAACAGTGATACGAGAATCAGAATATGAAACGAAGTGCATGCAAATTAAACCATCTGTCTGTTGGAGATTGACAAAATATGATGTACCATTGCCATTGATGATGTATGAATTCTTGCAACCATATTCAACGAGGATCAATTTGAAATACAAGATGTGATATCCTGATGAAGATCGAACAAACAATGGTCGTTGAATGTCATAAACTTCGTTTTGACTGATGAAGTATTGTTTGTTGAATATGATGATTGTAGATTTGAATCCTTCCTTACTGTGGAAGTCAATGATTGTATCTTCAGTGTTAGAAATGTTCAAAGTGTGTTTATCAAAGTTTGCAATGTAGAGATTCTTCATTTGGATATTAGGTGAAATTGAGTGTTCGATGTTACCGAAGAACAATCCTGTCATCAGTCCTTCTGTTGAAACTGAAGATGATGAAAATTTGCAAGTATAGATGCCGAACTTGCCTGTGTTGTCGATATTGTTTAGAACAACCAATGAAAAATTTGTTTTCGAAATATTATGTATTCTGTGTTCATGAAGATTGTGTTCTATTGAATTTTGATTTATATCTCTGATGTAGACAACATTATTTCGATTCATGTCTGAACTGTAGTATAATGTGTAGTCCATATCGTATTTCGATGCTAGAATGAGACAATGTTTCCTGTTGATTCCGAGGTTTGAAGAATCGAAAACCGCTTGTTTGTCTGCACCATTGATCATCGCATCAACCGTCTCACACTCGTTGTTTGTTTCTGTAACATAAAACTCGAGTTGAACCGGATTCTTCGGTTTCAAGCCAATGTATGTATTGTTGTTGATTGTGAGGACTTCATTCAGTTTCTGACCATTGTCAAAGAAGATATCTTGAGTGTTGATGAAGGTTGCAAATACTTGGTTTCCATCTGGGAACAGGATGTATGTGAATGTCTCGTTATCAAGTTCTATTGAGTTGTAACCAAACTTAGCGTTATATTCGAATGGGATCTTTTTGACTTCGATAACTCTTTCTGATGTTCTCCAGAAGTTACTGTAGACTGTCTCGTTGCTTGTCTTGTTGAAACTTTGAACACCGACAACGGAGTGTGTATCGGATTCATTCTTCTCATAGAAAAGGAAAATATTGTTCCAGTCATCAATTGTCATATTATTCTCTGTAACTTCGACTGTTGAATTCGGAATATTAAGGTTTTCGACAAATAACTTTCCAGGTGATAACTTGCTCTTGTATAATGTGAAGCTATGGTTAGAATTAGAACCAAAGAACATACAATGACGTTTATTGCTTTCAACTCTCAACGGATTAAAAATATATGAACTTTCGGAATTTCCATTTATCTGAATATAATCGTAAGAATCACAGTTGTTTGGAACCTGTGCAACCATCCATCTTAACACGCCTCCACCGGAATTAGCTGTTATACTTCCTTGATTAACGAGTATCTTTGGAATAGCACCGTAGTAATATTCAGTCCAACGCTTGCATTTATATTTTATCCAGAAAATTTTCTTGCAGCTTTTGATTCTTTCACTCCCTGTTACCATATTAAATCCGTCGAGATTATAAAATATGACAGCATTATGATGGTCACTTGACGCACCATCAAAACCGATTCTGGTATGCCCTTGTACCCATCTAGAAATCACTGGATAAAATGCTATTGTAAGGAGGAAAGAAAGCATTTGAAAAAAAAATTTATAATCGTCAAAAATTTTCTTTCAAATATAATAATTAAAGAAATTATTGCTTGATATATTGTATTTAGTTTAAAAATTTATCGGAAAATTTTTTGTTATGTGCTTTGAGGCGAAAGTCGTTCTTTTGTTTTTATTAACAAAAGTGTGATTCTGTTTAGTATATGTATAAAACTCACACCAACTTGAATATTATGATGAGTACGGGACAAATTTGCCCAACATCACTTATGAAAATATATTAAAATTTACGAAAAGATATTCATAAGTGTTATTTAAACATATAATAGTTTATTGAGTAATTTCTTTAACATTTTTCGTGTTTTGCTTAGAACTCCAGAAATCATAATCGTCATGAGTTGTGAACTTCTTAATACCAACAATTGGTTTGTTATCTTTCTCATCTGGTTCATAATAAAGATAAAGATTATTCCAACCATTAATTGTATACGTTTCTTCTGTAACTTTTGTAGCAGTGTTTGGAATGTTCATGTTCTCAACGAGGAGATTGCCAAATGATTCATTGCTCTTGTAGACAACAAAGTTGTGCTTTGTTTGTGATCCAAAGAACATACAATGACGCTTCCCTTTCTCTAACTTTGAAGGATCAAAGATGTATGAATCTTTAGAGTTTCCTTTGATCATGTAATAATCGAAAGTTTGGCATGACTCTGGAACATTGAATTCCATCCACTTTAGCATTTTATTATCAGCCTTTGCGATAATATGATCCTTGTTCTCTAAAACCTTAGGGATTGCATCGTATTCGTATTTAGTTGAGTGTTTGCAGTTGTATCTTTTCCAAAGTATTCTTTTGCATGATTTCTGTATAAAGCTTCCTGTAACCATTTTGAAACCTTCATTATTATAAAAGATGACAACTTTTTATGTCCTTCAGTAGTATTTCCGAATTGAACATCTGTTCTGCCATCAATGTACTTAGATTTATAGCCAATAAACTCTGAACTTACTAAGCATAACATACAATGAAACATCATTTGAAAATGTTGAATGGGGAAAAAATTGAGTACAAAGTCGCAAATTTTTGTCTGAAAAGTCGTAATTAATTTTCAGATTTTTCAGTAACCAAAAAAAGCAATAAATTTACTAGAAATTGCAATTATAATGGTTTAGATAGAATAAATCCAAAGAATTACTAAATTAATCAATCAATGCTCATAGATTTTACATAGTATAATGCAAAAACAGCATGGTTTGCAACTTTCCATAGTAGAGTGGTTCCATTTTTTCGTTCAAAGTAAACTTTTCTTCATTATAAAAATTAAAAATTTGGCTAGAGCTCTGAGGGGTCCTTCCAAAGTTAACATCCGCAATGTCGTTAATATATTTGAGACATTTCAAACATTCACAATTCAAAAGTCAATAAATCCCTATATTTTTCATATTTATATATATATATAAATATTATGTTTACAATAATTATTAAGGGAGTTTTTATAAAAAATCAAGATCTAAATAAGGTAGGTAAAATCACTCGAAACACGAAATTTTGACATTAACACTCTCAAATTTGAGGACTTTATGTGTTGTAAAGTGTTTACAAATGTAAAGTTTATTTATTTTGAAATCGGCAAAATTCACAGGCGCTCCGGCCCGTAACGATACAAAATTGAGAGTGTTACGAACGATAGTTTTAGCAGCGATTATTTTAACCTACCTTAATTGATAAAAAGTCGTAGTATCAAGTAAACAATATTTAATATGCATAAATCATGCTTGTGTATTGTGTGTTCGTTGGGAGGTATTTTGGGTTCTAAAATTATTTTAATAAATTATGGCAATAATTTAAATACTACATGAAAATGTTTTAAAGCTAGTATTTGAATGAAAATGCTATTATTCTTTGATATTTGCTTCATTTTTAGCAAATGCAGGAAAGAAATATGAAATATATTATATCGCATGACAATATTTTATTAAATATTTCTCAATTTTATTCACTAGAATTCCCTGTAAAGCCCATTCAGATAAAGTCAATCCAAAAACTTCTTTTAAAAGCAATTCATTTCATATTTTAATTATACTATTGATATATCATTTTATTATTTCTTTTATTATCGAATGCATCCCTTTGGGGAAAAATGTCACTATAAAATGCATATACTCAAATATAATGCATTCGGTCACAAGGAAAACATGTCCATTGACTTGATTTTAAAAAGGTACAAATCATGTTAAAATATTCAATATATTCTAATTGATACTTTAAATGGATGTTACTAATAATATCAATAGGAATCACAGAATTGTAGCATCTGAAAGACTTGTTGAACTTTCTAGTGATGAAGCGCTGTAATCATCACTAGCAACTTGAGCTTTCTTGGTCTGTGTATAAATAGAATAAATTATTAAAATAGCAGCAATAACGAATATAGAGAAGATTGTCCAGCCAGCAATAATGCCAGGGTTTGATTTGACTTCGAATTCATATATTTCATCACTCTCAATACGATATGGAGATTCGATTTCGTTGTTTTGGTTCTTCATATTCGCAGTGAAGTAGAAATCTTGTTCGTCGATGTCTTCTGGTGGATTGATGACAGAAACAAAATATGAACTGATTGAGAGATTTGAATCTGCCATAGATTGCTTGATTGGTGTTCCATCTGGTGTAAACATTTCGACAATGTTGATTTTATTTGATTTAATTTCTGATCTAGAATACTTAGAACTGAATGATTTGAAGATGCATGTTTTGTTATCTTTAGAGATAACATGTGTGCATTTCATTGATTTGCTCATGTTTTTACTGCACAATGTGATGTCTTCTGATCCACCGGAGATAATCATTCTGTTGCATTTCTCTTGAAGATAGTCGAGTTTGTATATGTTCATAGGAATCCTGTTGATTGTGTCTTTCTTGATGATTTTGACACTGATCTCTGTTTCTTTCTTTGTGACAATTGCTTGTGTCTTCTTCTCTGTCAAATTGATTTTGACGCCGTTGGAAACTGCTGTGATGAAATAATCTTCTCCGATTGATGGATCGAATATGATCAATGAATTTCGACTGATCTTGACTGTACTCATCTCACTCACTATCGAAACTCTTGGATTGAAAATCTCTGGTCGTAATGAAACGTGTGAAGAAAGTGATGTTGAATTTGTGAAAATATGAGGATATGCAGAAACATGGAAATTACCGCTTATATGAGATTTATCAATTTGCTTTTGTGTTGTGATAGATGATATTCCAATGAATGAGTTCTTATAAACATCATTAGAAATAATCCTAAAAATTGCAAATCCGATGTTATGTAACGATTTTGATCCTTTAATTATGTCTGGATTATCATCCATCGTGTATGACAAGTATATCTCTGTCTGGAAGTTTTCGTTGTTTGAGATTTGATATGAAATATATGATGTAACGTCATATTCATCTGATCCAATGAAAACAACTAAGTGATTTGAGATGAAATATTTGTATCCAGTGTCAATAAGATATTGTTTCTTGTCTTGGTTGATGATGAAATCTAATGTTGATTCACCTTTTTCAAGAGCAAAGACAACGAATTCGAGAATTCCGCTATCTTTGTTGCTTTTCACTTTGAATGATCCCTTTGGCATAATAACCTCTCTGATGTCATCCATTCCTGGGAAAGTGAATTCATTATAGTTCAAGAAAGCAACAAACACATTTTTACCAGATGATACTGGAGTAATAACATTTGTCACATCATATTTTGAAATTTTTACAGCATTTCTTCCAAATTTTGCTGAAATGGAAATATCATGATTTGATGTTTTTTCATTTGTTTCATCAGTATTTGTATTTGTTTCATTAGTATTTGTGTTTGTTTCATTAGTATTCGTGTTTGTTTCATCAGTATTTGTATTTGTTTCGTCAGTATTTGTGCTTGTTTCATTTGGATTTTCTTTTGATTCTGGATCCTTGATTTTTTCAGGATAGTCGAATTTATCATGAATATATATTGGTGTTGTGTGTGATACCAACATGACCATATGGATTGCCTTCACCAACTTTGTATTCAAGAATAAATGATTTCTTGTCTTCAATTGTTGTGAATTCATCATTGATAATAACTGGTGTTGATTCCATAGAAAATGAATCATAATATGAAAATGAATTCAAATCAGATGTTTTTGAATCTTTGAATAAAACTGTTGTCATATCACTTGTTCCTAAATGGATGACACAATATGTACTGTTTTCTGATGTTTCTGAATTTGTGAAATATAAATCATTGAAATAATTCACATTGTATTTAATGATACAATCTTTAGCTAATTGATACACTGTGAACTCAATGTCGTGTTTACCACACAAAACTGATATGAAATCTGGATTCATGACACAACTTGAAATGATTCTTCTTGATGATTCATTGGTGTATTGTATTGAGTGGAAAACAACAAATGTGTTGAATTTATCTGATTTGGAAACTTTGATTGTTGTTGCTTCATAATTCTGAAGACTAAATGAGTTATATCCTAACTGTGAAACGAAAAGCTGGCAAACGAGAGACCTTTCTTCAAACAAATGATTGAATCCATTGCAATGATATATATTTGGCTGTGTTGAATTAGATTTTTCTTCAAATATAATTCCACAATATGGGAAAATACAATTATTCTTTGTAATGATCTTTATCATTGAATAGAATTTGTATTTGTGATTTGTTTCATTAATTTCAAACGATTCTTCCATGTTGAATGTATCTGAGAAAAACATGCTGTAACTTGAATCTGAATAATCGTACTTCTTTAACGTGATTTCTGTTTTCTCGTTTGTTAATGTTGCAATGCAATACTTCTTATTCGGTTTGTAGTGGAGAGGATCAACTGTGAAATGATTACCCTATTGATTGAAAAGTAAATCAATTGTGTCACAGTCTTTGTCCATTTTAAGATGATAGATTGTATCGTTGTAATAATCTGAAACTGATTTGATGACAAATGTTTTATCCGAATGAATCATTTTCGAAATTGGAGAATGATCACATTTCATGAGATTCTTTTCATCATTGAAGTATAGAAAATGATTGAAATTATCATCATGTTCATATGTGATCACAAGTGTCTTAAATTTTGAATCTCTGTATGAATTAGGACCATATATCAAATCTGTGAATATTGGCACTTTGACTGGATCGATGAATCCATCAAATTTATGATTTTCATCATATGAGAGAATTTTGTCATAAGATCGACAATTTGGTGAGATGAAACCAATATCATAAATACCAACAATACCAGATCTCTTTGTTGATGATGAAATATATTCAATTATAAGACAGTCTGTTCTCAATGTTTTCATTGTATTACTTATCTCTGTTTTGTTGAAACCGAATATGCATGATTCATATACATTAAATGTTTCATCTTGAGGAAATTCTGGAGTTCGGATAACTTGTTTATCATTATAATTGAGATCTCCAAACAAAACTAAGATGTGTTTCTTATTTGACTCAACTGTTGATGTGTTCCAGTAAACTTGACTGTATTTAGGTTTGAAACTGAAATTATATGAATAATCACCATCCGGAAGAACTAAAAGATAGAATTTGATTGATGAATCTTGTGTTTCGACATCGAGAGTTTCATCCAATTCTGAAATAATATCAGTCTTGTTGCTCTTGATGAAATGAACATCTGACTCTGTGTCAAATACAACAAAAACTTTGAAACCTGTTTCTTTTGGATAGATAATACTCGTCTTAGACAAAGAGACATTGTTATATCCTGGATGTGCAATATAATAATCTCCACTGATTTCATGAAGTTGTTTGACTTCTGAATATATATTGTCAGAGTTTGATACATATTCATTTCCGATGATAGATGTTTCTTTGATCATGATATATGTTTCATTATTTGAAGTGAATTCAATGTATTTAAATGTTTGTTTTTCATATTCTCTGATTGTATCAACTTTTGTAACTTGATCTTCTGTGTAAAATATCATATCCGTTTCGTTTGTCGAAATCATTGCTATGCAGTGTCTTTTGTTTGGTTCTGCAATCATGAAGTATTGTTGATTAATTTTATCACTTACCATGTTGAATGAGTAGCAATCATTGTCAAATTTTGAAAAGTAATAGATAATTGTGCAATTTGCATCGGTTGTTTGAATGTAGACTGATTTTCTGTTTCTAATCTTTTGTTCTAAATTGATATTAATTTCTCGAAGTGAATTTGTTGATTTGAGATAAAGAATCATGTTTTGATAATATTCACAGTTTGATGATAAAATAACAAGTTCATCTTTTTGAATGTCAATTTCGTTAAAACCTTCTCTTGATTCATGTATTGTTGTTTTTGGATATGTTGAGATATCAAATTGTTTGTTAAAGATTCCTATTGAAAATTCTTCTGGATTCGATTCTATCGCTTCGATGCTTGCAACACCTGCAATTGAGTTGATTCGTTGAGTATTGTTGATTCGAAGTGTGACACCTCGTTCAATTGAATATGAATTATCGATCATGTAGTTGTTTCCGTATCTGATCAAATCAACATCTTCTGGATCGAAAACAGTGATACGAGAATCAGAATATGAAACGAAGTGCATGCAAATTAAACCATCTGTCTGTTGGAGATTGACAAAATATGATGTACCATTGCCATTGATGATGTATGAATTCTTGCAACCATATTCAACGAGGATCAATTTGAAATACAAGATGTGATATCCTGATGAAGATCGAACAAACAATGGTCGTTGAATGTCATAAACTTCGTTTTGACTGATGAAGTATTGTTTGTTGAATATGATGATTGTAGATTTGAATCCTTCCTTACTGTGGAAGTCAATGATTGTATCTTCAGTGTTAGAAATGTTCAAAGTGTGTTTATCAAAGTTTGCAATGTAGAGATTCTTCATTTGGATATTAGGTGAAATTGAGTGTTCGATGTTACCGAAGAACAATCCTGTCATCAGTCCTTCTGTTGAAACTGAAGATGATGAAAATTTGCAAGTATAGATGCCGAACTTGCCTGTGTTGTCGATATTGTTTAGAACAACCAATGAAAAATTTGTTTTCGAAATATTATGTATTCTGTGTTCATGAAGATTGTGTTCTATTGAATTTTGATTTATATCTCTGATGTAGACAACATTATTTCGATTCATGTCTGAACTGTAGTATAATGTGTAGTCCATATCGTATTTCGATGCTAGAATGAGACAATGTTTCCTGTTGATTCCGAGGTTTGAAGAATCGAAAACCGCTTGTTTGTCTGCACCATTGATCATCGCATCAACCGTCTCACACTCGTTGTTTGTTTCTGTAACATAAAACTCGAGTTGAACCGGATTCTTCGGTTTCAAGCCAATGTATGTATTGTTGTTGATTGTGAGGACTTCATTCAGTTTCTGACCATTGTCAAAGAAGATATCTTGAGTGTTGATGAAGGTTGCAAATACTTGGTTTCCATCTGGGAACAGGATGTATGTGAATGTCTCGTTATCAAGTTCTATTGAGTTGTAACCAAACTTAGCGTTATATTCGAATGGGATCTTTTTGACTTCGATAACTCTTTCTGATGTTCTCCAGAAGTTACTGTAGACTGTCTCGTTGCTTGTCTTGTTGAAACTTTGAACACCGACAACGGAGTGTGTATCGGATTCATTCTTCTCATAGAAAAGGAAAATATTGTTCCAGTCATCAATTGTCATATTATTCTCTGTAACTTCGACTGTTGAATTCGGAATATTAAGGTTTTCGACAAATAACTTTCCAGGTGATAACTTGCTCTTGTATAATGTGAAGCTATGGTTAGAATTAGAACCAAAGAACATACAATGACGTTTATTGCTTTCAACTCTCAACGGATTAAAAATATGTGAACTTTCGGAATTTCCATTTATCTGAATATAATCGTAAGAATCACAGTTGTTTGGAACCTGTGCAACCATCCATCTTAACACGCCTCCACCGGAATTAGCTGTTATACTTCCTTGATTAACGAGTATCTTTGGAATAGCACCGTAGTAATATTCAGTCCAACGCTTGCAATCATATTTTTTCCAGAAAATTCTCTTGCAGCTTTTCATACTTTCACTTCCTGTTACCATATTAAACCCGTCGAGATTAGACCTATTCATAAAGGCGACGGAATTTATGAATAGGGTACCCTATTTATGAACAGTTAGAATTTGGAAAAACCGTCGCAAGTATGAAAACCCTAAATATGGAAAAACCGTCAAAAGTATGAACAGGTAGGTGATCGGAATCTTCATATTTTTTATTTGGAATTTCCAAACAAAAGTTGTTTCGAAATTCCAATCAATTTGGAATTTATAAACTCCAATGTTTATTCATAAATAAGTTGACAAGTGTGGATAACCCTTTATTTGCCAAATGGAAAAAGAAATTAGAAATAAGAATATTCATGAATTTAAGTTAAGATATAAGTTTAAGCCTTCTTCAATAATTACAGAAATTATTCAAGTGTATTTGCATTTAGTCTAAAAATTAATAAAATCTAAATTAATTTAGAAGATTTTTTAGAAAAAAGTGAAAAACAATAGCATATAGTATATGGATTATTTCTAATTTCCATACATAATTGATTATTAGATCCTTGTTTCTAAATTCCAAATTGATTGGAATTTCGAAACAACTTTTGTTTGGAAATTCCAAATAAAAAATATGAAGATTCCGATCACCTACCTGTTCATACTTTTGATGGTTTTTCCATATTTAGGGTTTTCATACTTGCGACGGTTTTTCCAAATTCTAACTGTTCATAAATAGGGTACCCTATTCATAAATTCCGTCGCCTTTATGAATAAGTCTATTATAAAATATGACAACATTATGATGGTCACTTGTGGCACCATCAAAGCCGATTCCGGTATGCCCTTGTACCCATCTAGAAAACTCAGGATAAAAAGCAATTGTCAGGAAAGAGAGCATTTAAAAAGTTCTTATCGGGTGCGATTTTAATTCAAAAATCTAAAAAAAATTATATTGGCTGAAATGGTAATATCATTTCAAATATACATTAACATATGAAGATATCTATCGGAAAAATTTTCAATTGAGAAAAAAGTCGTCATTCTGTTTTTCTTATCAAAAGTGTGATTTTGTCTAATACATGTATATAAATTGCACCAATTAGGTTATCCCGATGACTATTTTCTAAATTATACGAAGTTTCAAAATTAGATAATGAAACTATGATTACTTATATATTCAATGAATAACTGAACTTATCATTTCATTTAATTTGATAATAATTAAATTTATGGTAATTTGGCAAATTTTAGCAGTATCAAGATAAGACATTTATTTTCCATGCATAATTTATATGTGATTTTCATTTTGCATTATCATTATAGCGAATGCAAATTTATTATCAAAAAAATTGTTGGTCCAATGTCAATCTGAATTGTTAGCTAGAGTGATGAATTATTTTATTTTCATTTTTTATAACTTTCAAGTTAATATGACAATGAAAGCCACATTCTGAATGTCTGTGAGGTGAAGACGATAGAAAGAACTATCGTCATAAATGAGCGGGTACCCAACCGAGGCAAATCCGAACTCTAAGATTTCCGCTTTCGGAACCGTTAATGCCCAAATGATCAGTGGCCTTCCAATTCTTCAGCTCCGTGATACAGTCAAAACAAACAACGGACCACAATTTGATATCGTTGATGAAGCTATCTACCACTTCCGCACAAATATTTTCATGCGCGATTTCCCAGCTAAGACAGGTGCTGACCGTCTCATCATTTATCTCACATTCTACGGAATGAAATGTTTGAAGTTCATTGCTAAAAATAAGACTAACAAGCAAAAATGCCAGCTTGAACTCGATGGCTGGAACTTAAAGCCATTCCCAATCCCAGGCGAGGGCGGCTTCATAATTGATTCATATGTTACAGCTCCAGCTGATAATCAAAAGACTCAGCTTCGTGAGTACTTCAAGAAGCTCCGTATCGAGATGGGCAACAGACTCCTCGCTAGAATCTTCTCCCTTGGCCCAGAGGCTGATAAGTGGTGGGTCTGCTTTGCCAACAAGAAATTCCTCGATAAGGAAATGGCAAATTAAAAAGCGTTTAATAAATATATTACAATGTATCTAAAATTCCATTTATTTTAGAATTTTCAAAAAGTTCATAAAATATTCTTATTTCAAGTTCTTTTTAGAGATCATTTGCTTCAAACAAACAAATGCATTGATCCAGCCTTCCAATTTATGCTCTAGATTTCATTTATCAGTATAAAGTTAAAAATAATATTTTGATAAATTTAGAAATCTTTGAAATTTGGAAAGTCTGTAAAAATCCATTAAAATGTTAAACTCATAGATGATATTATAAGCTATATACTTTATAAAAATAAAATCAAAATGGGAAAACTCTATAATTAATGACCCATCTGCATTGGCATTTGATTCATTATATTAGGGAACATTCCGCTGGATGGAAGCTTGAAATTAAGTAGTTTAACAACAAATTCATTGGTCCATAAATTCATCAAAAAGAATACTGATGAAAAAGATCCTTCTGTATAGTCCTCACCATCCAGACCTTTGTGGGTCATTTTGTTAAGTGGATATATTACTGAGAATGGGAATTTAATGCAGACTTTGTTTTCGAAGAAAGATCCGATTATATAGCTGAATATTAATGATGAAAGTGATAAGGCAGTATTGATGAACATTGTTGATCGCTGAATTTCAACTTTTAATTGATCAATTTCTAATTGTATTTTTTGAATACGTTTTGGAACTTTTCTTTCTGGATTTTCTGGCCTTTTGCGTTCATTTGCCTCATGTTCATCAATTTCGGCTTCAAGTTCTTGAAGCTTATCTAATTTCAGGCGAATTTGAGGTCTTCTGAACACCATAATCCACTGGGTAAATGTCCTAAGTGCAGTGTATAGTAATGCTGCCAACAAAGCATAAGTATAGTTCTGAATAATCTCATTCATTATGAATTAAAAATTTATTTTATTCAGGGGGATGTTCCTAAAACAATTTTATTTGTAATCGAGTATTATTATATAATAAAAAGAATGCGATTTTATGAGTATGTTTAATAAGGTTTGAAGCTTCAACAAGCTAATTCAAATAATAAAAAAACAATCTCGTGGTAATTATACTTTTTACAATAGAGATAACGTAATAGAATACAGAAATAAGAAACTTAACTAGCTTAAAGAGCATAGAAACATAACAAAATCGAAAAAATATTACAAAATTTGTAGATGGGGGTAAATACGATGTAAAAATGAGTGCCATTTGTTGCATCAAAACTTTGTGCTATATAAATTAATGTTATAATAAGGAAAATCTACAAAATCTGTATAAATTAGATTTTTTCTTGTAAAAGGGAAAGATGAGCTTCAAGTTCCTGTGGAATAGATATTTTGCTGGATTACTGCGTATTGTTGAGGGAATATATAATACAAAATAAATTAAACAAGTAATTAGTTGATATCCACTGCTGGATAATATTTTATTAATGCACTAAGATGTCTGACGGTAATAAAAACGAACTGAGTGAAAAGTTGCATTAATCAAGTGCAAAGAACTTTTTGAAAAATGAAGCAGAAATTATTCTAAAGTTACATGAGCCTAGATTTGTATGTTGATGTCTGAAAGATGTTTTCTCGTAGGTTAATTTTGGTGTACTCGATGGATTATTGAATGATATTATATTTTCTGAGAAAAAGTAATCAATTTCCCGAAAATTTGCATCTAACTGTGGAGAGGAGATATACTTCAAGTTAATAAAATTCCAAATTTTTTATATAAAATAAAAAATCAATAACAAAATTGAGCAGTTGAAAATGAAAAATTAAAATTTGAAAAAAATTTGGAAATTTTTAGAAAAATAAGATAATCTAATCTCACATATTTTTACTCGAGATTCTAGTTCTTACCACAAATATGTGAAAATGAGATATTTTTCATTGATAATTTTTCAAAACTCTTTAAATGAGGATTGTAAGTTTGCGGCTCAATTTTCCCTTAGTATCAGTGCTTACAACATTCTGGAATTTGACAAATCAAAACAATAGCTGATAAAAATTCAAACAGTATATATTTTATATGAAAATTAATACAAAAACATCTTATATATTAATATTTACTACATTCAAGATTAATCTCTAAAGTCTGTAATGAAAATAAAATATTTATTTATGTTTAGAATTAAACAAGCATAAAATTGAAACAAGTAGTACAATTTACAAGTCGAGGAAATAATTTTAACTTAATGGTTGGTTTAGGTAAAGTAAGTGATTGCCTAGAAAGAATATTTCTAAGCCATTTTTTGACAAAAAGCACATTGAAGAATAGAAAAGTTCATTTATCGTTTTGTGTTCAATGCAAATATAATGTTGCTATAAGTTCTCTGAAATAAATATAAGTTGAGGAATTTGAACAATTTTGAAGAAAGAAGAATACTATTAAACAATTGCTAGCTAATCAACATGTTGATTTAATACTGTGTAATCATCTGAAATGAAGGAAAAATATGTCATTGTTGAACATAAAAATGAAAAAAATTTCAGAAGTTTACAAAATTTTGTCAGAATATACGAATAATATCGAATTAATATAAGGAAGTATCAAGTGATGTTGTTTCCACTTAAATTTCAGTAAAAATGATGGAGGAAGACTGGGTCGAATTTTACAAGCATTTACTTCTAAAGCAAATAGAAGAAAGCTTGTTATTCTTGAAGAACGACCCACAATTCATGTCTATTCTTGCTCCCCTCCTGAAATTACCCGGTGACGATCCAATTAAAGATGTCAAGAAAATTCTCTTTCGTTGGACAGTCAGATGCATCATAAATAGACTTACAGACTCAAAGGAGAGACCAGAAGTTCCATTAGATTTCTCAGCAAGTCATCCTGCACTTTCTGATCCGAATGAATTATCGGAACTAGTCATGAACGATCCCGAACAAATACTCGACCTTGTTAAGCATTTCCCATTTGAGTTTTTCAAAACACTTAAAACTATACATACCAGAGCCAGTTTAGAATTATGTGATAAAATCTCTCAAAGTGAAAAATTCCCGCTTCATCTTATCGGTCGCATCGTCTCATCTTTCCCAATATCAATTACTCCATTCAATTTTCAAGCACTATTCGATTTAAGATGTAAGACAGCTGTCAACATATCGGAATTATACGAAGGGTTGATGTGCAACTTCGAATCACATCAACTTGAATCTGCAGAACTACTTTCTACTGCAATTGATCCTTATTTTGAAGAAGATGCCATTGTATTGGCGAATCAGTCTCAAAGATACAAAATGCATTTCGTTGATATCGCAGGAAGAACTTGCAGTCGCGTTTTCCCTACTTTTGGCATCGTAAATTTCTTAATTCAAATTGACAAATTAAATACGACACAAATGTTAAAGCAACTCAACAAATTACCAGACCACATTATCACTCGTAAAGTAAAGAACCAACTTATTCTGGCCCAAGTCCTTGGTTTAGGTGATGATTGGTCTCCAGTTACAGAAAACTCCATTCCAAAGATAATTACGCCGGAGTGCATCGCAGATAATATACTTCCGTTTACGAGAGACTCAGAGTTCATAAATATCTCGAAAGAAAGTTGGGAAACAGATTTTGATTTTATTCAGAGCTATGGAGCCATAAAATCATTCCTTACAGACCATAAGCTTGAAGACTTCCCAGAGTCTATAGCTGTCGATCTGTTTTCACTTCTTTTCCTTCCGAAATTTTTGAAGAAAGTAGAATACCAAGATTTACTCGATTTTCTCACAAAATTACAGTCTAAACTACCAAGCGATAGCGATCTTCACAAATACGTATCAATTGCAATCAAAAAAGCTCAAGCTTCTTCGTTGATTTTCAAAGAATTCAAATCTCGACTTATGTTTTATCCATATGATACTTATTTCAAGAATTGCCCACCACAGAATCTCGTCAAACTCATGAATATACTCGAATTATATCCTTCTACAGCTTATTCAACAATATTCCGCAAAAATTATTTCGATCATGTCAAATTACCAAATGATGATTCTAAACAATCATCAATATTCCTTACACGCGAGTTCCCAATGGATTTGGTCGATGATTACACCATTGATAAGGCAAAAGAAGTATCTGTCACAATTCCAGCTGAACAACGCGATACAGCCATCTTAGATCTTGCATGCTCCCACAGACAACTCTCAAGATGCAATACTTTGGTAACAAATTCAGATTTACAAAAATATATTGAAAAAATCTTTGTAAAAGAGAAAAAGTATCCTGATATTTCGGATCTAGCTTTCACGGAGAGTCCTTCTGTACTCAAGAAGAAGATAAATGACTTAATAATGCAATTTGATGGAATTTATTCCGAACATTTGATGATGTTTTCGCATTACGTAAAGCAGTTATTGACGACTTCATCGAGAATGCTTGAAGAATCCCCTGAACAGTTCATTTTCAGCAAAATTAAATCGACAAAGTCCCTCCAGAACGTTCTAAAGGTCTTTGAGAACACTGGTGTCGAAGTAGAAGAATATATCTATCAGAGTCTCAGTCCCAACGACGTTTCCAAGTCATTCCTCATCGATCTTGTCAAAAACGAGCCGCTTTCTGGTCTTGTTTACAGCTACGAACGTCTTGAACCACGCGATGTCGCACAGTTCTTCGAAAGCAAGACAATGACAAAATTGAATGCTCGTTCAAAACATTTCGAAATATTTGAGAGGAACGATAAAAGTGCCAAGAAAGTTTTTGAAACTTTAGGGGATCCATTTGATTACTGCGGTGAGGAAGACCTTGAGCCGCTTATTCCTACACTTCTTGAGAATATAAAGAAGATGGATGAGAAAGAAGCATGCTCTGTCCTTTGTGATTTGAGTTTGATGTATGATATGGAGAAATATCATCTTGAAATACTAGAAATCACTAAGAAATTCAAGAATGAGAACAGAATACCACTCTATGAGACATTATTGGCCCTATTTCCGCCAACATCAAACACAAATATTTTATTCTATAAGAGATTTCCGAACAAAGAGTGGCAAGAGATGCTTGATATCTCATACGACTCAGATAGAATCCTTGAAAGCCCAGACAAAGTATATAATAAATGTCTTTCGCATCTTAGCAAATACAACGTCGAAACAACGAAGATTAACAACATCATGAGATTCAGCCAACTTTTGTTGATCATCAGAGCTAAGAATATCTTCAATTCCCGAGAAAAAGAAAAAGAATGGATATTAAAGATGAATCCATCATGCAAGAACCTTTCAGACTTCATTACTGGCCTTAATGATGACGTCTTGATGTCAATGATCGTTTCAATTGCAACAATGACTGATCCCCACGCCGTATTAGATATTTCCAAGAACTACAAGCAAGAAGATCTCTTTGCTAAATGCAAACCATACGCATTATCCAATAGCAAGATCCTGGATCTCCTTAACGACGAAATGACAGATGAAATGATTTCAAGTATCCTCAAAGATTTCACGATTAATTCATTGGAATCGGAATCAAAGATGATATTAGATCTCAGAAAACTCCAAAAGATGGCAAAAGAAAATTTCAAATCGAGGAACTTCCTTTTGTCACTTTTGGGATTAGCCGAAAATGGATTATTCGCAAAATACAATCAGTCGTACAAATCAGACAATCTCCAAGAACTATGTGAGTTTGCCAACAAATACGACTTCTTTGACGCGATAAATTCATTTTATGAATACGGAATTGACATTGACAAGACGAATATCAACAAGATGATGTCATTACTCGGTGTATCTCCTTCCGGTGATGGAGAAGACACTAAATGTCTCTTCGAATCGCCAACAATTAAATTTAATTTGTTTGACGACATCTACCAGCTTCCGAACGACGTTTCTTCATATCCTAGCCTCATGAGAATCGATTGCCAACAAGGAAAACTCAAACTTTTCAAGAGGAAACCAAATCATATCTCAATCAAGAAACCAAAGACCTCAGATTTACCTTTCTTAGACATTTCCAACGCTTCCAACCAAGTTAAATTGATTTCCAACAAGTTTGAGCTACTTTCTTTCGATGATACAGATAAATATTCCGAAAACATCGATTACCAAGGCAAAGACGTCAAAGAAGCAGTTACAGAGATGATCAGCTACTATCCGTTACACAAGTTGTTCGATTCCGCATTGAACAACGTTGATTATAACTTCTTGAAAGAATTATTAGTCATATTTGACTCCAATTCCTGCATCCACTGTCTTCTCATACTCTCCTCATGGGCATTAGACCGCAGCTGCTCATTAGATTTCTTCGCAGGCGAAAGAAACCTCTCAAAACAAGAATTGTCAGATTTTGTCACTTCACTTAAAACCGCTTTGACATCCATGACATTATTATCATCCACAGTTGACAGTTCTGTTCTTCTTCCACCGGGAAGTGTCCTGCATTTCGACCAGAAGTCATTGAACGATGTTTCCGTGATTTTGGAGTATCAAAGACAAGTTGGACGAAATGTTCAATTGGTTTCATCTGCGGATAAAGGAAAAGCGTGCGTAACGTTGCTGAAAAACAACGAGTACTCGAGAGCATTCGCTATGATCAAAGCTCTAGGAGTAGATACAACAGACGTGATGATTGAAGCTGCAGCACATTTCGGTCAGTTGTCGAATACAGAACTCGGAAACTTTTTGGTAAATGTCGTACCAAGATTGGACGTAGAGTCGGCCAATCAGTTGACAGAGACACTCGCGAGTATCCTCGTTGGTAATAAGTTCGAGGACTCGTTTATCGGAACAATTATTGCTGGAATTGATCAGCCAAGGAACGCATTCAAAATATTGAAATGGTTTGGATTGAATGAAACTGCCGCATTTGTTGCTTTGCAGAACGGACTGAGAGAGGAAATAGAGCAGTGCAAGAAGGACATAAGGATGAAGAAGAACGCTGCAATCCTTAGAGCTTGCGCTTGCTGGGTATCAAAGGATACTCATCAAAGATCTTGTTAAAATTATTTTTATTTATATTTTGATTATTTTTTTTATTATTTTTAGAACTATAACTCTTCTATGATATGTCATTCTTATTTCAGACCCAGTGGTTATCGAATGAGATAGTTTATATATGGAGTTCGAGGCAATAAGATATTTAACCTTCGTTTAGTTAAATTTTTGAATGGATTTATTCAAGTATTTGTATATAATGAAAGCATTTTTCTCACTCAATTAATATAGTATGGAGTTCGAGGCAATAATAAATATAACTTTTGGTTAAATATTCATATGGATTTGTTAGAGTATGTGCATTCAATGAAAACTTTTTACCCAATCAATTCATTTAACTTCTTTGTTAAATAAAGATATGTTCTTGAATGAACATCAATCGTTTGAATTATATCCTTAGATTTTTTATATATGTTTTATTGCACTTTGAATCAAAATGTCTATAAAGTTCTGAATATACGATTTCTCACTTAGCATCAATTAAGTATCGTTCAATATGGTATTAAGAGTTCGTTTGGATATGCATATTAGTGATGATTCCAAAATAGTTTTGCAATTTTCATATGTTCAATCATTTTGATGATAAATGTATTTATAATTGATTATATGAATGATATATAACAGTTCTACATGATTGTTATATGAATTAATTGATGATATCAGTTTGATTTAAGTTAAGAATAGTTAATGCCCTTGTTCTTATCTGGACCCATGCAGAATGGCCTATCGATATCAAGTACTACTTCGTAATCCACTCATTTTGACTATTTATATTTGTCAGGATTTTTATCTCAAATTTTTATCACAAGAAATCATTAGCGAAAACATTAAAAATACATTTTATTGGCTTACACATTTGATTAACATACACAAAAAGGAAAAATTCATATCTGTAAAATTATTCAGATAATTTAGACTAAAATAAAAAATTAATCAGTGAAAATGTTAACTATGCACTTTCGAATAATGAATGTTAAACAATATCAACGATATCTCGATTGTTCATAGATTTGTAATGTGGTTTCTCAGAGATGTTTTGAAAGAATGCAAAATCAAAATGCTCATAATAGTCCACATTCATATCCGATGAAAAATTTCATACCCTTTTTAATGGATCACATCTGATAATAGAGAGTTCACGTGTTTCGTCCATTCATGATTGATTTACTATCGATGGGCATCTAGAATTTAACTCTAACAATGATCGCAATTAATCAGAATAAACCATTTCTTTATGAGAATCAGCTTTATCGTTAATTTTTTTCTAACTATGGGCCTAATCACCAACAACATAAATAACAAGTATTATGAAATATTGAAGTAACCTCACGTAAACTTTGAAAAAAAATATTTCGTTAATAAAAACATAGATAGTAATAGTAGTATTGTATTTCGTTAAATTCAGAGTCGTCTGAATTTTTGTGAGTTATCGGAAATTTTGATAATGAATTCAGAAATATTGACGTACATCGAGTACTTAACATCGAAATATTTTATAAATTTCAGAGACCAAAATTTTTCATCTCTCACAAAATATTCAATGTAAACATTCCTCAAAGCACACATTTTTTGAGGCAAATTATTTCGAATATTTCATTAAGGGTGCACCCGTATGTACGTTTATTTGAGAGGAGGAGGATTACCCTCTCAATTTTGAGGGATTCGTTAGTTTATTTTCTCGATGAATATGCAATAAAATTTGATTTTTACCTTATCAATATACTTCATATAATATACACATGTTCATGTAAAAACTTTTTTCCAAAATCCTCAGGAATTAAGGGATTTTTGAATTTTAAGAATTTTTTTCGAATTTTTTCGAAAAAAAAAATATTTTCAGAACAGCCTTAACGGCTAAGATTTAGGAACAATGTTAAGTATCAAAAAGAAAGGAGGTCTGATATAGACAACATATATCGTTGAAGGTTGAAAAAATCTCTAATATTTGAGCCCAAAATTTCAAATTTTAATTTTTTGAAAAAAGAGGCCACCCGTATGTACGTTTATTTGAGAGGAGGAGGATTATATTTTTGAAAGGGTGAAACATTATGAATATGTTAATTATATAATAATATGTATTATTATAAAAAAGAAAAAATAAAGCACGTTAAAATTTTTCTTTCTTGATTTTTTACAAAATCTACTTAGAATTATGCAAAATATGACTAAATAATTATAAATTTCAAGTTAAATTTTAATTTTGATAAATAATTTAAATTTCAAAATATCAAGTTCAGTTCGACTATGTATGTAGTAATTCCTCAATAAAGTGCCAAAACCCTATTAAAATATATGAACATTTTCAACATTTTAATGTTTTTATTTAAAAATTTGTTGGAATATGAGCTTCAAACAATTATTATGTAAATAAAAATAATTAAATATATGTATTTATTCGTATTACAACTGTAGTAAGTCGATTCTTCCTTTCTTCTACTGAGTTTTGAATTTGATTTCGAATTGTAAAGAGATTCAAAGGGAAAATACTAGCGGATAAAAACTACCTCCATGAAAGGGTCATAATGGACTCAAGTTGTATTTTTTGATATTTTTTGCTTTTCGAGCCTAAATAGGTAGCCAAGATAATGCCTAAAAATAAGATTCTAAATTCTGAAGTTTACATGATCCTCTCGTGTGCACCCTTAAGATATCTAATAATAATTTTGACGATGATTTAATTCAATTTTTTTGTCATCGTTCTTCAGTAGAAGCTCGATGAGTGACGCCGTTGAATCTACCATGCAAGAATACTCCGAATCCCAGCCAGAAGTGCATTACACTATATTAAGAATAATATGCATATGCATGTCTACTCTCGGATTCGAAATGGCATTCAATGTTTTATTCTCATTGAGTGAACCAATCATGGCATCAATGAATATGTCATCAACATCACAGTTTTTATGCTGGCTATCTGGACCTTTAGCCGGTGTGACACTAATGCCACTCATTGGTGTTTGGTCAGATAATTGCAAATCTAGATTTGGCCGCAGAAGACCATTTATTGTTGGCGGATGCATCTTTTCAGTTATTAGCTTCCTCCTACTGTTGATACTTAAGAGAGTACACGAAAAATTCAATGCAGCAGGAAAAACAGTTTCGATGTTATTCATTCTATTCTTTTCTTATGCATCTATTAATACAATCATGGCTCCTTCAAGAGCCCTGATTGGAGATATCATACCAGAAACGAGACAGGGTATCTCTAACTCAATCGCATCAGTTCTTATCGGATTAAGTTCCGTTCTTCCAAATCTTGTTGGTGGAGTTGGTTTCTTCCTTAAGTCAGAGACATATTCCGAGAGAGCAGATACAGTTACGATGTATTTCTGCCTCTTCATTTTGATTCTCTCTGTTATCATCACAGTTTTCGCTTCTCATGAGAAACCACATGTTCCAGCCGAGGAACACCATCATCATAAGAAGAATCCATTCGTCCAAATGTACGAGGCATTGAAGAAAATGCCAAAGCCAATTATTAGGTCTTGCATCTTAATGGTTCTTAGCTGGGTAGCTAACTATACATTCACAATGCTCGGAACATCCTTCTTCATGAAGGAAGTCTTCCCAGAAGAACAAGAATCAAAAGGTCTTTGCTTTGGAATGTTAGTTATTGCTTGCGCTAACCTTATGTCGTTCATTTATGGCTGCGTACACCCATACGTTGTCAATTTGATCGGCTGCAAGACCACTTATTTCATTTCTCATATTATTGAAGCTGTCAGCCTTTCCTGCGCTTTCTTTGTCAAGAACAAATGGGCCCTGCTCGGACTCTTCACGCCAATCGGTATCGCGATTACAAACTTCAACTCTATACCATACGAACTCGTATCTTACACAGTTACCGAGGAATATATGGGCGTTTACATGTCAATCTTGTCTACATGCATCGATGTTGCTTACGTTCTTGCTAACTTGATCATGAACTTAGGACTTGGTAATCTTGTTCCGAAATTCCCATCCAGTTGGCATTTGACGCGTTACCAGTCATTGATTGGCTTTGCAGCAGTTTGGGCAGTTCTTACAGCAGTATTCTCTCTCTTCATTATTGTTCCAGACCATAAAATGGAAGTCGATGTCGAAGAGGAGGAAGAAGAGGAAGCCGCAGAGCGCAGCTCTTCATCAGAGGGCGAACAGGATCGTCCACCAGAAGAAATTGTTTAAGCTTGTTAGATATATTGTTTCTAAAAATGTTAGTTACAATTTTGATAACTCTATAGCTATGGCTATGCTTTTTCTATTATATATATAATCATACTTCAGCATTTACTGTTGAACTTCGATGGAGTTTTCCCCTTTTGAAATTACACTCATAAAAAATGATTTGGAAAACGATCTAAAATTGAATAGTTTACATACCCATACCCATTCAAAATTGAATCAGAGTCAAAATTCAATAGACACCGATGAATGAGTAGGACTTGATTGAACATTATATTATACTATATGTATTATCACAAATAACGAATTTTAGAAGAAATTTTATATCAGGAGTTCAATGATTTTATCCTACAATCAATTCTAATCATTGAAGACTTAACAAATGATGGAAGTAAGGCCATTTATTGGGAATAAACGCTCAAACATTGACTTTCATTTTAATCGGACTAAATATTGATTATTTTCTCTAAGTTTTTTACCAGTAGTATCACATATGACTAATTGCATATTCGTTCATCCAAGATATATGAGCTTTTACTTGAATGTGGATTGTGAAACAAGTGAATGCTACAGTGGACAGCTTTATTCATATACATGTATATAAAACTAACGTTTGAGGAATGAACAAACAAAGAATTATAATATAGCTTACTAATTTTAATTTTTCTCAAGACATTAGTCCATATTCATGTTTTTACAAAAGAAACTTTATATAATTCTTAAACTGAATCCTTTATGAATTACAAAAACGTTTTAAATCAAAAATATTAATTTTTCAAAAAATTATCAATTGATTCATAAGTTTATTTAACAGAAATAAGTATTTGCACTATACAAGACCACATGAACCAAATTTATCATTGTTGCTTGTTTAAACAATCAATTTTCATGGTCAAATATTAGAAAAAGTCCATTCCTTGTCTATTCGATGAGAAAGATTCAAGGAAAGAAAGTTGAGCCAATTACCATCTGATTGAATACCTGCCAAATTTTCCACACCGCGACCTCAGAAAAAAAATCTCTAAAAAAATGCGATCAGAAATTGAGAGCGATATTTACGATAGCGAGGTTAAAAAATCTTTTCAATTTGACAAATCAATCAAAATCATAATATGATTTTGAATCAAGAAACACTTTAATAATTTTGAAAAGAAAAAAATATGCGATCTGTCAAATTACTCGAATTTGAAACATTTCTTTTCAAATCCTGATCCAATTTTCTCTCAATGTGATCTAAAAGCATAAATAGTTAAATGTCAGAGCATCAAAGACACTCATCTGAGTATTCTTCCCAAGGTAGTAGAAGAGAATCGACTTCGCATGAAGAAATCAAAGTCGAGAATTCAGATAAGAAGCAAGCACGTGGCCATTTATATGGAGAACTATTCAGAAATCCTTGGGCAATCGTTGGTATATTCCCAGCATTAATATTGGGAGCTTCAAATATTGTTGTTTATATATTTTTTGGGAACATTCTCAATGCATATACAGACCATGCTCTATCAGTTAAAGCTCATGAACAAGATCCATCAGTGCCAATTGTTGATAAGATGCCATATATTTCCAAGAATTGCTTATGGATACTTTTGATTGCAATATTTTGTGGATTAAGCTCATTTTCTGGAAAAGTAATTTGGGATAGATTGGGTTCTAGATTATCAACAAAACTCAGAAAAAGATTGTTTTTTCAGTTGATGAAGAGCGAAGTAACATTTTTTGATGTAACACCAATTGGTTCAGTCATTTCATTACTCTCTGAAGATTCCCAAATGATCCAACAATCCTTTGGTTATATAAAACACCAACAAATTGAAAACATCACAAAATTTATTATTGGAATTGTATTGGCTTTTGTTTATAGCTGGAAAGTCGCTCTCATATCTTTTTCTTCAATTCCACTTGCAACCATATTCGTTGTGATCTTTGCTCCAATCATTGGAAAAAAGAATGTAATTAGATTTCAATCTCTATCAAAATCAATAACATTAGCAGAAGAATCATTATCATCTATAAGAACTGTAAGAGGATACAATAGAGAAGATGCCGAAATTGAGAGATTTCGAAAATTATCTTTAGAATCTTCAAAATATGAGCAAATATCAGGATATTTAGTATCAGTAATGTTCTTTTTAATCATGATTGCCATATGGGCTGATGTTCTTTCAAACTTATATTTTGCAGCAACATTAGTTGAAAAATCTTTGAAAAATGGAACAAAAGATTTTTTAATTGGAGATTTAATGGCTTGCAATATGTTTACCGTTTTTGGAACAATGGGTATCATGATGCTACAAGCAAGTGTTGGTAGTGAACAAAAATCTATTGCAGCTGGTGCTCGTATTCTCAAACTCTGCAATCATGTTCCTGATATTCCTTTTGAAGGAGGAATTGACAAAGTTGAAAATTTCCAAGGTCACATCGAGTTCAAAAATGTTACTTTCAGGTATCCAACAAGGCCTGTTGATGTGCTTATAAATGTTTCATTTGAAGTCAAACCTCGAACACATGCAGCTCTTGTTGGACATTCAGGAAGTGGAAAGTCAACGTGCATCCAACTATTGGAAAGATATTATGATGTTTCTGAGGGAATAATTTTGATTGACGGAAGAGACATCAAAGAATATGATCCAAGATTTTTGCACAAGAAGTTTGGACTTGTCAGCCAGGAACCAACCTTGTTTAGTACAACGATCTCTGAAAACGTGAAATATGGTAACCCTGATGCAACTCAAGAGGAAGTTGAAAAAGCTTGTGAACTTTCAAATGCAAAGAATTTCATTGAAAAAATGGAAAATAAATATGAAACACAAGTTGCAGAGAAAGGATGCGCACTCTCTGGTGGACAAAGACAAAGAATTGCAATTGCAAGAGCTCTTTTAAAGAATCCAACGATTTTACTTTGTGATGAAGCAACTTCAGCTCTTGATTCGAGTTCTGAAAGAAAAGTTCAAGCAGCTCTTGATAATGTTATGCAAAACAGAACATCAATCATCGTTGCTCACAGATTGTCAACAATAAAGCATTCTGATATTATTTTTGTTTTCGATGCTGGAAAGATTGTTGAATCAGGAACACATGATGAACTTTTGTCACATAAGGGAGCTTACTTTAATCTTGTTTCAAGACAACTTCTTACTGAAAGTTCCAAAAAAGATGAACCGATCAACAGTGCAAGATCAATAGAAAAATCTCATAAGGAAGAGGCACAAATAGAAATCAAGAATGATGAAACCAGTGATAACAAATCATCTAATGATGGATCTCATGAAAAGGAAGAACACAAAGAAATCAAAAACAAAGAAAAACCTTCCGAAATCAAAACAAACCTTGAAAATGAAGATAATACAGAAAACATTGAATCAAAAAAAGAAATCAAAGATAATTATGATACAAATGATCCTTCTGATTACTCAGAATATTCTTATAGCTCCGAAAGCAGTATATCTGTTTAATCAGAATAAACATACATCATTTTATTAAAAATATACTATTCTATTCTACATTGATATCATTTTTTTTTCAACAGTTAGCTGAAAAAAAAATTATTGGGTATTTCAGATTTTGAAAAGTTTACAGATAAAAAAAAATTACCGAGGGCATGAATCTGAATTACGAATACATTGCTGCTCATATCAGCGATTATATTAAAAATGAAAACTTCTTCGATACATTTGACTTAGATGATGTCAAAAAATCATGAAATATTCAAATTTAACAGCAAATCAGTACATTTCTCTTCTCAAACAACTTCATATGGCATGCATAGATGGAAATCTCGGACTTGTCAAATCACTCATTGAAGGTAAGTGCGATAAAGAAACAAAAAATGAATATGGATTTACTCCACTCATTTATGCATCAGAAAAAGGTCATCTTGATGTTGTTAAATATCTTATCTCTGTTGGAGCTGATAAAGAAGCAAAGAATATTTATGGATCTACTCCACTCAATTTTGCATCAAGAGAAGGTCATCTTGAAGTTGTTAAATATCTTATCTCTGTTGGAGCTGATAAAGAAGCAAAAGATAACCATGAATCTACTCCACTTATTTGGGCATCACAATGGGGTCATCTTGAAGTTGTTAAATATCTTATCTCAGTTGGAGCTGATAAAGAAGCAAAGAGTAATAATGGATATACTCCACTCATTTATGCATCACAAAATGATCATCTTGATGTTGTTAAATATCTTATCTCTGTTGGAGCTGATAAAGAAGCAAAGAATATTTATGGATCTACTCCACTCAATTTTGCATCAAGAGAAGGTCATCTTGAAGTTGTTAAATATCTTATCTCTGTTGGAGCTGATAAAGAAGCAAAAGACAAAAGCGGATCGACTCCACTCATTTATGCATCACAAAATGATCATCTTGAAGTTGTTAAATATCTTATCTCTGCTGGAGCTGATAAAGAAGCAAAGAGTAATAATGGATATACTCCACTCATTTATGCATCAATGAATGGTCATCTTACAGTTGCTAGAAATCTTATCTCTGTTGGAGCTGATAAAGAAGCAAAAGACAAAAGCGGATCGACTCCACTCATTTATGCATCACAAAATGATCATCTTGAAGTTGTTAAATATCTTATCTCTGCTGGAGCTGATAAAGAAGCAAAGAGTAATAATGGATATACTCCACTCATTTATGCATCAATGAATGGTCATCTTACAGTTGCTAGAAATCTTATCTCTGTTGGAGCTGATAAAGAAGCAAAAGACAAAAGCGGATCGACTCCACTCATTTATGCATCATCGAATGGTCATCTTAGAGTTGTTAAATATCTTATCTCTGTTGGAGCTGATAAAAATGCAAAGAATAATTATGGATCTACTCCACTCATTTAGGCATCATCTAATGGTCATCTTGAAGTTGTTCAATATCTTATCTCTGTTGGAGCCGATAAAAATGCAAAGAATAATAATGGAGATACAGCGCTCAAACTTGCAAAAGGTGATGTAAGAAAATACCTCAAAAAAATCAGGGTTAAGTAACCTGCTTAGATGTTTATTTAAATTTTGAATGATTAACTCTTAAGGATGCACTTACCAACTTCTGACATTTTCTCAATTTTTTTTGACATTCAAGCTTTATATTTGAATTTTCAAAAGTTAAAAATTTATTATAAATCACTATATAGTTCCCAGTATAATTGATGTACTTTTTTTGTTATTAACATAAAGATATATTGTTATTATGAGAGCATGTCAGAAAGTGGTAAATGCACACTTAAATTAATGTTTTTTAAATATATTTAATTTTTTAAGCTTTTTACATGTCTTCTGAAGATCGTTCCAAGAGATTCCATGAATGGGCTGATTCCATATCTCCTGACACAACGAGCTAATTCTTTGGATAATGGCAAAATATCATCAGGAAGAGCGAGCAATATCTGGAACAATGACAAACACGTAATATAGTTGGTTGGGACACTATGCCAACCATAATGAATTCAATATCTTTGGCATAGATGGCTCCATCAGGGGCAAGAATTTTGGAGGAAGAGATTGTTGAAGTACTTAAAACCCACGAAGACTAGTTTCAGTAGCTCCATCGAATTCTCTGTTGAATAATTGCTGTCCGCACATAACAGGAATTGTTAAAGGAAAGAAAGGAAACAGTAATTTGATTTCGAAAATGTTTTGCGCATCATTCATTTTCTTGAATACGTTGAATACAGATACTTGTTGTGCATCATCTATGTAATATGATTATTGAATCTGAAAGCTAATCTTACAAAAGCTTTCATTAAGCGGTTCGAAATCAATCAATACATGTTTGCATGCGATCATGTATATATCGCGTATGAAATGCGTTGGTAAAACACATATTGCTTAATGAAAAAATTTTCAAGATTTTTGATATTCGATCTTTCGACAGGATCAGTTCGATATGATTATAGTCTGCATGTCCAACACTCCATTAGATTAATTTGCCACTCTCAGCGAATACAAAATGTAAAAAAATAGACAATAAAATTTTGTGCGGAAATAAAAATAAATCACCATTTAATTTTCCAATCAATTCAATTTTTTTTATTTCAAACGATGAGTGTTCAAAATGTATACTTTAAGAAGATTATGGAGCTCATTGTGAAGAATCCAATCAATCCCAATGATCCATTCTTAAAATTTATCGCTAAAACAGTCGAATTTGAAGAATTTACAGTTTATTGTATTGGAAGAATCCACAATACACTCGATCAGTCAACAAAATCGCATTACTTCGACCTTGTTTGCATGGTTTCACTTATCGCTCCAAAGCAAATTCAGTTTGAAACCATTTACGAATTTTTGGAAAAATTTGATGACTTTCCGTCATTTGAAAACCTGATAAATTTGAGTAACTCATTGGGACACATATTCAGTCAGCAGACAAAAATCGCTAATCACTCAGATTTGAAACAAATTCTTGAAAGATCTCCGGCAATTCAAGGCTTATATGGGCATATAATCATATCAACATACGCAAGACATGATAGTAATGCTTATAACAACATATTCAACGAGATATTACTTCTAATTAACGAAAGTCAGCACTTGAATTACGACAAACTTCTTGCTATCAATATCCTTCTCGAGAAGAACACTTATACTGATATTTCTAAGGAAAATATACAGCGTTTTGTCAATATTTTGTCTAAAAAAGCGAATTATTTGGCAGATATGATGAAATCCGATGATTTACTGCAGATTACACTCATATTAGAACTTATTGCTAAGTATTTCAAGTTCTTCAAGGGAAGCGAGAACAAAAAACATTTGATTAATTGTTTCATTCAATTACAATATGTTTACAACAGATTTAAAGAAAATCCAACCGTTATCCGTGATGTTGTTGACATTATGATCAATACTCCTGTTGGAAATCACGGTTCTTTGTCCGCATCTCAACAAATCAATTTCTTTTTCGAATTATTAGTTTCTAAGACATGTGAGTCATTTATAGTTGATCCTAGTGAAGATTTCAGGATTGATTTCGTAAAAGAAAGACTTTTGTCGCAAAATGAAATTGAAACTGCTGTAATTACAATAAAAATGTTCAAGCACCTCAATTTCAACTACGTACTGAAGTTAGTAACAAATACTGTACTCTGCGATGAAGAAAAATGCGTTGAAGACGTGTATTATTCAATATTAAATATTGAAAAGAACTCAAACGAGTCAAATGCTGATTTTGAAGCAAGAAAGGCTACGTTGATGCAATATACAGCATCATCATTTAAGGATTTCTTCAAAAACTGCAAGAATTTGAACTCATTTGAAACTGTTCTAATTTATTTCTTCGAATTTACCGTCAAATCGGACTATGAAGCAGAAATTAAGGAAGCAATTCAGTATCTCTCATTAAATATCAACGCAGTGATCTATCATTTGATGAAAAAGTACCATTTAATCTCAAATCCAGAAATTCAATGGGAATTTATCAGTTTTATCGCCCAGAACATCGATAAAATCAGGCCAGTTACAGATGACATGTCAGAACACTATGATTTCATATGCGAATTACTTTATCAATACGGAATTGAGAAAGAAGAGGCCAAAAAGGACATTTTAGTGAAGGTTTTCAGTTCAATATTCCATACAAAACTAGAAAACCCTTCAATTATCACTTTAATTTTCAATTCAATTATAAATCCAAAAGAATTTGACGAATTTTTATGCAAAAACATCAAAAGTAAGAAGTCATTCAAGCCTATTGTTGTATCAGCAGCTTATTTCCATTCAAAAGATAACAAAAACGTCAAATCAAAATCATATGACTTATCTGTAGAGTATTTACACGACAACAAGATCAAAACTAATTATTTACCAGAACTTAAGACGATCTACTACGAGTTCTACAGTATTTTGTTCGAAAATGATATGGAAAAATCGAGTGATTTCATTTTGGAAACAACTCAACAACTTACGAAGACAAAGAGCGTAAAAATGATCAACCACGAGTTATGTATTGCGTATGCCATAGCCAAAATCATTGCAAATTATATAGAAATCAAAGATCAAATTTTCCAAAAACTGGAAGAAGCGTTCAAGCTCATAATGTTCCATTACAACCCTCAGGATTTCATCAAAGAAAACGCCTCTACATGTGTATCATTCTTGGAATGCGATCGCGAAGTAGATTCTGAAATTTTGATAAAATTTTCGGAGTCAGTATCACTTTGCAAACATTACAAAGAAATATGTAATTGCTGTGAAAATCCTGCATCGCTTATATGTCGACTCATCGATTCATACTCTTTGTGCGTCGATAATTTCCCTCAAGCCGAAGAATTTTGTCAGTTCTGTATCGACAACAAGAACGACAGTGAGCTACTACATGTATTCTGTCGATCCTTCTGTCTGGTTCCTTACGTAGATTTAAGTTTGCGGATATTAAGTTACGTATTAACCAAATCTTCTTGTTCCCCTGAAGAGAAAGCCAAAACAATGCGCCCAGCAATCTTCTTGTCCATCAGATACACCACGGAAACAAATTCATTGAAGATACCCAATGATTTAGTCCTAAGACCAGTTTTCGATTTCTTTAATTCATTTTTGTGTAAACCTTTCGAAAAAAGTGACATCATGACCGCTATCGGCAATAATTTAGACAGCCGAGATATTACGGATTTAATATTCCAATACATTGTCAATCAAGATATTGACGACAGCAGATTATTGTTACTTACGATTATTTGCCAAAAGTGTCAAGAAAAAATTGACGATAAAACTTTGGTAAATATTTTCAGTGTCAAATTGTCAAATTCCCCAGAAATTGACAGAGATTTGATATCATTATTAAGTCAATTACTTAAGAATGATCCGGATCGATGTATTCTTTCAGCTTTTAATTCAAGAAACATCGATATTTCCACAAAAGCATTTATTAATTGTTGTTCATTATCTTCGAAGTTTCCTCATGTTTTTGTCACTTTTGTAACACATCACAAATCTATTTGTACTGTATCAAGTTCATTAATTGTCTCGAATATACTCAAAAAAGGAATAATGACGAGAATAGATTACGGAGACATTTTCTTTTCTTATTGTATAATTTGTTCAAGATTGAATCAGTTTCCTGATGAAATAGACATCGATGGAACAGCATCAAATCAATTTGTTCAAGATTTCATTGAGTTCGTTTCTTCTCTTGAAATTGACGTGAGTGCGAAACTTCTTAAAGTTGCTTTGTCTCATGCTAAAGATGTTTGTACATCTAAGCAGGAAATATTTAATCATGCTTCAGGAATTATTTTGAGTTTGCCACCTGATTTTGTTATATCAGAAATTGTTGAATCTCTATTTAATTTCGATGTTTCTGATCTTCCTGAATCATTAAGAGAATTCTTACACAGACAAATCAACAAAGAAAATGTTGTTTCTTTCATTTCGAAATCAACAAATAACACAAAATCATTGTTGATGGAGTTTGGATTAAGAAAAGATATTTGTTTAGTTTTGTTGAACACAAATACAAATCTTGCTTTGGAAATCATCAAAAAACGTGTTGTTTCTAATCATAATTTCGGATTTTATCCTTATGATAATCTTTTTATTCTTGGAGCAAATGGAAATCAAACAGCAGCTGATATTTTGTTGATTGAAACAAATACGAAGAATTTCAAGGAAATGTTTTCTATTTTATTGGCAAGGGATTGTTTCATGGATCTTAATAAGATCGTTGAGAGTTTGATAAGCACGAAAGCTTTAGATTGTTTAATTACTGTTCTGATGGAATTGAATTCTCTGAAAGTTGTTTCTCAAAAGAATTTATTGAATGCAACAATTGTTCTTTCGCAAGAACCAAGGTTAAGAAATAATGCACTTAATATACTTCTCTTGGCTGACAAAATTTCTACTTAATATAATTTATTTATCTATTTTTTTTTATTTGTTAATTAATTATTTTTTCTAAAAATACTTATTTATATTGTTATTAACTTATTTTAAAATCATTTATATAAATATATTTGATTTGCTTCGAACTCAAGAATCATTCCTCAACTGAATGGTTAAGCGTGTAATCATAGTATCGTGGAATTATATGATTTTTATAATAAAATTATCCTTCATCGGTTAAATGGTAAACAAAATTGTGAAGAAATTCTATCAAACTTTTTCAAATACCATTCAATTTTTTTGACAAACATGATAGCATAATTGTCATCCATTTTATGATTCAGTAAAACAATATTTCAAAAGTGGCACTTTTTGCAATGTTTTGCAACATTGTTTCAAGCTTCGTTTAGACAAGAAAAATTTCCAATTTTTGAGATTTTTTTATTTTCCAGCATAAAATTTTGAATGCATTAAAATCCTATCAACATTTATTGAAGACGTCTATGTTATTATTTTTTTAATCAAAAATTTGGATTAAACTGAGATAAAAAAAATTAAAAGGCAAATTTGACTTTCGAATATTTTTTTGGAGATGGATTCGGAAAGTCAAAAGAAGTATAATGATTTCATAGACACATATGAGAGACTGTATCACTTAAACTCTTCGGAATCACATAATGAAATACTAAATTCAATGATAGATTGCTTAGTTAACAAGTATAATATTTCAAAGTACCTTCTCATTAAGAGTTTACTCACTGCAATCAAATTCAATTATAAGTCAATTGTTCTTTATTCCATAATATTGAACCAAATATTGACAAAATTTTCAATTCCATCATCTTATGTTCTTAATAATTTCCCAGATCTATTAAATAACAATGAATTTGTTGTCACAATGAAATTTCCACAATGGGATGAATTCGATGATATAATTATGTATGATAGAATTGAAAAATTCAAAAATATTGCATTAGAAAGAGACATCGAAAAATTAAATATGACTATTCCTAACTTTTCATCTAATAGTATCCTTGAAAATTGCGCTTATTTTGGATCAGTTAATATCTTTTCTTTTATTATAATGAATTATTCACCAACAATTACTGCTAAATGTCTTGAAAATGCTATTATTAGTGGAAATACAGATATCATTAACGAATGCTTGAAATATCAAACATTATTTCCATGTTGCATAAATTATGCTATTGCTTCACATAACAACACTTTTCTTCAACATATGTTAACACATGATTTGATTGATGCTAAAGACTTTGATTATCAATTAGTAATTGATTCACAAAACTTGAAATCAGTATTTCTTTTGTTCGAGAAGGACAAGAAACTTATTGTTCCATGGTGTTCAGCTTTTCAACAAACATATGAGATTATTAAAAATGGAAATCTTGATTTAACGAAAACTGTCGAAGATAATAAAACAATTCTTCATTTTGCAGCAGAATTCAATTGCTTAGAAACATGTAAGTTCTTAATATCATCATGCAAGATTAATGTTAATACATCTAGTTTTACTCAAAGAACTCCTCTTCATTATGCAGCTGTTAGAAATAGTTATGAAACATCAGAGTTTCTACTTACAAAAAAAGCGAATGTCAATGCCAAAGATATTTTTGGATTTACTCCTTTACATTTTGCAGCAAGAGATAGTTCAAAAGAACTTGTGCAACTGTTTATTTCTCATGGTGCAAATGTCGAAATTAAAAATGATTTCGGATATGATGCATTACTATATTCTGTAGAGCAAAATAATGAAAAAATTGCAGAAATTCTAATTAATAATGGCGCAAATATTAATCAAGAATATTATACACGTGGAACTCCTGCTTTCCATCATGCAAATAAAAATTATGATTGCAATGTGAACGGATATACAGTGCTTCACAAGGCAGCACAGCTAAATTATAAAGATATAATGGCTTTTCTACTTTCTCATGGGGCAAATATTAATGCAGTAACTAGTCTTGGGGAGACTGCTCTTCATATTGCAGCAAAATATGATAGCAAAGATGCAGTAGAACTCCTTATTTTTCAAGGTATCGATGTATCTGCAAAAAACAAAGATAATCAAACTGCATATCAGTATACTATTCTATATAATAGTAAGCATATTGAAAAAAATTATTTGTTATACGCTTAAAAAATACTTAAAAAAGAAATTACAGCCATAAGGATTTGTCTAGAAACATAAAAAAGTTGGAAATTATGAACATTTTATAATAATATATTAAAAACATTCAAATTGCGATGATTAATCGAAAATACCAATATATATTGTTATTTTTGTTTGAAATTAAATTATTTATTGTACAGTGAATGAAATATATAAATTTTGAATTCGTCTAAGGCTTGAGGACCAGATAATAATATAGTGACATAGATTTTTCAATTGTTCTAAAAATGAAAGATGATTTTTTATAAAAATTATTTTTATTAATCTTCTTTTGAGTAGGATGTAATAAGTTCGGCAATTTTTGTATAACAATTCTTTACTGCAATATCAAGTGCAGTTTCTCCTCTGTTATTCGCAATATCAGCCCTTGCTCCATGCTCCAAAAGAATTTTGCAATTTTCATATTGAGTATTTAGTACTGCAATATGAAGAGCAGTTTGATTCTGGTTATCAGTTATATTAACATCAACACCACTAGTAACAAGATAATTAAGGAGTTCAGTGTAGTTATTCATAGTTGCATAATGAATTACTGATAGTCCGCTATAATCCGTTGTATTGATATCAGCTCCATATGAAAGTAATGCTTCTACATTTTGTAGATTATTCTCTCTAACTGCAATTAACAGATAAGATTGACCAAACTGATTGAACTTTAAATTGATATCTGCACCATGAGATCTCAAAAGATCTACTACATCCTTATGGTCCATAAGAATGGCATTATAGAATGCTGTTGCTCCATTAGGGCTTTTAACATCAGCACCATGAGTGATGAGATACTCACATAGTTTTGGAATATTAAAATAAGTGGCGTATTCAAGACAAGTTTCAAAATCTTTTGTTCGATCCAAATAAATGAAGAAAGCATGGAGATTATAATGTTTACAACTTGTAGATAGTAAAATTTCTCTGTTGTATTCGTCCATCATAAAAGTAATAAAATCAATGTTGTGTGAGATAATTGCATAGCTCATTGTATCTCTATCTTTATCAGGACTTCGCTTTTTAAAACATTCATTCATAATATCAGCATTTCCACCTAAAAACGAGTAGAAAACACATGTAGACGTAATATTAACAGTGTTGAATTTTGATATTAAAATCTTAAAGCAATCAACAGCACCACAGTTACAACAAAATTCAAGGATTGAAAACCACTTACATTTTTTAATTGGAAAATTATCTCCAAGCCTTTGATTTGGATCAAAACCTTCTGCTTCTGTGTATGGGATAAATTCAAGTTTATTGTCATTGATAATTGCATTATAAATTGATTTTTGTGTGTAAAGATTTAATATATTCTCTTTGATGAAATACTGATTGTCTTTAAACTCCAAGAAATCACTAATATTCAATTTCTCATTATCTAACTTTGGTTGATATTCTTCGTAAAATTTTTTGAAAATATAGAAATAAGATAACAAAAAATGGCATCTGTGGTTGAAATTATCAACTAAACATGTGGCTACATCTTTGAAAGTAAAGTACTTTGTTTCAATTAATTCGGTTTTAATACTTTGGTATAATTTGTCGAGATCTTCTTCTTTTGAAGTTTTAAGTGTGTATAATGAACATATTACTTCATCAGCTTTTTTGAACATACTCATTAACTCTTCATAAGGCTCAGACATCAGGCAAATGAATAATTTGAATTTATGTCGGAAAATTTTCAAAATTTTCCCAAAATGTGAGTCAAAAATTCCAGAAAATTTAGTTTAAGGCCAACTTTTATTATCAAATGATTTAGCTTAATCAGAGAATATCTTGAATATAATATAGATTAATTCACAATTCAAATTTTCCATTATGCTTTCAATGGTCCAATTAATTGTCTCAGAAGGGAATAATTCACCTTTAATATCATGTATTCTAATTGAACATTGTTCAAATTCTTTGAAATCTTAAAAGATTTACATATCGAAAATCACCATAAGGCCTTTCGTGATTTTGAGTTAAATACCTTTTCCTGTGAATATACATTTTTTAACAGAATTGGGCGTATTTTTTTTAAAAAATATTTTCTCTTAGAGTTATTGGTCCAAGTTTCTCATGGAAACCAATACAATTACTCTGCACCTACTGTCATACCATATACAAGAAGAGTTAGTTCCATTCATTGGTAATTTTTTCATATCAACATTCATTGATGATATACCCTAAAATATTTGTTAAAATACTGCGGTATAATATATCGAAATGGATTTCGCAAAAATTGTTTTCGTAGATGGAAAACAAGCTTTCACATATTCAATTGGGCCAATCTTTCACACAATTTTGAGATCATTTGACGTGATTTTGCCGTCATTTGCCTTTGCCAGGCAGATTGATTGTAATGGAGTGAAATTTTTTATGCTGGATATAGATTTGTTATAGCATATAGTATTTATTTTTCTAGTTGAGGGTTATCATGAATTTCTATACTAGATTTTGACAAAAATAATTTTAATGATTTCTTTTCTTCTTTTAGGGCTTTCGAAACAGAAAACATATCAAGAATTTCTGGAATACTGCAACCGCATTACTAATTCTACTCCTATTTATCCAAAATCATCAAAATATATTAAAATTAATTGCAAAGTAGACCAATTTTATGTAATAAATGCTTCTAAACCAAAAATTATTGAAGTATATGCGGAAGAAGCATGCATAATTAATATTAATGGCGATAAAAATCGAATTTATTCGCATGGAATGGGAATATTTAATATTGTTGGCAATTCTAACAAAATTAAGAATGATGTATTTCCAGATTCATCACTTGCCCATTCAGTATTTACAATAACTGGCTTTGGAAATTATTTAGAAAATAAATATCGCGGACCACTCAGAAGATCTACATTCATTACTGCAATTGCTGAAGATCCATTCTTTGCTACTCGTGAATACGAAAATGATGAATATAGTGCAGACTTTTCATTTTCTGCCGATACATACAATTTAAAATCTACTGAGGCTTCAATTTCTAGCTTTGGTTCAATTAACATTACTGATATGAAGAATCAAACATATGGGAGAATATATATTCATGATTTTGGTAACAGCGATTCATTTTATCCTGATAAGTTACTTGGACTTTTATTAATGATCTTTTCCTTTATAGCTACTGCAGTATTACTAATTATTGCAGGACTTTATTCTTGCAAAAAGAAATTAGAATAAAAAAATTGTTTGAATAACTTTTTTTGGATGAAAACATTTACTTTTTAATAAGGTTTCCTTCGTTTGATAGTATTAAACATGTTAATTGATTTAATGTCATTATTTTGCTTGATCAAAAAGGAAATACTGCACTTCATCATGCAACATTATACTACAATTTTTCTTGTTGTAAAAAATGCTGATATCAATATTAAAATTGATAATGGTGTAACCACTTTTGATATTTCAGATGCACAAAAATATGAAGACGCAGAAGTACTCTTTAAATCACATGGTACAAACTATTCAAGGAGGAATTAGAGTTCCTTAATGTTACTCATATTCAAATTTGTTTGGGTCTAAAATTTCTTTTCCAAGGATACAGAGTTGCTTTCATTCAAGGAAACTATATTCACAATAAATCTCAGTCTATATGTGTACATATTACTATAGACAGTTTCCTCTTAAACATCTCAGGAAGCAAAATCGTTAGAGATCAAAATCTTTTAAAGATTGGAGGAGAAATTTACTATGAATCAAATGAAGTTACATCATTAGGAAATCTCAATAGCTTGAGCATATTCTCCTAAAACATAATATAAATTAACACGCTATACTTATGATAATATTTCGAAAAAAATTATAAATTTGGTCAATTAAACGAATTAATGCATTTTTGCTGAAACATATCGCAAATATTTCATTGTCAAAAATTGAATTTTTAATTTTTCCGAAAAAGACAGTATTTAAATAAAAAATTGCTCTTTGAGAATTAACGTTTATGCATAGTAAAAATCAATTTCTTAGATAAGAAGGCAGCACTTTGAGTTCTTAACAGCTTCTTCGACCTTATTCTGAAGTTTCCAGTGTTTCTTGATAGCTTCAACGCAGCTTTCGTGGACCTGGTCAATGGAGCGGTTACCGTCGATCTCAGCGACCTTTCCCTTACCCTTGTAGTGTTCGATAACTGGCTGAGATTCTTCGATGTATGTCTTCAGTCTCTTCTTGATAGCCTCTTCGTTATCATCAGCACGGCCGGAGGTCTCACCGCGCTTGAGAAGACGGTTGATAAGAACGTCCTCAGGTACGTTAATGTAAAGGCAAGTAACTGGTTCTCCGAGCTCAGCGGCGAATGCCTCGCACTGAGACATCTTGCGTGGGAAGCCATCGATAAACCAGTGCTCTTCCTTAGAGCTTGACATTTTCTTCTTGATGAGATCAATAACGGTCTTATCATCGACTAATCCACCGTTCTTCATGATTTCAGCAAGCTCTTTGATCTTGTTGAGTTCTTCCTCTGACATATCCTTTGGTGGATTTTCAAGTTTCTTAATTGTCTCACGAAGGAGATCGCCTGTGGAAAGATAGCCAATACCATACTCCTTGGCAATGACAGCTGATTGTGTGCCTTTTCCTGATCCTGGGCCACCGAGAACGAAAATGAAGTCTTTAGTCGACATCTAACGAAAATGAATACAATTTTTCAAAAAACGAAGCCAAAAAATTCAGAACTTTACAAATTCATTCGAGAAATGTTAAGAAAATAACCGTGAAAAAATTAGATTATGAAGCAAATCAGATATTGAAAGCATCCAATTTTAAAAAAAGCGAAAAGCAAGTTTAATAACTTTACATGTCGGTTTTTATTCAATGTCCCACACACAGCCAGGATCTGATGACTCAGATGATGCATGGGCCACCGTTTTTGATGCCATCGAGTACAAGGATGGGGACGAGGCAGATATGTTTGCCGTAGATCCATTTTCAGATTTCTATTCTGGAATGCATCAAAATCAAATTCAAAAACAAAATCACTTTGCATTTCAGCCTTTACCAGACGGACATACTGGAAATCCAAGCATGGATTCCGCAAGCACAGACTTTTTTCACCGTAGAACAATTTCTTCGCCATTAATCCAGCTTACCCCAAGCCAGCATCCATATAGTCCTCAAGTATCACTTCCAGGTGTCCAAACAACGCTCAGTTTCTCTCCATCGAGGATTTCGCGCTTGTTGGCCCCAGTTGATACTCAAGCTCGGGCTCAAGAGGATGCTACGTTTATGTCTTCGATCCATGATACGACCCTCGTCTTGAATCCTCACGCTCTAAGTTTTATACCTTATACTCTTTGGCAAGAAAGAACATATTCGTTTGGCGAACTTGTAACAGATTTCTTCCAGAGAAAGAACCACGCAAGTTGTAGATTTTCATATAAGCTTTACAATGCGCTTAAACTTAGTGCAATCAATGATAAATTCGCATTCCTTGTTGGAGTCCGATGGTTGAACGAGCAGATAATTCGCGTGGACAAGCGTGCTTTCGCACGTTTGCTCGGAATTAAATCTATTGATGGTAGCTTGTTCCATCAACAAGGCAATTTCCCTTCACATGGCTTCATAGAGGTTTCTGCTGAGGATGTTCCGAAGATTTGTCCGGATGTCGATCTTACCGGTGTTGATTATGATACTGTTAGATTGTTGTACCACGGAGACGGAATCTTCCTAAGAAGTGCTCAGGAAGCTGATTTAGCTAATTGTAAGTGGGCGAGCTCACGTCGTTAATCATGGAATTTAAATACATTGTTGTATGAGGTCAAAAATTGTTTTTAATTTTTTTTTAATTACACAACAAAACATTTTTGGATTCCTCATTACAACATTGTTTTTTTTAAGATTCACAGCCTTGATATGGATTAATTTTATTTTATATTTTTTTGTTATATTTATTATTATTTATTGATTTAAACTATGCATCTAACAACATTCAAGTGCTCTTTCATATCCCAGATTCTCAGCTAATTATAACCCCATATGACAATCGGCTTACTATAAAAATCTTATTTTTCTTAATTTTGTATCCGAAAAATTATTTTGTAGACCATGGAGAATCTAATCCGAATAATAATTTCCTTTCATAATAAGATTTTTTTCCCAATGGAAATTTTGAATGAAATAAGGTGAATTCTAATATTACAAATAATTAAGTTCTTCCTTCTCATAATAATAAATCACCTAACTATACAGAATTCAGATCAATTTGGAATTTGAAATTTTGAAAATCATTGATTTATGGAATGCAATTGAAATGATTAGCAATGATTTCATTAAATATGTGGGAATATTAAAGGTAATAAGGCAAATAAATCGAAATTGAAAAATTTTGGATTTTTTTTGAAAGAAAATTAAAAAAGAATTAGCAATAATACATTTTTATGCATTGTTTTGTCGTAAAACAGCGATAATCTTGGAGTTTGAACCAGATACCTTGAGAATTGCGTGGAGAATAACACCCATGAAAGCAGTATCGAATTCTCCTGCAAGAAGGACTGCCTTGTCTTTCTCAATGACATCACCGAAGACTTGGATGGAATGTGTAAGCATTTTAGACTCTGCTTTGTCAATACCCTTTTCTGTAAGGAACTTACGAGCACGAGAGAATACTAAAGCAGCGCAACCAAGTCTGAATCTCTTTGCAGCTAAGTTTGCAAATCCTGCACGAGAAATTTCACGAGCAAAAGCAACAACCCACTTTGGCTTGCATGTCTTGAGGAAAGCTATCAAGCGAGTATAGAAATCAATAGCAAACTGGCTGTTATCATCGACATTGATATCTTTGAGTACCATAAAAGCAGTAAAGAAGAAACGCTTCTGGAAATTGGGGAGCATATCCAAAAATCTTATCAATGACTTCTGTCCGGTCTCTTGGTTTAAGAAGTAGACCAAATTTTGATGTTGTTCTGGTTTTCCTTCAACATCAAAGGCACTTGTCTCATCGAGTTCGATGAGGTGGACACAGAAACGAACATAAGCATTGATAGATGGCATATTTCTCTCTGGTGATCTGTTGAGCTCTTCCAATTGGATGAGCTTTGCCCAGAATCTGTTGATAAGAAGCTCGTTTGATTCGAATGGGAGAGAATAATCAAGTTCGATGCCTGAAATTGTATTAAATGGTTGTGATTCGATTGAATGTTTAAGACGTGAAACACCTAAGCTTGGTGTATCAATATCAGCAAAGCCTTCATAACGCTGTGATTTATTGCTTTGAACTTTGATTGGTTGCTCTTGCTTTGCAAGACCTTTTCTCTTTTGGTCAATGCAGTTGAAGTAATAATCATCACCGGCACGGTCGTTCATCATGTAGACAAAACGCTCGCTCATGGTTTTAATATCCTGAGTCTTCACGGCCTTAAAAACAGGAGCACCTGGAGGAATCTTGATACTCATTTTTTTCTAAAAGTGACAAATCAATGGAACAAGATGTTCAAATATACTATATTATGCGATTTTTCAAATTCCTTATAAATCATTAATCGAAATGAAACCAAAAAATTTTCATTTTGATAAAAAACTGAAAGAAATTTTAGCAAAAAGAGCGATGACTGGACTCGAACCAGCGACCTTAAGGTTATGAGCCTTACGAACTAAACCAACTGTTCCACATCGCTTCCACGCTATCTTTAAACAGATTCTAATATTTGACAAATATTTGACACTTTTTAAATAAGATAACAACATGACTTTCCTAGTTTAATTTTAAAGTTATTTTCTTCAAATAGTAATATAATATTCTTTATAAAACTAATATAAACAATCTATACAATATTTCAATGATATCATGTTTAACTATGACGTCTTTCTACAAGTTCGAACACCTTATTAAGAAGAATGTATCCATCATGAGAAATGGACATCGATTCTGGGATACTATCATAATCAATAACGACGAAATCGGCAAAACAAGGTTCTTTTGAAATCAGATGATACAGGCATCTAATAGCGGTGTCGTTAACAGATTCATCATCTGTGCACTCTCCAACGAGATAGCTGAGGAGAAAAGCAAAAAATCCGTCTTCAATTAGGAAATGAAACAAACCTTGATCATTGATATGCATTAATGTACTGCACACAACATCAACAAGGATTTCAAGAATATTAAAGTATCCTTTTTGCAAATAAAGAAGAAGATTTCTGAATTGTTGGACTGTTGGCTGAAAAGCGTTATTTTCAAGCATTTGCTTGTAGATTTTAACGATTTTCCCAATTCTCATATAGTTCTCTTTAGGAATTGATTCGAGTAGTAAAGAACAAATGTTGAAATTTTCCATGAAACCAACGCCAACAGCTTTTGTTAGTTTATAGACTATATCAATCGTAAAAGATCGCTTTTCTTCATTATTTAAGAGATCTAGTAAAATAATATGAAGATTATTTTGCATTATTTTATTTTCGTTTCCTGAAACATGTTTAGCTAGTTCACATAAAATAGCTTTTTGTATTTTTGGTTGTCCTAATAGTAAAGATTGATTTAGAAGTTTGAAATAATCTTCAATATTTTCTTCTGAAATTCCTTCAATAAGACTGACTAATAAGGTAGCTACTCTTTCTAACTCGATTGATGCTGAATTCGAAAATTGAACAATGCTTTGGAAAATTCCTAAATTTATGAAATCAATGCAAATTTGCTTGTGACTAACTGCAGAAGATATAATTATCAAAGAATATATTGCCAGGCGTCGATCTTTTCCGTGCAAGTGAAACATTAGTAATTTTTCAAGTGCTGGATTAAAAAATTCCGAGACAATTCCATTTTGTTTTAAAGAAAACATGGCCAAGATATGAATTATAGGAACAAGCTGGCGTTTTTCTAGTTTTTCTTCTGTTAGTAAGGAAATTAAAACTGGCAATAATTTGGGGTTAACGTGGTCAATTGGTACCTCTCCAAGAGAGAGTAACACGTTATCTAAGATAATAATATTTTCATGCGTGCCATTAACTATTAAATTACTGAGTTCCCAAACATTATATTTTGATTCGCTTAACCATTCTGTAAGATCAGGCTCTGAGTATTCGTTGAAGCAAGAAAAATCAGGTTTTTTGTTGGTGATAACCCAATCACCTTCATCTTCTTTATAATTACTCATTTACAATGATTAGAAAATTTGATATGAAAAGATTTTTATGCGAGTGAGAAGGGATTCAACACTTCTTCTTAAATATTCATGCTTAGTTATTGTCTTGAAGAGGGTTCCATGCTTAATATTCAAAATTTTTATTGACAAATAATGAATATTTGTATTTATTGCAAGTATCAGCAATATAGCAAGCACATTATGTTTACATTATGCTAGATATAATGCGAGAACCATTTGGTCACTTTATTATGGAAATCTCCCTCTTCCATCCACTATTATTACCAGCGAGAACCAAAATGTCACTGCATTTGAAAGCAAATGCTTCACCTACATATGCAAATTCATCAACATTCATGATTGAGCTATTTCTTTTACAAATACAGAAAATTTTTCCATTATAATATGCGAAAATGTATTTCACAAAGGCCCAGGAACAATACATATTGATAGCAATAATGAAAACAGTATTGTCATTGATAAATTTTGTTCATTTGAAAGTGTCGCTACTCCAAGTGGCCATTTTACTCATTTCAATGGCAATATCAACAGCACAATCCTCCAAGGATCAATTCATAATGGAGGAAATACGATAAATGCAGTAATGATTTGTCAATATAATGGCCATTCTTCACTTTCAAGCACGAACATTTCGAATTGCATATCGCATCAAGCAACTGCTTTTTATTACAACAACCTTAAATCAACCACAAATGCTTCATTTTGTAATTTTGATAATTTAGTAGCAACAACTTTCATAATTACGCAGTTTGAGTCCACTACAGGAATTGTTGTAAGATGTAATTATCTAAACAACACCCAGAAAGACACATGGTGGGGTTTAGTTTTTGTTGCTTATCGAAGATTTGACATTTTTGATTCTTCGCTTCAAGATAATCGAAAAAACGGAATAGGAACTTTATTTTCTACGAATCAAGGACAGATTTTTGTATTTAGATGCCATGTTGATAAATATTCAGCAAATTCTAATGTTTATACTTCTAGTAAGGCAACAGATTCATTCATTAATGCTTTAAAGTTTATAAACATAAATCCTTGTGAAGGATCATTATTAATCGCACAAAATAAAGATACAAAGTTTGCATTTTTTAATTGTTTTATGCTAATTTCATTAATAAACCTATATGATGAAAAAATTCAATAAACTCTGTTATATCATGCCAATTTCTGACAATCACTTTTTTTCCCCAATGATTCTAAAAAGAATTTATTTTTGATAATTTGACGATAAATAGTGATGGTAAATTTTATAAAAAGTGACAAAATAAAAATTTTTTTATGAGTGATATTAAGGGTGCACTCGTATGTACGTTTATTTGAGAGGAGGAGGATTACCCTCTCAATTTTGAGGGATTCGTTAGTTTATTTTCTCGATGAATATGCAATAAAATTTGATTTTTACCTTATCAATATACTTCATATAATATACACATGTTCATGTAAAAACTTTTTTCCAAAATCCTCAGGAATTAAGGGATTTTTGAATTTTAAGAATTTTTTTCGAATTTTTTCGAAAAAAAAATATTTTCAGAACAGCCTTAACGGCTAAGATTTAGGAACAATGTTAAGTATCAAAAAGAAAGGAGGTCTGATATAGACAACATATATCGTTGAAGGTTGAAAAAATCTCTAATATTTGAGCCCAAAATTTCAAATTTTAATTTTTTGAAAAAAGAGGCCACCCGTATGTACGTTTATTTGAGAGGAGGAGAATTATATTTTTGAAAGGGTGAAACATTATGAATATGTTAATTATATAATAATATGTATTATTATAAAAAAGAAAAAATAAAGCACGTTAAAATTTTTCTTTCTTGATTTTTTACAAAATCTACTTAGAATTATGCAAAATATGACTAAATAATTATAAATTTCAAGTTAAATTTTAATTTTGATAAATAATTTAAATTTCAAAATATCAAGTTCAGTTCGACTATGTATGTAGTAATTCCTCAATAAAGTGCCAAAACCCTATTAAAATATATGAACATTTTCAACATTTTAATGTTTTTATTTAAAAATTTGTTGGAATATGAGCTTCAAACAATTATTATGTAAATAAAAATAATTAAATATATGTATTTATTCGTATTACAACCGTAGTAAGTCGATTCTTCCTTTCTTCTACTGAGTTTTGAATTTGATTTCGAATTGTAAAGAGATTCAAAGGGAAAATACTAGCGGATAAAAACTACCTCCATGAAAGGGTCATAATGGAGTCAAGTTGTATTTTTTGATATTTTTTGCTTTTCGAGCCTAAATAGGTAGCCAAGATAATGCCTAAAAATAAGGTTCTAAATTCTGAAGTTTACATGATCCTCTCGTGTGCACCCTTAAATTTGTTGTTGATTCTCAGTATTGCAGAAATTCATCTTTAGTTAAATATGTAAGTGATTTTTGTTTCGTTATCAATGGTCATCGATTTTGGCAAACCCAAATTTTAGCTAAAAGTGACAGGGGAAAAAAACGTTTAGTATTAAAAAAAAGACCGATGAGAGCTTCGTTCGAAATATAGAGGGAACTGAGAATGCGCAACCATTCTCAGGGAATATTGGATGCTATTCCCGTTCCCTCTGTATGGAAAATTGAGGTTTTCAAAGGGAGTTAAAATAATATCAAATTTATACTAATTTACTTCAAAATACAAAAGTATTTGACAGCTAAAATTAGTTACTTTAGCAAGCCTATCAATACCCTTTTACGATTATTGTTACTTTTTCGAAATAAAAGTAAAAACAAATTTATACTAATTTACTTCAAAATACAAAAGTATTTGACAGCTAAAATTAGTTACTTTAGCAAGCCTATCAATACCCTTTTACGATTATTGCTACTTTTTCGAAATAAAAGTAAAAACAAATTTATACTAATTTACTTCAAAATACAAAAGTATTTGACAGCTAAAATTAGTTACTTTAGCAAGCCTATCAATACCCTTTTACGATTATTGTTACTTTTTCGAAATAAAAGTAAAAACAAATTTATACTAATTTACTTCAAAATACAAAAGTATTTGACAGCTAAAATTAGTTACTTTAGCAAGCCTATCAATACCCTTTTACGATTATTGCTACTTTTTCGAAATAAAAGTAAAAACAAATTTATACTAATTTACTTCAAAATACAAAAGTATTTGACAGCTAAAATTAGTTACTTTAGCAAGCCTATCAATACCCTTTTACGATTATTGCTACTTTTTCGAAATAAAAGTAAAAACAAATTTATACTAATTTACTTCAAAATACAAAAGTATTTGACAGCTAAAATTAGTTACTTTAGCAAGCCTATCAATACCCTTTTACGATTATTGCTACTTTTTCGAAATAAAATAAATTTATTATCAAAAACCTTTTTTTTCTTAGTAAAAATAAAAATGTTATTTTATATCAAGTTTTTATTCATAAATTTTTATAATGTTGTATAAATTTCATTAAAAATTTACGTACATATTAAGGTACTTATCTTAATAATGAAGATTTTATTTTGCAATAATATAAACGAAATTTTTTACCTTATGAACTTTTGATGGAAATATGCAAATTTAAAATAATAAAGAAAGCCGCGAGCGAAGCGATCGGCTTAGTTCGAAGATTTTGATTCAAATCTTTGCTGATCTGTAATTCGCGGAAGCCGCGAGCGAATCGAGCGGCTTAGGTCTAAGATTTTGATTCAAATCTTTGCTTATATTCCTTAAATTCTTTATGAAACTCGCAACAGTTCCATAAAAAATTTTAAATTCTAAACTGTCGAAATTACCGATCGGTAATCACACCCTTCACGGGTGTGTCACTTTTTACAGGTGTGTCACTTTTAGCTAAAATTACCCCTACTCCATCGATTTTATACAACACAATCACACGCAGTTGTTGTAAGTGAAACAGTTCGAAACATGTTGATTACAGACAATAGTACACAAGAGATTAATATTGATATTAATACTGATATTAATAATAAAGATTCATTTGAGAAAGCATTAAACATTTTTTGTAAGTTTGTTCAAGAAGGATATGTTTCAGAAAACATCGACATCGAAACAAGTGAAATTATTTATGATCTTGGTGTTCTTCTCAAGAACGAAGATTTTATTTCACAATACAAATTCATTATTTCATCAACAATTATCAGTGAATCAAACATCGAATCATTCATCCGATACAGTCTTAAAACATGTGATTTCGATAAAACATGTTCATTCATCGCATCTCATATCTCTTTTCTTGGACCTTCAAAACTTTGTCTTCTTTTTGAATCTGTTTATCATTCTATTGCATCATCATATTTTAACGAAAACATCGATAATATTTTTGTTGATTTTATTTCAAGTATTTTGAGTAATAGATATGTTTTTGTCTACAACGAAGATGATATCTGTGATTTTGTTATTTCATTCATCAAAACATTTTCACCTTTATTATCATTTTCATCATCATTTTCAGAAACATCAAAATTCGATAAATTGATTGAATTTATCAGATTCGAATTCTGCACAAACGAAACAATTTCTCGTTTCATCAACTTTTATTCTTCATTCATCAACTCTTTTGATCAAGAAATGAAAACAGGAAATAAATCAAATGACAATATTCAAAACGAAAATGAAATCTTCACTCATTTATTTGAAACATTAATGTTATCATCAAATAATAACAATAATGTTAAAGAAATCAATCAATTTAATAAGATTTCAACAACTGATGAAAACATTAAATTTATTGAAAGATATTGGATTTCAAGAGAATTCATTAGTCTTTATGAAACATTTGTAAAATGTAGTCAAGAACGAGATCTTTATTCAATCAAATATGCGGTTAATAATGGATATCATAAAGCACCCTATTTTAATATGACAGTAGTTCATTATGCAGCACAATTAAATAATTTATCTCTTGTTCAAGATCTTATTTCATGTAGTGTTGACCCTAATATGAGAGATAATAATCTACGAACACCACTCCATTGTGCTTGTTATAACAATTCAATCGAAGTTGTCAAATTTCTTCTTACGTTAGATGAAATTGATATTAATGCACAAGATATATATGAAAATACTCCTCTTCATGATGCATGCAATAAAATGAGAGAAGAAATTGTTAAAATTCTCATAGGATTTAGAGGTATTAACATCAACATAAAGAATCGTCAAGGTAAAATTCCTATTGACATGACTCACAATACCAAAATTCATCTTCTTTTAAACCAATCTCTAGAAGCTTGTGTGTATAAATTAGTTCCAATATAAAGCTGATAGTGGTATAATAAGATGATTTTGCCTTAATTTATGAACAAATGCAGGTAGTATATAATAAAAATCATATTTAATAAATAAAATTTTTGAAATGCTAATCTAAAAATAAATAAATTCAGAAGGGCTCCCACACTAAGGGCAAATCGCAAAACCTTCTCATATTAAGTATAGAAGTACTTATATGAGGGAATATAATACCATAGTTTATTAAGTTTGTTTTCGATGTCTATCTTAAATTCATAATGAGATTCTTTCCAACTTTGAGTATAAAGCCTTGCGTACATAAAATATATCTTCTATATGTTAACAGTATAAATAAAATACATTTGCCATATATGTTTGTTGATTAATTAAGCTAATTCAAAACGTATCATTCATAGCTGATATGAAAATGAAGAATATGAGCTAATATTTGCATATTACTATTGGTGCAAAATATGTTAGCATTGATATTAATCTCAGATATTGTAAAAAAAAATAAAAAATAATTAAAATATGAAACTAATTTACAGGCATATATTAGAATATGGTTATGAAAGTTTTGATTTGCTGATTAGAAATTTAGTGAACCTAGCTTTATTGATGAAAATTGAATTGAAATTGCCAGAAACTAAGCAAAATGGCATGAATTAGATAGGGGATTATTCGTGTTTGTTCATATTAATATGAGAAATCAATCAAATGATGCAATCAAACAATTTTATTTGTCGAATATTCCATAATTCGTTTTATTCAATATAATTGCAACATACTCGAATAAATTTGAAATAGTGCGAAATATTGAGATTATTCACCGATTCAGAATTCGTTGAATATTCGAAAGTAATGAGAAAACAAAATATTATACAATTTTTTTGATTTTTGTTAAATTTTTTTATAAATAAACGATCGACTATTTTAAACGTGCACACCTCAAATATTTTTTCGATTTGATTTTAAAAACTTTTTATTGATATGTAATAAGCAAAAAATTTCGAAATAATCGTCGAAGACTGTAGCAAATTGAGAGGACAGACCTAATCGTACTTTTGTATCTGACGATGGATATAGATAGTATAATATATTGTCACACCAAATTTCATAGTTAGAAATTTTTGGGATCAAAATTCGAAGTGGGATTACTTCTATAAATTCAATTTGAAAGAGGAGAAAAGAAATCAGACTTGAATGTCTTTCGCTGGACCACGAAAGCTTTTACCAGACGATTTCGAACATGTTAAGAGACTAAGTCTTTCTGAACTACGCATGATTGATGTTCTTAAGGAAAAATCAACAAATAACGAATTTATTGCAATTACACATACAAAATTTGGTATAAAAGATAGTAGGAAGAAATCATTTTTTGAGAGAGTAAATGCAATGGCTTGCTTACATCATCCAGCTGTTTGTACTCTTTACGGATATTTCTTACCAGATAACGCTGAAAAGAAATGCCCGACTTTACTGTTTAAAAATGCAAAGAGAGGATGCTTGGGTTACTACATTGACAAATCTCGCTTGAGATCAACAAAATCTTATCTAGAGCCACCAAAAATCCTAAAAATATTGCTTGGAGTAGCTTCAGCATTAAAGTATTTACATAGTCAAGGATTTGTCTGTGGTGATTTACAGCCTACTTCAATTTTTCTGAATGAAAATTATGAACCATTGTTGTATCCAATTTTATCCACACATAATGCCTACAGAAAATTAAATGTCGCAACGTTCGATATGGCAACAGATTTAATTTCCCCGCCGGAATTACTTTCAGGAAATTTCAAAAAAATTACCCCCGAAAGTGATATTTATGCATTTGGAATACTCACTTTTCGATTCATTTGCAAGAAAATCGTATTTAACCAGGTGGATGTTTCTCTTTCGTTTTCACAAAATATAATTCAAGGAAAAAGGTTTATGATTCCCCAATTTAGCTACACCTTTTTGAGAGAAATCGTAGAAAACTGTTGGGTGCAAGATCCAAACAAAAGACCATCAATGGCTGACGTTTACAAAAAATTAAAACAAGATTGTCCAATTTTTTTGCCAGAACATATAACAGAGCCATACTTAAAGTACGTGGAATCACTTGATGCAAGTGTAATCCAAAATCAAAGCGATAATTCTTTTGATTCCCAAAATTCAGACAAAAATTCAATATTTTTGACAGGATACTCTTCTGATGTGTTTGATATCAATCAGTTGAAAGAATCTGCACCATATAAATACATTAAAAATCATCCAGAATTATCTCAAAATAAAATCTTGAAATTTAAGTTCATTTTGAAACTCCAGAACCACATAATAGAAACGAATCCAACAAACTTCGAAGATAATATCAAATGGATATCAAGAAATGTTGATTTTGATTCTCCAAAAGGAATTGACATATTTATCAGAACTTTATGCTTGGCAGCACTTGTTAGATGGAGAGATATCACAACGTATGCAAATATGTTCAAAAAAATTCTAACTGTAATAGGAAATTCTAATATTACTTTGAAAGAATCATTTATTGACAAAATACTTAAGGAAATGACTTTCTATGAGCCATTTCCTAAAATGAACGCTGTTTTGGCCTTACTACGCGTTCTGACAGAAACAAGATGTTATTTACCACAAAATATCGTAGAAATCATCAAAAAATTCTACGAAACAGGCGCGAAGATCAAAAAAAATGCCTGTCTTCTGTTTGCTTACTTCGCAGATTTCGTTTTTAAATTTGATCAAAAATTTTATTCAGAAATCTGCCAAGAATACGAAAAATACCAACACGATCCATTCTTTCCACTTCCATACCGCGTATTCTACCAAGAACTCAAAGAATCCTACGAAAAAGATTGGAGTATTTATTTGAATCACCTTCACAACGTCAAAGGCTCTCATGGACTAATTACAGAACTCATCAACGATGATATTGTTTCATTCCGAGACAACAGGAAGATTGACGATAACTTTATCCACTGTAAAATTCCGGCCAATTTATTTGAGCCATGTCATATTTTGTCAAACCGACCAAACATCACAATGTTCTGTGCCGCGTATTCATCTATCAAGATTTTCTCAAGAATGATGCAATTCGCGAACTTTTTCGTTGTCAAAGACGATAAAGGTAAAAGAACAAGTTACTTTACCGGTGTAGGAGGCAGTGAAAGCATTTACAACTTAGTTTCACCGAATTTCACTGTTTCTAATGATATTTTGATCGGAGCTTTGTGTTTCCACCAGCACAAAATTGCCATCAAACAATTGAACAGAGACAAATGCGATCCAAACGCTCCTGATGTAGATGGAAAGTACGGAATTGTATCTGCATCGGCTTATAACAATGTGTTTGGAGTGTTGCAACTATTGATGAAAAACGTCAACCCTTTGATCCATGAATCTTTCGAAAAAACAGCTTTACACTCTGCTTGTGAAAACGGTTGTTTGGAGGTTTTGGCGGTTTTAATTGTTTTGTGTCCACTTCTTGTTAATACGAAGAACACATTTGGCCAGACACCTCTGCATATCGCAATTGAACATGGAAGAAATGATTGCGCAAAGAAACTCATCAGATCACAAAATATTGATTTGAATTCAAAAGATGATGATGGTTTTTCTCCACTTTTTTACGCAATCAATCAAAAAAACATCGAAACAGTTGATTTACTGTTAAATGATGAAAGGTGTGACATCAATCTACAATCTAATAAAGGATACACGGCTCTCCATTGGTCTGCAAAACATGGAAATGATGAAATCACAATTAAACTGCTTTCTAGAAAAGATATTAATACAGAAATCGCTGACAACAAAGGAAGGAAAGGAATTGAAATGATTTCTTCAAATCTAAAGGAAAGATTTATTAATGGAGAGTTCCAGAAGAAAGAAGAAAATACCATGAATAATGGTCCTTGCAGAATATAACATTTTTTATATTATTTTTTTTGTTTGTATGTTTGTAAATAAAATCAATATAATATTTTGCGATTAATCATGAAGTTTACGTCTTTAAGGGTGCACTTACCACTTTTTGACACACTCTCAAAAAGAGATATAGGGGTGTGAAGCTTCATAGATAATAAAACCTTAAGGATGCCCTCACCATGTCAGATTTATACTTTGTATATTTAAGGATGCACTTACCACTTTCTGTCAGATTTAAACAGGAAATTTGAGAGTGTGTCAGTAGGTGGTAAGTGCACCTTTAAATATACAAAATCCAATCACACACAGATATTATAAGTGAATCGGCATGAAATTTCTTGATTTCCGATTTGTTAATTCAAAGATATATTGCTTCATCAATAATTATCACACAAGCATTTCGAACAAGACGCTATTAATGCACATTTGCACCAAATAAAAAATTAGAAGATAATAAAAAGAAAACAACTAATTATTCAAATTGGACTTCCCGAGAGTGGAGTTATCTGGAAAGAAAATTTTGAGAGATGAATTTTATATCGAATAAATTTTATCAGCATTGGATTAATTATCTATGTTTATATATAATTATAGAGACCTATCAAACAAGGCGATACTAAACTCCACGCGAAACACCCCATATTAATAATCAGATTTTGAAATTTCTAAAAAAATCTGTAAGTTTTTTTTATAATTAACATGTTATTTTTATTTTTATTTGATGGTGAATTCATCCAAATTCATTGACATTTCATTCAATTTATCAACAATGTACACGTTCTCACCGCAGATCTGTTCTGGGTTCTTATGAGATACCAAACCTTTGACTCCCTTTGCTTCTTCCAGAGCTTCTTCAGTCAAAAACAGTTTTCCTCTGAAACCTTTATCAGAAAGATTGGAAACTCTCAAGAAATCTTTTACAGACAATTCGACTCTTGGGAAGTCCATCTTCAGAGGAATTACTCCGAAATCACCGAAGTGAATAATAGCACTCAAAGTTGCCGCGTTATTAGAAATACTTTGTCCGAAAACTTCCAAAATTGACAAAGCGAATTGAATCAATTCTTCTTCACCAATTTTCACGTCATTTTCATTTTGTCCGAGTCCTCCAATGAAATACCACGTTGGAGCATCATTACACAAATAAGCAATCGAACTAAATGACGTAACAATGTCTTTAAACGTTCTCAAAAACAGTTGACAACCATACAAAATTTCATCACTTCCTTCATCTTCAGAAGCAGCTTTGACATTAAATGCCAACAATGGTTTCTTCTCGTAAATCTTTGCAACCATTTGGTCCTGTTCCGTCAATGATCGAATTACTTGTTTAGTTACAGCGTATTCAAGTAATTTCTGGGTTAAATCGGATTCGTTTTTGAGTTTGTCTTCGAGTTCTTTCTTTTTCGTCAAATTCATTATGTGGACAATGTATTGTGTTGCCTTTATATTCTTTCCTTCAATGAAATCTTTGTCTTCGTCATGAACGGCGCCTTTCTTTTCATCACAAACGCCAATTAACCTGATCATCACTGGAGTATTCGATCTTTCGCGGACTTCCATCGCTGTGACGATTTCGCAGAAGTTCTGGGCTGCAACACCGCGACTTAACTGCTGAATGGCCTCTAAAAGTGCGTTGAATGGATGATCTTCGTTTTCTTTGAATGGTAAAACATGGGAAAAGATCTCGTCTAGTGGTAAACCAACAGTGGCTTCGCGACTTGTGCTTAAAAGACTGTAAAAAGCGTTGTTTGCGAAAAGAAGACTCAAATCTGACTCGAAAACAGCGAAAGGAACGGTCATAGCGTTCAAGAAAGTGGCGCCTGATGGAGCACCAGTCTGTTGGTCTGTAAATTTAGAGGATCCGTAGTCGCATTCGCCTTGTAAATATTGCATCAGTTTTGCTTGGTCAGAGAGGTCGATTGGATCAATGAACTTCAGTGGTAACTTAACGGAGGCAACAGCTGAGATAAGTTCGTGTCTTACAGGATTTGAAAATCCGAAATAAATAATAAACATTAAAAGATAACAGACAACACATATAATAATAAGTGTATTCTGAGAGGTTGTTACTTTCTTTGCTGTATAATCATAAGAATCTGTTAATAAAGCGTCCATCATCGGGAATAAAATATCATTATAAGCTTCTCGAAGTCTTGAGCTATCTTCTGACTTGAGGGATATCTTTCCTGATGTCTTGTTCGAAGCTACTGTTATGAAATCGTCGAATAAGGCTGATAATGACCTGCATGAGTTATTTGAAGTGTCATCACAGTTTGTCTTGAAGTGGGCATCTTGGAAAACCTTCGAACTATACAGATGATTACTGATTTTATCATTCTTCGATGAAAATAGTAATGCGAAATGATCTTTGGTCGCTTGGTCAATCAACGATGTCACTTTTTCGAAATCTCGGGAATCCTGAGATCAATGATAGAGAATTAATGAGGCTTTCAAGGTTCTTTCTGAGATAACTTGCATTGTATACATGCATCTGTTCAATTCCTTGACTTGGAAGTCCATAATCAAGAAGTTTACTGTTGCAATGATCAAAGGCATGAATGTGAACGATGTAAAGATCATTAAAGCTTTGGTAGTGAACTTTGGAGGTAAAACAGATGATTGATCTCCACTATCATTCACCAAAACCTTGAATGTATCTGCAACGTTCATAATCTTGTCTTCTCCGGTCTCGTCTTGGCTCAGATCCGTTGTACTTCTCGTATGTCCCATTACTGTTGACGTAAGAAGAACAGAAATTGATCTGTGGTCGGTTCTTCTTGTATTTGCAGTTCCATCAATGAATTTCGATATTGTTGACCTTGCCATCGTCAAATACAAAGAGAATAAATACTTCAATTCCTCTTTGAGTCCGTTCATAATCGCAACAAAACATGGAATTGCAACAAAAAGCTCCAAAGCCCAAGCAACAGCATAGAAAATGTAACTGACCAACGATAACTTCTTCGATAAGTCAGTATTCGTATCGTAAACATCCAAAATCGACTTTGTACTCAATTCTGCCGCAGAATCGATATTTACTCGAACTCTGTCCGACAAAGTATCATTTGTTGGTATGTACGACATCGAATTTTCGTAATACAAGAACTGTGATAACATATTTATCAAATTTGTCTTTGTTGTCTGAGTAAAGTTATCCATTGTGTAGTTAAAATCAGATTGGTGGTCTGTCTTCAACTGATCACGTAGTGCGCCTGAAGGAATCTGCATCAGAATTACATTATAAGCTTCGATCATCTTTTTCGTGAAAGAATACCAATTATCACGCTTTTTAGTCTCTGCAGATGTCATAGGTATTGATTCAACAGTCTTTATGTCATAAAAATTGTTCGGAGCTTGAGATAAATAATCCGAACAAATTCCGAACTGTTGGAACAAGTTTACAGACCTACCAACGTAATCAAACAAATATTAGCCGCCAATAACAGTTGCCAGAATTATCAAATTAACGAAAATCAGCGCAATTGCGAAAATTAAGTTCATTTTCGTCAAAGTTATAACAGGTCTTCGATCAGTAGCCTCTTCAATGGCCTGTTTGAGTATGTTCATGTTGATTTCCGTGTCGATTGTAACGGTTGTGTCCTCTAATTTTGGATTTGCTTGGCAAATTGCGTCGGCGTGAGCGTGTTGGCAGCCTGTTGTTTTGAGGAACTTGATGTACTCCTTGAGGATAGGCGTGGAAAATGGATATCTGAGGGCTAGATACGTCCATTTCTTGTTTAATTGATCGATGATGTGTTCAAGAGTGAAAGCGTGGCGTGACATTGCAGTAATATCACCCTTGTAGCATGAAGACCATATCTTCTGAAGAACTTGCTGGCATTTCATTGCTTGAAGGTTTTGATATAAGATCTCACGGATTAAAGAAGGTGAAAGCTCGGCAGAAGACTCACTTTGGGATGTAACGATTTGGAACATGATCGCTTCTTGTATTAATGATGGTTTATTGTTGTCCATGAAATTATCCATCAAATTTGCAACGAAAAGCGTCTGATCAGGAAGCAGGAATGAAAGGTGCATAAGCTCAAAAAGAGCAGATTGGAAGTTTTGGATCAAAAATTGGATTAATGATAAATCCATGAAACAAGGATGGCTGAAAATACAAGCAATACGTGCAATCCGCACTGCCTGCCTTGCGTTCTTGATGCCTAGACTCTCATAAGAGGTTATCAAGTCATCTGTAATTTCAGGTTGATTCTCTGTTTCAATTGGAGTCATTGGCTTGCATTGGTTGAGCTTTTTGAGGCTTCCTTTGACCACGGCTTGGATGATTCCGTGGGTCAAAACGTTGATAACCATTGGTAAACCAAGCCAAAATACAATTCCAACGGCAACTCCTACGTGAAACTGCACGAAAGAGTAGGTAATGATAACACTTTCAAAAACACATGTAGCAAGTGTGATAACGAAGATGAATTCGTATGCAAAGAACGAAATATAATAAGTAACTAAAGCTTGGTAAATAAAGAATGGGATAAGGAATATAACAAGGTAAACAGTTAACACAATACCATATGTCTTTGCACTCACGGTCCTTGTACATTCAAGAAAAGTGAAATTGAAAACAATAAAGAAGTCGTAAGAAACAACGCGCATGACATCTGGGCACCAGATAGCCAAAGGATTCTTCAGATTTGGACTTGGACTTGTTCCCATGCAAAAAGAGAAGAATGAAATATTCATGAAATGAAGTAATAAGAAACATAAGGCAATTAAGGATAAAAAGAAGTTGCCAAATGTATAATGAACGAAAAATGCTCTAAGCTGCTCTGAAAAGATGCAAGTCATTGAACATCTGAATATTGGAAGATAAATTGAGTTTAAGTAAAAGTAAACTGTAACTTTTTTGGATACTTCCTTGCGCTGTTTAACTTGATTGATGATAATAAGTGTAAAAACAAGAATTCCAATATCAATAAGTCCATAAATTACAAATATGACAATTTCGACGATTTTGTTCGAATCTAATGGAACAAATCGTATGATAATTTCAAGAATTTTGGTAACTTGGAGAAGTCCTGGATTTACTTCCCAAATTGCTTTACAAAATGGTCCAGTAACCGCAATGGCGAGGTCTATGAATGTCATTATAAGTTGTAACCAAAATACCCAAGGGACATTTGTGACTGTACGGTTGACTAAGTGAATGAATGTGTAGACAGCGTTCTTCCTCGCTGAAATAACATACCTTTTTCCAATCTCAAATGTCTGAGCATCGGCTTTTTTACTTAAGCGATGACCTCCAAATGTATTAAATCGCTCACCTGGAGAGATCATCCTTAAAAGCTCGTTTTTTAAAATTTCAATTCAAAAGAAAACGATAATTTTTACATTGAATCGAAAAAATCTTGATAATATCATAGAAGTAGTATGCTGCATATTGCCTTCTGAAATTAGAATAATTGAAAATTGAATTGTTATGTACGGACGAAATTTAATTACATTATTTTTTAATTAAATATATTTCGTCTTTTTAAGGACAGATATTTTTTGAATGCACTCAAATTTGAGAGGGAGGCTGCGGTCTTTTGTATAATAATACTTTTGTATATCTGATATAAAAATAAATTTAATTAACGTAAACTGTGTATATAAAATTTAATTTGTTCAGAGGAGCAATAATTTCTATCAGAAAGCTCTGAAGAAATGCATGCTAATAAATTTATTGACATTACATTTGATCAATTTATCTATTTTTAAAGATAATTTGATATTATTTAAATTGCATTCAAGAAATTATCATCATTGTATTCTCATTATTGAATTGACAATATTAATTTTATTCTAAAGATAATAAATATTTTTTAACTTTACCAGATGAATGTGATAGTGCCGTTCCCCCTTGTTGGTTCTTTTTATCTTTATTTGCTCCAACTGAGATAAGATATTTAACAACTTCAAGATGGCCTTTTTCTGATGCATGAATGAGTGGAGTATCTCCATTTTTATTCTCTGTTTCTTTATTAGAATCAACAGAGATAAGATATTTAACAACTTCAAGATGACCTTTTCATGATGCCCAAATAAGTGGAGTATAGAATTTGTTATCCAAATATTCTGTGTCATATCCTTGTTCAATCAGAATTTTAAGGGTGCACCCTTAACAAGATTCAGATTTCCTTTTTTGGTTGCTTCATGAAGAATTTGAGAATATCTTTGATCCACAATTTTATCAATTACTAGGGATTTCATAGTTTGATTTCCTTTTTTCTGTTATTTCATCAAAGATTTCGCAGATTCCATTAATGTCATTAGTTTTTTCAAGTTGAGAATATAACGAAATAAATTCTTTTTCTGTGATTGAAGATTTTAGTTTTTGTTTTTCTTTTTCATTTTCTTTTTGAATATTAACTAAATCTGTTTGAAGTTTCTCGATTTGATTTGTTGAATCTGAAATATCCTTTTGCACAAGATCTAAAATATCAATAACCATTTTCATGAATTTTTGAATTGATTTTAGTATTGTAATTGCTTCTTGTAGTTATTTATTGAAATATTTGTCTCTAGAGTACAAATATACAAATCATGTGCATTAACCATAGAATGATACTGTTCAAGAAGAGAATTGAATTCATCTGTAGTGAATTTCGCGTATCTCATGATTTTTTTGATGTCTTATATTTCGAATATATTAAAGAAATTGTTGTCCTTAATATAATCTTTGATATGAGTTCCAAAATTTTGGGAACAACTGTCAACTTTTTGATAATGGTCATACAATTAATTCTATGATTTACAACAGGCCATTATTTTGGATTCTTTTCTTGTTAATTTTGTGACGTATAAACTGTGATATGAATAGCACTTTACACACCGTATAGAATTATTATAAAATATAGACAAAGTTCAGGCTAATGCAATCCACTCGAAAATTTTTCGAACTTTGATTTTGCAATAGATACATTCTCATGTACTTTTATAGAAAAATCTTTTTTTCTTTGGAGTATTCAAAATATTGGCGAAATATTTATATATATTAGGGTCTCCAAGCTGTTCAATTTAATAAAGGATTAGAATATGCTTTTTTCATTCAGGATCATTAGTCTTGTGTGCATTAATATATAAATTGACATGATTAAAAAGAAATTTCTTGAAATCCCAGTTATCCTCTATATAATAAGTATAAAATCAAGCTCCTATAAACACAATATATATTTTTAGATACAGATAATCGATTTTTATTCATTATTTTATAAAATTTAACAAAAGATAATTTGATCTTTATTCATGAGTAATTTTCAATGCAATGATTGAAAGTATTATTATTACAACTGATAATAAAGAAACCAGGACCAAAAGAACTGAATGGAATATTGAAAAAGCATTCAAGTCCTGTAAAAATGGTAATGATTGATTAACATAATATGCGAAAGTTGATTCAGTAATTGTTTCATAAATGTATGAAAATGAATCATTCATATATAGGTTATTATTCAATTTATATGTTGGTTCATATTCTCCTTCCTTTGCATATCTATCAGCATTATTTTTATCATATATTTTAAGAAGACAATCTTCATTTAAATGCTTTGCATAGTTAGGTGATGTTATACATAATTTAATTAAGTAATCCGAGAAGTTTAAGAATGCAGAATCATGAGTATCAGAGTTGATTACGAATTGATAGTAATCATATTTAGAAAGAACCGAACTACTGATCATTTTAACATTATTAGGAATTTCAAAAACACTACCTCTTTTTTCAATGATAAATATTAATCCATCATTCTTATTCATGAAACAATTGTTTTCAACATAATAAATAGGATGTCCTCCTTCACTAAAGTTGAATCGAATGGAATTTGAATTACGGAAACTATATGGTGTAATAGATTTCAATGAATTTGGAATAAACAATTCTTCCAATCCTACACCAGAAAATGAATAATCACTGATTATAGATATTTTTTCATTGAACTTAAATGATTTTAGCAAGGAACATTTAGCAAAGGCATATTCTTCTATGATTATTAAGTTTTCGGGACAGACAAATTCAGCGATACTTGATTCCATGAATGCTTCTTTACAAATTGTTTTGATGTTTGCATTATTAAGCAAATTTATTTTATCTTTTCCAAATGATCTAAAGCAATTTGGAGGAATCTTGTACATATAAGAAAAGTCAATCTCTATTAATGAATCACATTCTTTAAAGCAAGATTCTCCAACATATTTTAGTTGGTTTCTAAAATTAAGTATTTGAAGACTGCTGCATCCTTGGAAACAACTATAAAACAAGCGAGTTATTATAACATTTTCAGGTAATTTAATTGTTGTTAAATTAGCACAATGTGCAAAACAACCAGCAGGGAAATAATCTGTTTCATTATTGATTTCAATTGTCTTAACACTTGTGCAATATGAGAACATTCCATCTGTCAATAAAACATTTGAATTTACAATTATTTTTTCCAAATTTCTGCAATAAGCAAATGCATATAATCTAATGAATTTTACATGACTAGGAATTGTAAATTCTCTTGCTTCTAGACCACCTGGATATGCATAAAGAGTTTCTTTGTCTGCTGGATATATAACTTTATTAATTGTTACAAATAATGGATTGCCATCAACAATGATTTCTTTTAGGTTTAGATTGTTTAAATATCCAGGAATAAATTGTCCAACATTACTTCCAATTGTGATCTTTTCAACATATGGTGAATAACACATATTTCCTTTATTGTATTCTATTGGATCAGTATCACGGTCGAAAACATCTTTTCTTCTCCTTGTAATATTCTGATTTATTATGAGTTCATTGATTTTTGTTCCATTAAATGCAGAAAGATCTAAATCAATAACACGACTAAGATCAATATGAGTAATATTTGTATTTTCAAATGCACGAGGTCCAATAGTAGTAATTGTGCTGCACATTATTACTTCAGTTAATTTTATACAATTTTGAAATTGATCTCAACCAATATAACTCATACCAGAACCTTCAACAAATGTAACTTTTTCTAATTCCATACAGTTCCTGAATATTGGTACATCAGTTGCATTAATAATTAACTCTTTTATATATGTGTTTTCAAGTGGATAATACATTTCGCGACTAATTCTAGCGAACGCAATATTAGATGTCCATGAATTAATATCAATTAATGGACATAACTCGAACAAACTTGGTTCAACTGTCATTGGATGATCTCCCCATCCAATTATATGTTTAAGCTTTGGACAGTTAAAGAAACTGTTTCTTCCAATATGTGTGCAAATGGAAAGATCAACTATCTCAATTTCAGGGCAACTACCGATATAAAAAATCTCTTCAATGTTGTTTGGTAAGTTTACAAGATTTGGACAACCGCCAATTGCTACACGACATCTAAAATCTGGATCTTTTGGTGTAATTATCTCTTTAATAGGTAAATTATATAAAATTATTAAATTTGAATCTTTTGTATATTCAATTGTTTCCAGTGATTATATTGATAATAATAATGTCTTATATTATCTCTATCAATATAGTTATTGTTGCTTGAAACAGTTAATTTCTTGAGAGGCAATTGCTTGATTTGAGAGTCATAAAGACACCAAGATGGTATTGAAAGCTCTTCTAATGCTGTGTTTGTTAAAACATCAGTTCCAAAATTTTGTAATGACATGAAATTATAATTAAATGTTGTGAGGGATGTACAATTGTAAAACGAATACGAACCAAATGAATTACAGTTTGAAATAAAGGTTGTAAGATTGTGGCAATTATAAAATGCATATTCTGGGATAACCGTAATGCTATCTGAAAGTTGAATTTCAATCACTGCTGTATTTGAAAAGCAATAAGAACCAAGAGTTTGTACACTTGATAAAGTAACTACTTCTAAATTGGAACAATTAGAAAATGCTTCAGATTCAATTGAAATAACGTTTTCAAGATTGATTTGGGGAATAAATGAGTTTGAGAACGCTTTTGCTGATATATTTGTAATACTTGAAGATAAAACAACTGATTGGATATTTTGATTATTGGAAAATGCTTCTTCTGGAATTGATTCAAATTGAGTTGATTGGATTTCAAGGTATCTAACTAAGCGCAAGCCATCGAAGATTGGTAATTCCTGCAAACTACTACCAATTATAAGCTTTGTAATTCCTTGTGACTTAATTTGCTCAGTTATTGTATCAAAATTATCAGTAGATTCTATTGTAATAGATGTTGGGGTGACTGTGCTATATCTAATAGTTTTTGTAATTAATGAATCAAGAAAAATCTTATGAAACATTTATATTCGCGATGGCTTAAAAAATTGAATTTGAGTATTGAATTCAAATTTGTTGTAACTTAATAATTCTTATAGTATATTAAAAGAACCAGAATACATTTTTTAAAACTCCATCGGTTTGATTAATTTTTTCTAAAATTGACAGAAATACATGACTATAATAAATGTCTTGAAGTGTAGTTGAGAATTTTCATAATTAAGGTTTACTCTTATATGGACATAAATTCAATTTTCAATGCTTTTCTAACCGTTTTCACTTATGATCAAGAAATTTTATTCTGTATTAAATAACAAACAAATTTTCCGATTAATTAACCGATGGAAACTTCTCAATTTTTCCCATTGAAATTGTGATCTCTCAAAAGGGTGCCTGTCATTCTTTATGAATATCAATCAGCTAATATCTGTTAAAAAATACCTGTCATTTTGTGTGATTCTCAAGTATATAGTACATCACCCTTTAAATTCAAAAGTTTAGGTTTTATAAATTCTGAGCGATATAAAATTTTTGAGAGTGATCTCTGAAAAGTATATCGTAAGATTTTAAAATATCGTTGGCCATTTTCATTATGAAAATGTACATTAACATGATTCAATAAACGTATTTCCATCAATATCTTCCGTTCACCATAAACTTATTTCTAAATTCAAGATATCTGATTCTTTAATGATACTGGAATATTCATCCTTTATTCAAACATTTATTTTTTGAGATTGTAAACTATTCAATTTCATACTATCTAAAAATGTTTTATGGTACCATTTTCCATTCACTAATTACCAAAAGTTTGATATTTAACCAGTAAATTACTGTTAATGGAACTAAAATGACGATTACAGAAGCTGATGACATAAATAATGAAGATAACATCTAGGGATGCGACGGTTTTACGCCATGACCGTTTAAAAATAGAATAATACGCCATTTTTGGGGCCGAATGGCGGGTACGAAGTAGCCGCCATTCGGCCGAATAACAAAACAATACAAAATTATCACCGTCCTTTTTTTTCCTTTCTTTCTTTCTTTTTTTTTCTCTCTCTCTCTCTTTCTTTTCTCTTTCCTCTTTTTACTCCTCTTTCTCTTTTCATCATTAAACGTAGAAAGATATATTAATATTATTTTAAAATTAAAAAAAATAAAGAAAGTATAATAAGTAATTATTTAGTTATCGATATATATATGTAAAGTGATAATCTGAGGATAATCTGAGGAGGAGTCTGAGGATTAGACCGAGGAGTAGTCTGAGGAGTTTGAGGATAATCTGAGTAGTCTGAGGAGTTTGAGGATAATCTGAGTAGTCTGAGGATAATCTGAGGAGGAGTCTGAGGATTAGACCGAGGAGTAGTTTGAGGAGTAGTCTGAGGAGTTTGAGGATAATCTGAGGAGGAGTCTGAGGATTAGACTGAGGAGTTTGAGGAGTAGTCTGAGGATAATCTGAGCATAATCTGAGGAGGAGTCTGAGGATAATCTGAGGAGGAGTCTGCGGATAATCTGAGGAGTAGTTTCAGGAGTAGTCTGAGGACTAGTCTCAGGACTAGTCTGATGAGGAGGACTCTAAGGAGTAGTCTGAAGAGTAGTCTCAGGAGGAAGATCTGAGGAGGAGTCTTATGAGGAAGATCTGAGGAGTAGTCTGATGAGGAGGGGTCTAAGGAGTAGTCTGAGGATGATGAGTAATCTGATAAGGAGTAGTCTGAGGATGATCTGAGGATAACCTGATGACTAGTCTAGGAGTGGTCTAATAAAAATGTAAAATATTTTCAAACAAAAAATTCTATGAATTTTATATTTTAATTCTTAGCATTATACTGAATAAAATAAACATAAATATCAAAATTTGAAATTGAACACGCCAAAAAATTGATAATCCACATTCAATATTTTGTAAGTGGCGTACTTTTTGAATACTCGCCATACGCCTTGGAGTTCTCAATTTTGAATTCGCCTTTATTTGGGCGACCTCAGAAAAATACGCCATTAAGAAAATATTGTATGAGATTTTAAATTTGAACACGCTCTACCTTAAGGAATTAAATTTATTAAGATATATTTATATATAATAAACGATTACTTAAAAAAAGTATTTCATCGCTTATGTAAGTTTCAAAAAAATCACGAAAATAAAAAAATCAAGATTAAAATTTTATTTTTAATTTTTGAATTTCTCAACTGGGCGAACAAAAAAAATGTACGCCCGGTCAAATGGCGTGTTTAACGCATCCCTAATAACATCCTAAATCTAATTCAAACTCATAACATTGAAACAATCAGGATGGAAAATTTCTATTATTATATGCTACCACCATTCAAGGGCTATCAGCTCATTAAAAATTACGAATTTGATATAGAATCTTATTATTTGGCTGAAAGGTACTTTTATCAAAACCAAATCATCAGGAGAGCTTATTTTGGGGGGAGTTTTCATTACATTAGTGATGAAGCTTTTGTACATTCTTCAATTGAATACGTTGAATTTGCTGGTAGAACAGACCTTTTCAACGATGTATTTGCTTATTGTTGGAATTTGAAAATGGCAGAATTTTCAACAGGCAGTAGGAGTGGAACATTTCGAAACACTAACATCAAAAACTTTACAATTCGTTCAAATATTCCTAATTACGCATACTATGAGTGCTACGACTTAGAAACAATATTTATCGATTCACAATATGTAGAAATAGGAGAAAAAGCATTTTGTGATTGCTTTAAACTCAAAAATGTCAATTTCCGGGAAGGATGTACTATTAATTATATTGGAAATAATGCATTTGAAAATTGTCAGATTGAATCTTTTAACTTTAAGATTGTTTCATCAATTGGATATAGAGCATTTAGAAATACAAAACTAAAGCATGTTGTATTTAATAGAGCTGATGTAGCTGATGAAGCATTTATTAATTGTAATGATCTTATATCAGTTATAATTGAAAATGAATTAAGAATGCCTAATGGTCATTATAGACCTTCTAAAAATTTCTTCATGGAATGCCAATCATTAGAAGTTGTTGATTTAGGATTAACAGCAAAGACATGTATAGGAATGTTTAGAAATTGCTACAACTTAAAAGAAGTCAAATCATCAAATCCAGAATTAATAATTAATGAAGATTCATTTATTTCTTATTTGAGTTTAACAACTCTAACGTCAAATATACATATAGTATATAGTAATGGTTTCATGTTTTGTAAATCATTGACAGACCTTGATACATCTAACATAATATCAATTTCACCTCGAGCTTTCTATGGATGTGAAAAATTAAGAAATGTTCATCCTCATGTCTTTGGAAGCGAATATGCATTCGCATTTTGTAGTTCCTTAGTGGATTGTACGGTCTCAACAGTTGCGGGAACTGGTTTACTAATGAATTGCACAAGTCTTCAGTCAGTAACAATACAAAATGTTCTTGATATTCCAGATAAAATGTTTTTGGGTTGCACAAATTTGAAAACAGTTAATTTCCCAGAAACTATTACATCTATTGGACATTATGCATTTGTTGGAACAAAACTTGAAATTGCTGAGTTAGATCTTTCTGATACAGAACAAATTGGTAACTATTCATTGAAAGGCGCTAAAATAGAAAAAATCAAATTTGGAAAAGATTATATTTACTTTAGAGAAAATTGCGAGAGAAGATGTGCAGAAGTATGTCCAGGTGTCACAGTAACAGATCAAAATCCATTCCAAGATGTTACTAATGTTAAAGAAATCATTATTGGTGCTGATAAAAACCAATTCTTACCATTTGATTTCCAATATTCTTATGATATTAAAATTACTTTAGAAGATAATGCAAAACTACAAATTAACGATGGATTATTAACAAAAGATAATGAAATCGTTTATTATATACCAACTTCTTCAACAAGAACTAAATTTACAATTCCAGAAACAATAACTAAAATACATCCTTATGCATTTTCAACAGCAAAATTAGAAGAAATAACTATCAATCATTATATAGAAACAATGGAAAGTGCATTCGCAAATAACAAATATCTAAAATCAATAACAATCAATTTCATTTCACAACATAAATCTCTTGATAATAGAATATTTGAAAACTGTGTAAAACTGACAAATGTTAACTTATGTAATTATTTCAATAGATTTGGTGATTATTCATTTAGTGGATGCACATCATTGGAAACAATTATTATACCAGAAGGAACAAGTACTTTGGGAAGATATTGCTTTGCAAATTGTCATTCGTTGAAGAGTTTGACATTCCCATCAAATTCTTTGTATTTTTATGATTATTGTTTTTATAAGTGTTCAAATCTTACTTATCTCGATCTTTCCCAAGATTATGGTTTTGGTTATAATGCTTTTGATTCATCATCTTTACAATCAGTAACAATTAAAGCAAATTCACTTACAAATGGATTGTTTAATAATTGTCAAAGATTAGAAAATGTCGAATTCACGGATAAAGACTTTAGTGGTTCTTTGCCCGATAACTGCTTTATTTCGACAAGTCTTACAGAGATAAATATTCCTCCAAATGTTAATTCTATTAGTAATTTTTGTTTTGCATTCTCAAAAATTAAGAAGTTTTTCATTCATAGAAAATTAACTTCGATTGAACCTCAGGCTTTTTATGGTATTGAAGATATAGAATTCGAATTAGATTGTGATCATCCTATATATATGTTAGGTGCACATGAACTTATTGATAAAAGATCAAACACTTTAGTAATGACATATGGAAAACTATTATCTACTTATATTGTTCCATCAAGAGTTAAATCCATTGGTAACAATGCAATTAATTCTTTACCAAGATATAATGAAGAGACAAGAAAAGTTGTTGATTTTGGATTAACAACATTGGTCATCAGAACAAAAGTAAAATCAGATCAATCACCTGTTTATAATGCTCCTTATTTACATAATCTTTGTTATGGAGGTTCAGTCAAAACTGAAGGTTTTAATGATGTCCCAAGAGTTTTTGTTGCTGATTATTATGCAAGATCATTATGGAATCAAAATCCAAAAGTAGTGGCAATAAAAGCTGAATGTGATTCAGCTGTTCCATTCGAGAATTATGCAAAATATGATTATACTTATCCAAAGAATCCGAGATATATATCTCTGCCAGAGCAAATACTTCCACAAGATAGTAAAAAATGCCCCTTATTCGATGACCCATATGAGATACCATATGTTAAACCAGAAAATTCTCCAAAAGAAGGAGATACAGATGTAGAGAATTCAACTGAAACAGTTTCAGAATTATCTCTCTCCGAAAACACATATACATCAGCATTTATGAGTGAAGAAAAAGCAACTACAGAAAAAAGTTCAATGCCATTACTGACTTATATTTTAATTGCTCTTGCAGCAATCGAAGTATTGATGATTGCAGGTTTGATTGCATTTTTGATACATAAGAGAAATGAAGAGAGTTCAGATGAAAGTTTTGTTGAAATGTCTGAACATATAATATCTAATATTTCTGCAAGCACGACATTTACAAATCCACTGTTTTCAATGAATACTATGGATGATGATCCATTTGCTAGTGATTTTGATGATCCTTCTGAAACTGAAGCAGAAGTAGGTGATTTTATTGATGATAGTTTGTGTGATGCTTAAATAAACGAATTTATATCTATGAGTTTCTATTTTTCTTCTCTTTTTTAAATTGAATTTCGATGTTGAATAAAATAAGGATTTGTTCTATTTACAATGAACTCTAGCAAATATCTAATTTCAGAAATGATAGAATGCTACACAAATAGACATTGCGCTCAAACTTTGTTAGAATTCCAAAAATAGAACCACAAATTAAAGTTTTTGTAATATTCTTATTGACATCATTTACAATATGACTATATTCCGGTTCTAATTTTGAATATTCTCCTCTCAATTTTTGAATGCTATCAACCGAAATTTTACAAATTTCTCCAAATGATAGGACTTATCGTTCTAGGTATATGCGCCGCTATGGCATTGACTGGTAAGATATGCCAAAGTGTTCGCGATGGCATGGTAGTCAAACAAGTCGGTTATGTCGCCCCAGGTAAAAGTTTTGAAAATCTTATTTCCGCTTCAACTAATCAAAAGTTCACAGTAAAGATGTCAAAGGGCCCAGCTGTTATTTCAGCAATTATCCAAAGACTTAAAATCTTTGTTCCAGCTTCACTCCAAAAGCAAATTCCAGAAGTCGAGGCAATGCTCAAAGCAATGGCTGATTTAGGTGGCTATGAACTTGAAACTGCCCACAAGGCACTAATGCTTGCAACATACAATCCAGACAACAGCAAATTAGGAATTTTCAACGTTGTTTTCACACCAATATCCGATGATTTAATGACCGTTCAGCTTTACGACCTCACAGCAAACTTCAAGATGCCAACTTCTTTCATGATTGCAGAGACTACAATCTCTAATAAATGGAGGACAAAAACTGAACAATCTCTTGTTGCAAAACCACGTGAAATCACACCACAAGCTGTTACTGATGCTATTGCCATGTGCATTGCTCCATGCCTTAACGGAGATATCGATATGCCGAAGGAAATTCGTGATTTGTATGCCGCTAAGAACCAAGCAGAGAATCCAGGCCTCCAAAACATTCAAACATCCTTCAAATAAGTAGTACTGTTTTATTTTCCTTTTAATACTAAAAAATTTCAGATTTTAAATCTATTTTTCTACTTTCGAATCTATATTACATCTTTTTGTAATCTGTTCATTAGAGCCTTCTAAGTAAATCATTTAATATATAAGATTTTTTTTGAAAAAATTTATAATTATTTCTAAATTAACCATTTTGTTAGAACTCATAATCACAATAAGATTTTATTTATCTTTACAGACTTTTTACCTTTATCTAAGGATAATCTGATCTAATTCTTCTTTAACAATTGCCAAATATGTCATTAAAATATTTGCATCAAATTCGTATTTGATATGGTAGATCATTTACTGAGACACGTCAGCCTTGATGTCTCAAGACTCTGAAACTATGTTGCAACTTGATTTTTGGCAATAAACTAATCGACAAAATTGTCCCTAATGATGATGAAAATATAAGACTTTATGAAATATTGGGATACTATTGATGTTAGTTTATTTAATTCTTCACTTGGAAAATTAACAACAGAATTATCCTTATATAAAGATGTACTCACTTTAAAATACCCATGTGTATCGTCAAAATGCACTCCATATGTTGTAAAAATCTCTCCAGGGAGCTACAAGTTTTGGTTGTATGGTGCAAGTGGAGGGTATCTATCAAGTGATCTTAGCAAAGGGGGTCGTGGAGCATACACCAGTGGTATTCTTTCGAGTGCTTCGGACCTAACTCTATATATTTATTTAGGTGAGCAAGGAAAAATTAATGCCTCAAATGGGTATAATGGTGGAGGAAATGGTACGATACATTTAGAAGATAGTAATACTCAAGGCGGTTCTGGTGGCGGTGCGAGCGATATTAGACTCATACCAGGAAGCTGGGATGATTTTGACTCATTGAAATCCCGTATAATGGTATCGGGTGGAGGCGCAGGTTCTCAATTTTATAATCAATTAATAAAAGGCGGAAATAGCGGATTAAATGGAAGTGATGGAACCCAATATGGAATAGAATGTTCAGATCCTAGTATAGTTCTCACAAATGCTCTTGGTGGAAAGCAAACATCAGGGGGACAAGGGGGAATTTCATATGAATTTATCGATATGAATGGTCAAAACGGCGGTTTTGGATTTGGTGGAAATGCATGCAATGCTAAGTATGGATCGGGTGGGGGAAGCGGATATTATGGCGGTGGAGGAGCAAGTGAAAAAGGATGCACTGTAGGAAGTGGTGCTGGCGGTTCATCATTTGTTTCTGGTCATCCAGAATGCGATGCAATAACTAAAGAATACTCAAAAGAAAATCCTATTCATTCTCACCAACCAATCCATCATTCTGGATTTAAATTTCAAAGGCCATTAATAGTTAATGGAGAATCAGTTCTCTACTTTGGTCATGGAAAATGTGAAATTGAATATTTAGGGCCATTTCACACTTGCATATTTACATTCACTGCAAATAATTATTTTATATCTTTTCTATTAAAATCATTTTTAATTTTTATCTATGATTAGATAAACACATTAGCATTATTTATTGGAAATATACAATACCAGGAAAATAACACATATTCTTCGCGTTTATTTCTTGAGAAGAAAATGATTTCAAGTTAATGATTATTAGGGTTATTTGATAAAATCGGACAAAAGGATACGAATGATGGTATCTATGTATAATTTTATGAATTTCTATATCTGAACTTCCAATGATCAGATAGATTGTAATGGAAATATATATAAACTTGTTATGAATTATCATTTTTTAATAAGTAGATTATGAATTCTTTCATTGCTAGTCATTTTAATAGGAATTTTACCTTGATTATTCTTTATGTTAATATTAATACCTCTTAATCTGATGAGAATTTTAACAATTTCTTCATTATTATAATTGCATGCTTTATGAAGAGGAGTATCTCCACATATATCTTGTGCATTAATATCAATTTCATTAAACGTAAGAAGAAATTTGACAACATCGATTGAATTGTTATAACAAGCAATATGGAGTGGTGTTCGTAGATTATTATCTCTCATATTAGGGTCAACACCACATGAAATAAGATCTTGAACAAGAGATAAATTATTTAATTTTGCTGCATAATGAATTAGATTATTAGCAAAATAGTATACTTTATGATATCCATTATCAACAGCAAATTTGATTGAATAAAGATCTCGTTCTTGACTACATTTTACAAATGTTTCATAAAGACTAATGAATTCTCTTGAAGTCCAATATCTTTCAAATGAATTTATATTTTCATCTGTTGTTGAAATTTTATTAAATTGTTTGGTTTTTTATGATTGTTATTGTTAATGTTATCATTTGATGATAACATTAATGTTTCAAATAAATGAGTGAAGATTTCATTTTCGTTTTGAATATTGTCATATGATTTATTTCCTGTTTTCATTTCTTGATTAAAAGAGTTGATGAATGAAGAATAAAAGTTGATGAAATGAGAAATTGTTTCGTTTGTGCAGAATTCGAATCTGATGAATTCAATCAGTTTGTCGAATTTTGATGTATTTGATGTATTTGATGTATTTGAGGTTTTTGATGTTTCTGAAAATGATGATGAAAATGATAATAAAGGTGAAAATGTTTTGATGAATGAAATAACAAAATCACAGATATCATCTTCATTGTAGACAAAAACATGTTCGTTACTCAAAATATTTGAAATAAAATCAATAAAAACAATCGATGTTTTCGTTAAAATACGATGATGCAACAGAATATAAACAGATTCAAAAAGAAGACAAAGTTTTGAAGGTCCAAGAAAAGAGATATGAGATGCGATGAATGAACATGTTTTATCGAAATCACATGTTTTAAGACTGTATCTGATGATGATTCGATGTTTGATTCACTGATAATTGTTGATGAAATAATGAATTTGTATTGTGAAATAAAATCTTCGTTCTTGAGAAGAACGAGATCATAAATAATTTCACTTGTTTCGATGTCGATGTTTTCTGAAACATATCCTTCTTGAACAAACTTACAAAAAATGTTTAATGCTTTATTAAATGATTCTTTATTATCTTATCAATATTAATATATAATCTCTTGTGCACTATTGTCTGTAATCAACATGTTTCGAACTGTTTCACTTACAACAACTGCGTGTGATTGCGTTGTATAAAATCGATGACCATTGATAACGAAACAAAAATCACTTCCATATTTAACTAAAGATGAATTTCTGCAATACTGAGAATTAACAACAAATTTAATATCACTCATCAAAATTTTTTTATTTTGTCACTTTTTTTAAAATTTACCATTGATAAAAAGAAATTCAAACAATCAAATACTTCGCAATAAAAATTTAGAATGAAATTAAACTTTTATTGCGAAGTATTTGAAACAAATCTTTTTATTTCCTGAGTTATTCTTTTTTGGCGTAATTTTCCATCATTTGAGGATGTACATTGCTTTGTGATAAACAAAAATGTGAAAATTGTTAACTCACAAATCAAAAAGTATTTGATGTGAATTTTAGAAGTTGCCATCACGTTGTAAACATTCAATTTAAAATTATATATTTAATGTTGCAAATCATCTTAGTGAAATTTCATTTTTTATAATGAATTTATCCATTTCATTTATTGCATTAAAGAAGATCATTGATTCGCCATTAATATCACTAAATCCTAGAAGCATTCATCAAAATCTTATATTGCAGCGATGTAATTTTAGGTTTTTTGCAGAGCATGCTTGTAAATTTAATACTAAACAAATCAGCTCCGAATTCATTCACTCATCTTTCAAAGGATTCCTCAAGACACCATTAGTTATTAGTAACTTAGATTATTTAAACAATTCTTTTAGAAATCAAATAATTCCCGAATGTAAATCAAATATTCGCATAGAAAGCTGCCAATTTACAAATTGCACAGTTGAGTCTGACGGATCAGCACTTAAAATTAACTGCCCAGATTACATTTTAAAGATCTTTCAATGTAAATTTGAAAATTGTCATTCGCTCAATGGAAACAGCGGTGTTATTTCTGCTCAACAAACAAGGTCAACTGCAATTTGCAAAACATGTTTCTTAAAATGCAGTGCAAAGTCAAAATATCAAATTTTCAATATAAAAACGGAATCAAAAGGGGCATTCAATATATCAGGAATACACAATTCTGGTAAGAATTCTTTTGATGAATTAAAATCAACAAAATCTTATTATCATAAAATTTGTAATTTTCAAGCAGGAACTCAGCGCATTAATACGATCAATAGTACCCATAACAGTGTAAACGATTATGCAGCCGGTTTTGCTTCAGACTCTCCATTTGAAATTGACTTTAAATTTGCAAATTTTGGATATTTAGAAGGAGGATTTGCCCTTGAGAGGACAACGATAGCAGTAGGAAAGGAAGTATATAGTTATATAAACGTTTTTCACCATAACGCTCCCAACAAAGGAACATTTTATTTACATATTTTCGGATCTTTTTCAGATTCATTGCTTTTCAATGTAACAATTAATCCTCTTATATTTGGTCAGCCAAATAGTGTTATTATTATGGAAAGATGCAGATTTGATGCTGCTTTAATTAATCTTCGGATTTTATCTCCAAATGGAATTGCAAATAGCATTGTCCAGTACAAAGAATGCATTTTCTCTGATAATGAAGATAAAATAAACTTATTTGGAATTGAAAATGACTTAGTTTGTTTTAATTTTAATCTGAAAATTAACCTTAATATATTCCAAATAATTTCTAAGTGGGTTGATAGGAATCCTCATATTGTAGGGTTCGGATTCTGCTTGATTCTTAGTATAATTTCGGTTTTTGCTTATTGGAAATCAAAAAGATTGTTTACCACAAAAATACCGATTGCTTTCACATATACATCTGTTGATAAGAATGTTTGATGTATGAATTCAAACTTAATATTGTTTGAATTCGATTTATTTTTTTATTTTCTTTGTTTTGTATACTAAGTGATAAATTTATGTTGTTTTCTATGTTAGCATTTTTATCTTTCATCTATTTATGATAAATTCAAAAAAATAATGTTGGCCGATGAAAATGTTAACAGTAAAGAAATAAAAAATGTGTAAAATATTAAAGCTATTGGTGCTTTGCAGAATTATGTATAGTAAAGCCGTTTAAAACGTTTAAAGAGAGATGGGAAAAAAAGGAATTAGCAGCAAGCTGACTCCTTTTTTGGTTTTTGGGGAGCAGGCGATATCTTAAAACCTGGGGAAGTTTGCACTGCTCTATCATGATTTTGTAAGAATTTTCGGAGGACTTCGGTAAAGCCATCTTCAACATTCTCTTGAGTCTTTGCAGAAACTTCGAAGAAGCTGCATCTCTTAGAATTAGCCCATTGTCTGGCCTCTTCTGTTGGTACTTGTCGCTGATCAGCAAGATCAATTTTATTTCCAAATAGCATAATAGGAAATGCATCTGGATTTGTAATGCCTGCCTTATTTAACAAATCGTCGAGCCAGACTCCTACGCGTTTAAATGTATCGATTTGTGTTATGTCGTAAACTAATAAACAAGCATCTGTCCCTCTGTAGAAAGCAACACCAACAGAATGGAAGCGTTCCTCACCTGCAGTATCCCAAATTTGCAAATCTATTGTTGTTCCATCAACTGTTACAGTCTTCGAAAAGAAATCGGCGCCAATAGTTGCTTTAAAGTCCTCGCAAAACTCGTTATTGACGAAGGAATGTATAAGGGTTGTCTTGCCAACACTAGAATCGCCCATAACAATGAGTTTACAGGAATGCATTTAGAATATTATTTTGAATTATCGTTCAGAAAAAAAAATATTCTTGTCACGAGTAGGTGACAAAAGTGCATACTCTTAAATTAACCTTAAATGTTGATTTTTCGATATTTTCGGTATTAACCTTATTGTAAATTTTTCCGGTGATAAATTTATCACACTGAGGTTATTTTTCCGGTGAGATTTTTAACCTTGATTTAATGAAATTAATATATATTTTTATTATTTTTAATTTCGAATGAGTATAATAAAATATTTTTTATGTGTTTTTGTTTTTGATGTGATTTGAATTTTGTTAACTCTTTTCAAAATCACTTCATTTTTATGATTTCGGTGGACTTAGAGGAGCTTATTGCTTTTGGTATTAAACAGGAAGTCAAGGGCGGTGTCCCATACAGAAGAAGAACGGGATCTCCAAAGCAATATGTCACTTATTCATGTTCGTATCCCCTATGCAAGGCAAAATTTAGGGTTGAAGAACAAAATGGAGTGTTTACTATAAGCAAAGTTAATGAAGAACATTGCCATCATATAGGAGTTGAAATGGGTTCACATTACGCGAGTAAATTTTATCAAAAATGGATCGAACTTTATATTAAAAACGGTGGAAAGCAATTTCTTGCTCAAAAAGCATTTTTTGATAAGTTCGGAATTGATACGAATAACAAAGAAACGATGAAACTTTTCGCGCAGTCTACTGATGCTTTAAAGCACAAATTTTATCGCCTTGATGAGATTATTGCACAAAGATTATCAAACGATCCTTACACTTCTTTGGAAGCATTTTTGAATAATTTACAGGAAGAGTGCCCAGATGATCTCGTTCAATTTGATTACAATGGAGATTTTTCCGAGTTTACAATCATATATGCACCTTTTGCTGCAAAAGAATTGGTGCATAGCATTGATAACCCTCTCCACGTCGATTCCACTCATTCTTTAATTAAAGGAAAGATCCAATTGTTTGCAGTAACAATGAAAACAAGTCAAAACACAATTTTCCCCTTTTGCTATTTTTTAGTGAACCCTCAGACATCTGAAAAAATTCAAGAATGTTTGGTGAAATTCTGTGAGTTTGCGCACCTGGATCCACAGCATTGGAGCGCTGACTGTGCGCTAAACATTGCTCGCGCAATTGAGGACGGATTTCCTCTTGCGCAGCTCAGTTGGTGCGCTGTGCATGTTTTACGCGCATGTGCAAAAGTTGGAAGCTATTTTGACAATCCACAGAATTTTGAGAACTTCTATTTAGCAATGGACTTTTTGACATTACGTGCAGATGCAACGAATGCAGAAAAGCTGGCTGAAGAGTCTGATGAAACATATGAGTTCTTGACAACAATGTTAGAAGAAGAAGAACCGCGCGCTTTGAAGTATTTCGATAAACAATGGAGAAGAACCAAAGAACATTGGATGATGTTATATCGTGGAGAAGGTGATTCCACGAATAACATTGCGGAATCACACTTTCATCAATTAAAGCAAACATTTTTCTTGGGTAAGAAAAATGAGCGCATTGATGACATCGTCATAACTCTCATCACTGTTGTGATTCCAAATGCGATTATTAAGGTTCAAGTCGCTAATGTTTTGAATGAAGAAAGAGCAGTAAGAATTCTTACAAGGGCAGGTAATCAGATTGTTGAGCAAAGAGCTTCAAAACACGATGAATGTTTGAAATTAATTCAACACATTTTGGAAATTGTCGAAAGCCGAAGGATTGAACCTAATGTCCTTATTCCATCTTTGAAGGCAATATTAAATTTGGCACAAAGAAGTTTAAAGGAAGAGTAAGCAAGATTAGATAATTTGGACTTTTTTTAAAATTAATGAATAAACAGTATATTTTTGAAGTGTAAGCTTATTTACCTGAAGCTATATTACTTAATATAACATTCAAAGTATTATTGCTATTTATTGGAGAACAAATTTATGTAATTTTCACATGAAAATTGATAAATTTGTATTTCCTTATGATAATCAATTTTTGTATTTGTAGAGAGTCTCCCTGCATGATATCAAGACTTGGCTATAGTCTTTATCCATTTTTGAAAATTGTATTGTAAATTGTAAGAATTTCTGAATACTACTACTATAAAATATAATTGCTTATCAATGTATATTCTCCCTGCATGATATCAGGACTTGGCTATTAGTCTTTATCCATTTTTGAAAATTGTATTGTAAATTGTAAGAATTTCTGAATACTACTACTATAAAATATAATTGCTTATCAATGTATATTCTCCCTGCATGATATCAAGACTTGGCTATAAGTCTCTATTCATTATGAGTATGACCCCATTTTTTTTACAAAAAGTGCCGAATTGCAACTTTGTCCCAATCTCTTCTTGTCACTATCATCTAAATAAAAATTATTTATTAAACTGAAATGAAAGTTTGGCCATAGCCTCAATGATAATTCACTCAATTATTGCTCCGAAGTTCAAATAAAGTCTGTGATTAAATCAAATCCTACGAAATCTATAAGAAATAAAGATATGGTTTCAAACTCTTCTTTATAAAAACATTGAAGATTTCAAACTGCCAAAATATAGTAAAGAAAAGAAGAATTTAAAGGCAAAGTAATAATCTCAATATTATTGATGATAAACTAAAAGAATGTTATGCACATGGATATAGGCCAAACAAACTAAGCCTTGTCTATATTTTTTATTTATTGATTTCGTTGTATGAATTTCTTTTTATCAATGGTAAATTTTAAAAAAGTGACAAAATAAAAAAATTTTGATGAGTGATATTAAATTTGTTGTTAATTCTCAGTATTGCAGAAATTCATCTTTAGTTAAATATGGAAGTGATTTTTGTTTCGTTATCAATGGTCATCGATTTTATACAACGCAATCACACGCAGTTGTTGTAAGTGAAACAGTTCGAAACATGTTGATTACAGACAATAGTGCACAAGAGATTAATATTAATATTGATACTGATATTAATAATAAAGAATCATTTAATAAAGCATTAAACATTTTTGTAAGTTTGTTCAAGAAGGATATGTTTCAGAAAACATCGACATCGAAACAAGTGAAATTATTTATGATCTCGGTGTTCTTCTCAAGAACGAAGATTTTATAGTTAGTATGGTTATGTTGGGTACGGCGGCACTGCGTTCCACCTTACTCAACATAACCTTACCCAACATAACTTTAAATATTTACAAAACCGTTAACGTATATTTTACAAATCAAACGACAACACTAACTTAACCTTAAATATTTACAAAGCCGCCAACCACTTCACTTCACTAACGAACTCACTAATGTAAAAATAAACGTTCTCACTATCGTTCTCACTAACGACTTCACTAATGTTCTCATAAATTTTCCTCAATATCTTCATCATCAGTGTTAACCCTATTGTAGTCATAATTGAAGCCATAAACTTTCTCTAACTTCTTAATGTACAATTTACATAACTTACCTTCGTCATCATATGGTTTAATGATATAACTATTTCTATCTTTATACACAGTCAATGAAAAGTCAACTGGTCTCGGATGTATTTGAAAGAACATGTTATGCTCAGGAAGGAAGAATAAATGTTTAAATGTATGTTTGTTATATGTTTTGATTTGTATGAGTTGCTTTTGTTCTGTCATTTATATAAAAATAAACTTAAAAATAAAATAAAAATAAACGTTGTCAGAGGTGAAAAAATAATGTTTATGTTAGAATGTTAGATCTAACACGTTTTCTAACACGTTTTCTAACCTTGTGAATTCATTGCTTTATAACTCTCTTCCTTTCTCCAACTCTTCTAACTTCTTCTTAAGTTCAGCAATGTTGTCCTCATGAAGTTTAATCTTTCTCAAAATTCCTTCTTTATCTAATGGTTGCTTTATCTTTCTAAACTGAACTCTACCATCCTTCATAGTATGAATGTAAAAACCTTCTGGAATAGTTCCTGATTTAATGTATTCTACCAAAAACTTTTGTTTCATTGCTTCAGTGACTTTAGTCGTCATTTCAATCAAAGGTGAAGCTAGCACAGCGATAATGGATTTCATGACTTTTTAGTATTTCATGCAATCTTAACAGATAGCCTTACAAGTACTTCCAGTGTCCCTAGCTGTCCCTCCTTTTTATATAACTCCATGACATTTATAATCTCGCGAAACTTAACAGGTAGCATAACAGATTAAAATCAGATGAGGTTTTGAACCAAAATTTCTAAGCAACGTTGTCAAGGATTTTGAGGAACTAGGGACAGAGTGTGGCAAAGTCCAAGATTTAATTTATCTTCATCTGTTTCATCAGCTATCTCATCTAATATGCCAATATTTTATTCATAACTCGTGGCAAACTCACTAACTTTCATTATGTTCATCTGCATGCTTCATCTGATAGAAAGTATGACTTTCATTAACTCTGTGAGATAATGAAAACTACTAGGGACAGAGACCATGGCAAAGTTTATGACTTTCATTATTTCCAGAACTTAATGAAAACTACTAGGGACAGAGACCATGACAAAGTTCATGATTTAATTTATTCTCTCACTAACAACAAACACAAACTCCAACACTAACAACAACCACAAACTCCAACACTAACGACAAGTACTAACCTCAACACAAATGACAAACACTAACAACAACCACAAACTCCAACACTAACAACAACCACAAACTCCAACACTAACGACAAGTACTAACCTCAACACAAATGACAAACACTAACAACAAGTACTAACCTCAACACTGTTCTCATGAACTATTTCATTATTGCATGAACGACCTCCTTACTGTTCTCATGAACTATTTCATTATTGCATGAACGACCTCCTTACTGTTCTCATGAACTATTTCATTATTGCATGAACGACCTCCTTACTGTTCTCATGAACTATTTCATTATTGCATGAACGACCTCCTTACTGTTCTCATGAACTATTTCATTATTGCATGAACGACCTCCTTACTGTTATGATTTCATCGTATATGTTTTGTCGAAACT